TCAGTCCCCCCCCCCCTTTTTTTTTTTAGACTTCTGACATTTCGATCTTCTGATGCACGTCTCCTCTCTCTGCACAAGTTTGTCATTTTCTTCACGACTCACGATACACGGAGCACGGGGCATATTCGGCCCTTAATGCCCCTTTTCATGCTTGTTCTTGTTTTGTTCTAGTTTCTTGCTTCACTGTTGGTGGTTCTTCTATTTCTGACCCTTATTCCTTTATATTCTCTTGATTTCATAGCATGGGGTTCTGGCGCTGTTTTGTCCCTTGACTATCTGTTATCCCAGGCATAACTTAGCGATCCTCTCTAATCTTTCTTCTTTCTTTTCTTCTCTTTCTCTCTCTCTCTCTATTTTTATTTTATTTTATTTTATTTTATTTTTTTTTTCTTCACCTATATAGTTTGACTAGCAGATAAATGTATCAAGTTTTCCATTTGATTCCTTGGCTACTTGTATGCTCCGCACGACAGATCTTTCCTCCAAAATAATGGGATGGAAGGGTATGTGGGAATTTGGGAACCGGTGGCTAATCGAGCTCGTTCTCAAGTTACCCAGTAGCAATTTATCAGTTAACTAGTCAGCTACTTCTATTCCGCACCCCCAAAGACTGGACTTTGAGCAGAATTCCAAATGGTCCTAATATCCACCCATACCATTTCCAAATGCCCTATCTCTGTCCTGTACTGCGGCCAAGGTGGGGGGATCCATGCAATGTGAGCGAGTTACTTTTCTTTCCCAGCCTTTGGAGCGTTGTGCGGAGTGGTTTGTTTGGCAGGCGAATAATCATTTGTGCATGCATAACTGTAGTAGTTCTGTAAAATTATTTGCTTTAATCCCAACCCCCCACTGAAACGTGTTTCAGCGTGTTCATTTAAAAATAATGTTGCCAGGTCATGGGCCATAGAAGAAGGTTGGTTACCTATTATATTATCTGACTTTCTTCTGCTCGGTTAAGGTAGTTAGTTATCTGTAGTTGTCTACAGGAAAGGCTCTGCTGTTGGTTAGAAGCCCAATCCCCACCCCCCCCCAAAAAAAAAAAACATCGGCTAAGCCCCAAATAGCAGAGAAGAAACTTTACATCATCCATCTACAACATCCGTTCAAATCATCACTATCAGTTGGTTAATTCCTTAATATAGTAAGTAGTGCACTCCATGTCCATCCACTCCCCCCATCATTCTCTTCTAAATAAATCATCTTACAACCATCCTGTCCCTGGGGAGCAGTAGCCACGCTGTATCCCACCCGAGTTTTAATGCCAGCTCCCTTTTCAGCCCAACGCGTCAACACCAAACAACCAACCGTGACCGCGATTGCCCGAGAAATTTCCAATACTTATCCTCTCTCCCCACCCCCTCGTCCTCCTTCTTTCACCTTCTCCCTCGGCCTCCACGGACTCTCCAATCCATAGCCCTACCGCCGGGGGGATACACTTATAGCCTGCCCTTCGTGGGCTCAGTGCATTTTCTGCTTCTTGGTCCCGGTCGAGGGTCCCAGTGACTGGCACGGTGACGGTGACGGTGACGGTGACGGTGACGGTGACCCCCTGGTCGTGTGCATAGAAGCAACCATGGCGTATGTATCTTCAAACTCTTCCCTCGAATATCCTAATATATACATACGATAGCCTCCACTCGGAAGATTTTGTGATCCTGGACAGCAGCTGACGTCTACACCCGCAGTTCAAGCGGGTCGGGCAGTAGTACCAACACCATCAAAGGTAAATATCCCTCTCTCCTGCTTTCTCTCTCTCTTTTCTCTCCTCTCCTATTCTTTTCCTTCTTTTGAAACAGATACTGATTCATGGTATATAGTTGTTGCCAGATTCCGACCCCAAAATAAGGTCGAACTCGCCAGTGGGGGAGAGCCCATTGTCGAGTTCGAGGGCGACGACACATGCAAGATCAACGTATGTCTACCACCTTATTCTCCCTTTATTTTATTTTTACGAAATTCACCTCTAACCGGGAAAATAGTCAAAGGAGGCCGCAGGGGCCTTCACCTTCGACCGCGTTTTTGATATGAACTCCCAACAGCAGGACGTGTTCGATTTCTCCATCCGCTCCACCGTCGACGACATTCTCAATGGCTACAACGGCACTGTCTTCGCCTACGGTCAAACGGGTGCGGGAAAATCCTATACGATGATGGGTTCAGATATCGACGACGAGGCGGGGAAGGGTATTATCCCACGTATTGTTGAGCAGATGTTCGCTAGCATCCTTGCCAGTCCTGGGAATATTGAATACACAGTCCGTGTCAGCTACATGGAAATCTACATGGAGCGCATCAGAGATCTCTTGGTGCCGCATAACGATAATCTCCCTGTTCACGAAGAAAAGTCGCGCGGTGTCTATGTCAAGGGCCTGCTGGAAATTTACGTCTCGAGCGTGCAGGAAGTTTACGAAGTTATGCGCAGGGGTGGTGCCGCGAGGGCCGTCTCTGCAACGAACATGAACCAGGAATCTTCGCGATCACACTCAATTTTCGTCATTACTGTAACCCAGAAGAATGTGGAGACCGGTTCTGCCAAGAGTGGTCAGCTGTTCCTGGTCGACCTGGCTGGCAGTGAGAAGGTGGGAAAGACTGGCGCAAGCGGCCAAACCCTGGAAGAAGCCAAGAAGATCAACAAGAGTTTAAGTGCCCTTGGGATGGTCATCAATTCGTTAACGGACGGCAAATCCACACATATCCCCTACCGCGATTCGAAACTTACCCGGATTCTACAGGAGAGTTTGGGAGGGAACTCACGCACGACTTTGATAATTAACTGCTCTCCCAGCAGCTATAACGATGCAGAGACGCTCAGTACGCTTCGCTTTGGTGTGCGAGCTAAGGCCATCAAGAACAAGGCAAAAATTAACGCTGAGCTTAGTCCTGCGGAGCTGAAGATGTTGCTTAAAAAGGCCCAGATGCAGGTTGTCACTTTTGAGGCTTATATTAATGCCCTGGAATCGGAAGTTCAACTTTGGCGAGCTGGGGAGTCGGTACCAAAGGAGCGGTGGACGCCAGCAAGGACTGCTGAGGGACTGAGTGGCGTCAAGGCCGAGGCACGGGGAACTCCGCGTTCGGGGACCCCATCTCGTCTCCAGGCGGATATCTCAAAATCAGAGACTCCTAGCCGGCCCGATTCGAGAATGGGCGAACGCTCCAGCACCCCCAGCATCGTTCTCGAGAAGGATGAGCGCGAGGAATTTCTGCGACGGGAAAACGAACTTCAAGATCAACTTGCTGAAAAAGAAACACAAATTACCAATACCGAGAAGGATCTGATAGAAAAGAAGGAGGAGCTGAAGCTCCTCAAGGAAAGCACAATACGCACGGGAAAGGATAATGAGAAGCTTAACACAGAGGTCAGTGAGCTTCGAATGCAACTAGAGAAGGTCTCTTATGAGAGTAAGGAAGCGTGTATCACCATAGATACTCTGAAGGAGGCCAATCTTGAACTCACAGCCGAACTCGATGAGCTGAAGCAGCAGCTTCTTGACGTGAAGATAAGTGCCAAGCAAACTAGCGCGGCTTTGGATGAGAAGGACAAGAAGAAGGCCGAACGCATGGCTAAGATGATGGCTGGGTTTGACCTGGGGATGAACTTGTTCTCAGACAATGAGCGGAAAATCCAGAAGCTGGTGGAGCGGGTTGATGCGCTGCAGGCGTCCAACGAGGCCGGAGAGGCCATAGCGGTCGATGACCTCGCTGAACTTAGGACCAGTCTTATCGAAGCGCAGGGATTCGTTCGACAGGCGGAGCTGACTGTGAACGACCGGAGCATCTACCGGGAGTTGCCGGAAAACAAACGGATGGAGCTTGAGGACCGTATTGCAGATTTGCAACGCCAGTATGAGGCAGTGCTGGAGAATGGGCTGAGCAAGGCGGACGTGGAAGACCTTAAGACCCGCCTTGGTGAGGCATATAAGGGACGGGTGGAACATGAGTCGAACATGATCGAAGAGCTTCGGAGCGAACTGACGCAACGAGGAGATGAGCTCGAGCGCTTAAGACAAACTGTTGCCGAATTACAGTCTCGTGCTCCAACCAACGGTGCAGCGGCCAACGGCGCACCAGCAATCAATAGCAAGACGCTCCAGCAGCAAATTGCGGATTTCGACATCATGAAGAAGTCGCTAATGCGCGATCTGCAAAACCGGTGTGAGCGGGTGGTTGAGCTGGAGATCTCTCTGGATGAGACCCGCGAGCAATACAAGAACGTGCTGCAGTCGTCGAACAACAGGGCACAGCAGAAGAAGATGGCGTTCCTGGAGCGCAATCTGGAGCAGCTAACACATGTACAGCGGCAGCTCGTGGAGCAGAACGGCAGTCTCAAACGCGAGGTGGCGATTGCGGAGCGCAAACTCCTCGCACGCAATGAGCGGATTGAAAGTCTAGAAGCACTGTTGCAGGATTCTCAGGAGAAACTCACCGCTGCTAATCATCGGTATGCACCTATATAACTTTTGATCCATTTCCCGTTCCAGTTCGCTCATGCTAACTTTACCTTTTTCCTCTTAACCAGCTTCGAAGCCCAACTCACAGCCGTCAAGGAGCGCCTAGAAGCCGCCAAGGCCGGGTCAACGCGGGGGCTTCCCTCCTCCGACTCCACGGGATTCAGCTTCGGCGGGTCACGGATAGCAAAGCCCCTCCGTGGTGGCGGCGGCGCCACAGTCTCGAATGGTGGAGTTGTCAACCCTACACTCTCCGGTTTGCAGTTGCAGGAGAACACGTCTGGGTCTGGTCCAGCCAATGCGAAACGGTCCAGCTGGTTTTTCGATCGGCGATGATGGGTGCATTGCGAGGAGCTGTTGCGGCTACCGCAGCGTGTGTTTTCGTTTGATTTGAATGGTGAGGAGGAGGAGGAGGAGGAGGAGGAGGAGGAGGATGACGAACCAAGTGCAGCAATCCTCTAGTCGGTTTTTTTTTCCTCGTGGTTTACGGTATATTGCAGCTGGCCGTATCGTCGTCGTCGTCGTCATCGCCAAAGTCGAGGACGGGGGGCCAGAGTCGGAGGGCCCGTTTTTTGAATTTCCTAATGAATGTTATGTTGCGGAGGTGGGGGAAGCTGTCCCTCTTACTCTTACTATTACCATTGCCTTTGCGTTCACCTTTGTTTCTACCGTTGCCTCTGGCTTCGGTTGCGCGAAAGATTGTTTCACTGTAGATAGATTCATTGGGAGTAATTTTTAACCCCCCTCCCACCCTTTCTCTTTCTTCTTCTCCTCTCACGCTGTGGTCGTTTTTGGATTCTATTTTTGTCTTTTTGACTCATGTCATGTCCTAGCACTACTTCACACTCCTATCTCCCGAAACCTGATGATTTCTTTTTCATATCAAATGCTGAACCTTTGTATTCCTGTTCCCTTTCCTGATCTGCAACCTCTCATCAGTAGTGTTCAGAATAGATATCTACGGCGGAGCAGAGGCGTAGGTTGCTTTGGTCCAGCTGAATGCCTTGCTTGGTATTTAAGTAGATCACTGGCAGGTTTTGGTTATATATTACATCTTTGGGATCTCCTGAATCACTCCATCCAGATCTTTGCGATACCGGCATTGAGTTTGTATTAAAGAGATAAATGATAAATTTTCCCCTGCAAAATTTCCCCTGCCCCTGCCCCTGCCCCTGAACCCAAGTTTATTTATCATGTGGCACACTTTAACTATAACTAGTTATAAGTAAAATAACTAACGTAATTCCACACCGAGTCGGCCACCACACTGAGTCGGCCACCAAATTTCTCCACCTACTAATTTAACTGCTCATTCAATTCAACGCGCAATTATGCAACCAAAATGCAAGAAAAACTCTTCAAATTCAGTTGAGCAAGAGGGGAGGATTGAACTCGTGATAAAATCTATTCAAAATGATGAAAAGCTCTCAATTCGTGAAGCTGCAAAGCTATTTAATGTGCCTAGGTCTACTCTTCAAGATCGCCTCAAGCACCGGCCCTCACGGGTGAATTTACGCGCAAACTCTCACAAATTATCTGCTGCTGAAGAGGATAGGCTAGTTGAATGGGTGCTGGACCAAGCTAAACGAGGATTCCCCCCCCGGCCGGCATTTGTTGAAGATATGGCTAATTATCTTCTTACCTTACGGAATTCCACTGCCTCCACTGCCTCCCCCCCTTGGGTCAGCAAGAACTGGATTTCAAGGCTGATTAAACGTTGTACGGAGCTCTAAAACCGCTATTCCAGACGCTATAATCATGACCGGGCCAAGTGTGAAGATCAGCAGGTTATAAAGGATTGGTTTAAGACCTTAGGAGATACAATTGCTGAGCATGGGATTGTGCCAGAGGATATATACAACTTTGATGAGACTGGCTTTGCTATGGGGCTCTGTGCCACTACTAAGGTCATTACTAGTAGTAAGCACTATGGCAGAGCAAAGCTCCTACAGCCTGGAAACCGTGAATGGGTGGCTGTAGTTGAGTCAGTCAACGCGTCAGGATGGGCTCTACCTCCCTATCTCATCCTCAAAGGCCAGGGCTTGTTGGAAGGTTGGTTTGAAGGCCTTCCAGAAGACTGGAGGCTAGATGCCAGCCCAAATGGCTGGACTACTGATGAAATAGGCCTGAGATGGCTTCAACGGGTGTTTATTCCAGCAGCAGATCCTCGCAGAGTTGGCAGATCTATCCTTCTTATCCTGGACGGGCACGGCAGTCACCTTACCCCAGAATTTGACCAAATCTGCAAGGATAATACTATAATATGCCTTTGCATGCCGCCTCATTCCTCTCACCTTCTGCAGGCACTAGATGTGGGTGTTTTTTCAGTTTTAAAGCGAGCGTACGGAGATCTAGTTCAGCAGCGAATGCGGCTTGGATTTAATGCCATTTGGAAGGCAGATTTCCTAGATGCCTACCCTGCAGCACGCGCTGCAGCCTTCAAACCTCAGACTATTCAAAATGGCTTCAAGGCAACTGGAATAGTGCCCTTTCAGCCTGACTACGTCCTCCAGCAGCTGGATATTCAACTACGGACCCCTACCCCCCCACGCAGCAGCTCTAGCAATTCAACCATGTCCTGGGTGCTTCAAACACCTAGTAATCGCCAGCAATTACACTGGCAGGCGAATAAGATCAAGGGCTTAGTGGAGGGTCAGCCTCAAGGCTTTGTGGAAGGTTTTGACCAAATTATCAAGGCCTGTGAATATGGGATGGTCAGTGCCACAATTATTAAGAAGCAATACCAGGATATATTCAACACCGATGAGATAGAGAAGCAAAAGCGCAAGAGATCTAGGCGCCGAATTGGGCAGGAAGTAGGAGGTTTAACTAGTGAAGAAGTTCAAAGTCTTCTAGTAGACCCTATAGAGCCTGCAGAGCCTGTTGAACAGCCAGTTATTCAACCCCCCAAGCCTTCAGCTGCTGAGCCCGCAGCACGCGTACGAGCGCCACGAAGATGCAGCAATTGTGGAATGCTTGGGCATACAAGACTAAGATGCCCTCAACCAAGTGTAATTTAATTTAATTTAATTGAGCTTTGTTGCGTTGAGATAATTTGAATTAAAAACTACCTAGTTGGGATACAGTGAATTTGCTGGCCGACTCGGTGTGGAATTACGTTAACTAATAAAGGAAAAGTTAACGTAATCGATCACCGAGCGGATAACATCACCGAGCGGATAGCCTCCCACCCCAAACCCAGTCAAATTGCGAAATTAAGCAACCACCAAACTAGAATTTCTCATATATTTTATATAGATCTATTTCTTAGGTCTGTTGGCAGCTTCTAGCAGTATGATCAACTATATTACACTTGCTGCAGCGTGGCGGAGCTCACTTTCTAGGCGGCTGGTTCGAATTCTCTACCCCTTCTTGCACAGTTTAATCAATTGCTTGAGCCCTAGCTATTCCTTCCTCAGCTGTTAAAGCTCCATTCTGAGCTATAAATATATGAGCTTGCTTCTTCTTATGCTTTTTCTTCTCAACTGCAGCTCTTCAGCTCCTTATTTTCCTTTGCTAAGATAGCAGCACTACTGCATGGCCAGCTGGCATTTCTTAACCCAGTTGATTAAAGGCCTGATTTGTGGCTCTGAATAGCAGCTCTGTACGCTGCTTAATCCTGCTGCTTTGACATTCTAACTGCCTCACATTCCTAGGCGTTTGAAGAGGAGATGACTGAGATTCATGAGAACTTCCTGGGGGGGGGGGGGTAGCAGTATGAAGCTGAGTATGTAGATGTATGTAAGAGAACCTCATTCAGATTGTTCAGCACTAGACCCGTGCCTTTAAATCCATTGTTAAGAGTAGAGTCCTTGAATGCCTCCTTTCTGGCTGCAGGATAGAGTGCTAGAAAATCATCCTTGTTGATATGATTGATCCCTAATCTCATGCAATCCTCAATCCTGCGTCCGTAAGCTCGTTTTAAGGGTCCAAAGCAGCTCACATCTAGTGGCTGCAGGAGATGAGAGGAATGAGCTGGCATATAAAAAGGTATAACAGACTTCTCTGTGCAGTAGTGAACAGATTCAGATGTGCTGTGACTATCATGTCCATCCATAATCAATAGCCTATATCTACCAATCGTACGAACGTCTGCTTCTCAAAAGTCTCCTTGAGCTAGAATACCCAGCTTCTCCGTGGTCTAGCCATTTTCATTCTCGCACGATGGTAGGGTCTTCACATAAAGCTCACTTGTTGTATTTGCGTGGGAATCTAGATTTTGATAAATCTATTCACCCACAGTTGCGTTAACCCGAGAAGAGAGTAGTAAATTTGCCATATTTGTGCGTTTTCAACTCGGGGAGGCTGACCTCTTTCATCCATGGATATTATCCATTGAACTGGAGATTCTTCTTCCGTAGAGGTAGTTTTTGACAGTTTGGTTGAACATCCGCTCAAGAAACTAGACCGGCTAGTCTATAGTCTAGAGTGGAATAAGGAACGTGATGTTGATCTTTCCTGTCGATCTTCCCTCTTATATCTCGCTTATACTAGGGTCACCCACACCTCTGTATAAATTAGATCTAGTTGATACGTATTCTCTTAGCATAGAAGTAGAAATATAGATATATCGATATTACATTTGATAGTTATGAGCCCGGGTTCTTCCAAAGCCCGGTAGATTCCATATAAAACCTTTTATCGACGTTTTATTCTTTATACGCACCCTTGACCGGCATATCCTCGATATTTGACCCCTACCGACCTTCCGACCAACTGTTTACCAGCCCTGATTCTAACGTTTTTACCGCTCACCGTTTACGTTGGACCATGGCCACCAAATCGTCAATCGTTTTGAAGGCTTCGAGCGATTGGCCCCTTTGGTATCGAATTATCCTTAATAAGGCAGAGGACGAGTGCTTATTAGAATACGTCAAATTGGTCCAGACCAAGGAATCTTCTACACCAGCCGTAGAAGGCGGCGATGAAATCGTCAAAATCAGTTGGACGTTGCCGCCAAAACCACCGGTCAAGCCACAAGAAATCGCTATGCCAGAGTCCGATACCGAAGCCAGCCAGAGAGAGTATGAGATCAAACTCGCTCGTACTAAGATCAATTGAAGATCTACAAAGAGGCTATAAAAGGCCTAGGAGCCGTTCGAAGCTTGATCTTCATGGCTGTCGATAAAGATCACCTCTTGTCATATAACTAATAGACGTCGAAACCGCAGCGGAGGCTTTGTTAATCCTTAGCCAACGCCTATCGCCAACTGCCGCTGAGAGGGTGGCTGATGTCCGAAAACGCTATAACACACTTCTCGAAGCGCCGAAAAACTGGAACCTAGCTGATTGGCTAGACGATTGGCCTATGTCGTAGAAGATATACCGATATTACGTTCGATACATTAAATGATTTAGCAGCAACATATTTTGAATGAGATTTGTCCGGTTTTATAACATTAATAGTTAATAAGAGCCTTCTTTCTTGATTAGAAGCTTGATCTTTTGATTTGGGGGGCATATTGAATGATTTGATGAATGCGGATGATTTGGGGCGGGAAGCTATCGCTCGATGATGGATTACGCTATACGAGATGGCGGAGGCTTGTACGAAGGCAGGGTCTGAGTAACAAAAAGGGTAGGGCGTAGCCCCCTGTAATATCTCCCCTATTCGCGTCTGATAGTTTCTGACATGTTCAGCCAAAAGAATTCTCGGCTTACAATCTTGTACATGACTTCTCGACCTGGATGTCCTGCTAGCTTTGAGCCACGCATCTCCTGCAGAAGATGTGTTCGAAGAGGTTCAGAGTTAGAAACCACTGCGTCCCACAGAAACAGAGCTCCCCTTGACTGTCAAGTGTGCACTCAGAGATGTCAATACGGACTCCTAGGTCAGTTGGGAACTTGGGGCTTTCTCTGATGAACAGCATTAATCAACTAAGTGAGAGTGTCATTGACTTGACAAGCCTGGTTCCAATGGTCTTTAGGAGTGAGGCTGGGAGGACCAGAGTACTGATGAAGCTCGTATGACATCATGAGTCGTTGAGAAGTCTTGGATGAGCACTGTGTCCAGCAGGCGTGCTTCGCGGCTCTTCCAAGGAAAGTCCTTTTCATTCTTTGACATGTCTTGTTCCCATTGTGATAGTGCGTCAGCAAGTGCGTTCTGCACGCCCGGACAGTAGTGGATGAGGAAGTTGAATTGACTGAGAAATTAAGACCAGGGGACCTGACGTTCAGAGAGCTTGTGAGCGGCTGTGAAGTAATCCAGATTCTTATGGTCAGTCAGAATCTTAAAATCTTTCACACTACGAAGTTCTGCATCCCGTTCCTCCAAGCACCTTATGATTACCAGGAGTTCCTTGTCGTAGATCTCATAATTGCACTCATCGGGGGTGCTCTTCCTGGACATAAAGGCGCAAGGTCGCAGGACTCAATCATCATCATACTGCATGAGAGCTCCACCCTCATGTAGCCAGATGAGTCAGTTTTTACTACAGTCTCGCGGTCAGGGTCAAAAGCTAGTAACATAGGCGCAGTTGTGAACATCTTCTTGAGTTTTTCAAAGACTGTATTCGCAGTGTCCGTTCAATGGAATGTGACATCTTTCCATGTGAGATCGGTCAGTGGTGAGGCAATCTCAGAGAAGTCTTGTATAAATCTCTGATAGAAGTTAGTGAATCCTAGAAAACTGTGTACGCGTTTTACTGTGATGGGAGCTTGCCATTCAAGGATAGCTGTAATCTTCTGAGGGTTCATGCTGATGCCTTTGTCTGCTTCTATTATGAAACTGAGATATCTTGTTGTCACTTTGAAGTCGCATTTGTCAATGTCAATGTGAAGACCAGCTTCACGGAGTCTTGTGAGCACTTTGCGTACATGATCTCAGTGTTGCTCCAATGATCCGTTATGAGAATATCGTCCGTATAGGCAGAGACAAATTCGTCCAGGTAATCTCCCAATGCCCAGTTAATATATTTCTGGAATGTGCTTGGGGCATTGACTAGTCCGGAAGAGGTGACTGTCCACTCGAAGAGCCCGTAGCGTGTATGGAAGGCTGTGAGCCACTCATCGCACTTCTTGATGCGTAGTTTGTGGAAGGCAGCGATAATATCAAGCTTAGTGAACCAGCAAAGAATTCATCATAGTGTAAGGGAAGCTTGAGTGTCGGGTCTTGAGAAGAATTTCAAGTGAGCTTATTCAGAGATTTCTGTATATCTGCAAGACTGGCAGTGAAAATTTGAATAAGCTAAGCTCTGTGCTTCGTAAGCGTAGCCAGCATGTCGGTGAACCTCCTACGTCAACATTGAGCTTGACTATGTGGGTTCAATATCTAGTGCAAGGGCCGGCGAAACCTCGCATTTACGAGGGGGTTCTGAGAGAATACACTGCAGATTTAACTGAGACCTTCTGAGGTTGAATCATTGCATATTGACATAGCCCACTGTCTATCATGGTCTCTATATTATACAGACCATCTACGATCGCAGGAACACATATTGCATTAACAGTCATCTCTTTCTAAAGAGCTCTCCAGTCCATCTGTCAGCTCTTGTCAGTGATTTTTAACAAGAGTTACTCCTTTCCCTGTCTAGAATGAGCATCTTCGACCTTGTTTTCTTGAGAGTCTTCGGGTTTAGCTCCGACAGGATCCTGAACTAAGGTATGGTTGGAGCAGACAGGGTGTTTAACGGGGACGAATGAGTTGATGCAGCGTGAGGCAATGTGCCCAGGCCTTGCGCAATTGATACACATTTTCTTGGGCGCGCCTTTTCACAGCATCAACACTCCCAGGGACTCTGAATGACTTCGCGGCGGTGGCGTCTGGCATGGGATGCAAGATATGCCACGCTGAACTGCCAGTTCATGGCATCGGTGGAAACAGTGATAATACAAGGAGAAGTTGAGATGAACCTCTGGCCACAGTTCTGAATAGCCTTCACCTGGAGAAGCTTATTCTCAATCATACAGAGGTTGGTGCAATACTCCACGTAGCTGTCCATGCTGGCTTGTGAAACTGCCTCCCTTAAGGAGCTCCAAGTTGAGGGCTTTCTGAAGCATACTAATCTTGATCTTGTCATCCCAAAACTGTCCTTCAGCTTCTTGGATCTTCTGGTCGAAGGTTGGAAGGAAGGTTGCAAGGGAAAGGCTGCGTTGATGGATGTTTTGAAGCCAGCTAAGAGCTTTTGCAGCAAGGGCAGGGTCAGAAAAGAGGATATCCTCTTCTTCATCACTAGTGATAGAGACGTCGGCGGTGAATCGCATAAACTATATGAGGTCGCCATGGTCATCAGACCTTTCGCTGGCTCGTCACCTCTCGTGGCTAGTTATAGGGATACGTAGGATCCCTTCGTTCGTGAGCAGCCCTATACTATATGTTGGGCTTCGGTGGAGCTACCTCCATAAGTCTCGTGTTGCTGTTCTCTTGACAGGAGAGAACGAATGAATGAATGAACGATTCTTCATGTAACGGGCTAGTTACTGAAAACAGTGGATAACTAACGAGTATAAACAACTAGAAGGAATCGTTAAGAAAGAAGAAAAGAAAAGAGAGATCATATCAAGACAGAGCCTTGGTAATAAAGGAAAAGTAATACGAGGATGGCGGAGGCTTATACGAAGGCAGAGTTTGAGTAACAGGAAGGGTAGGGAGCAGCCCCTTATAATTATCCTCTTTGATGATGCCAGGCGGCTGCCCAAGTGAGAATATTCTGAGAGGGAACGGACCTTCGGCAGCTGGTCGGAGCAGGTTCGTATGAAAAACATGAATTCCAGGTGTATCTAGTTGGTAGTTATCACTACCAAGCACCGTGGTGACTGTGTACTTGGAGTAGCGGTAGTCAAATGTTCGAGAAGGTCAGTCCATTCGTGTATTCTTGAGATCCAGCAAAACTTTCATCCCACTTCACTCCGCGTGGCTGGACTCTACGTACGTTCGCTTCGTCTTCGTAATCTTGCGGTAGTCAAGTGTTCAAGAAGGTCAGTCCATTCGTGTATTTGAGATCCAGCCAAGCTTTCATCCCACTTCACTCCGCGTGGCTGGACTCTACGTACGTTCGCTTCGTCTTCATAATCTCGCGGTAGTCAAGTGTTCAAGAAGGTCAGTCCATTCATGTATTTTTGAGATTCAGCCAAGCTTTCATCCCACTTCACTCCGCGTGGCTGGACTCTACGTACGTTCGCTTCGTCTTCGTAATCTTGCGGTAGTCAAGTGTTCAAGAAGGTCAGTCCATTCGTGTATTCTTGAGATCCAGCCAAGCTTTCATCCCACTTCACTCCGCGTGGCTGGACTCTACGTACGTTCGCTTCGTCTACGTAATCTCGCGGTAGTCAAGTGTTCAAGGTCAGTCCATTCGTGTATTTTTGAGATTCAGCCAAGCTTTCATCCCACTTCACTCCGCGTGGCTGGACTCTACGTACGTTCGCTTCGTCTTCATAATTTCGCGGTAGTCAAGTGTTCAAGAAGGTCAGTCCATTCATGTATTTTTGAGATCCAGCCAAGCTTTCATCCCACTTCACTCCGCGTGGCTGGACTCTACGTACGTTCGCTTCGTCTTCATAATCTCGTTGGGCACTTGCCATGGAAGCTTCGGCCCACTCACGGGCTCTTTTGAGTTTGCTTACAATATTCTCTGCTGATTTTATTGGGCAATGAGCAGTGTCAAACTCCTTAGGCGTTTCATCGGTGAAATCGAGTCTCCAGATCGAATCCATGAAGAAGAACAGGGTCACCCCTGTTGTAGCAGATTCGAGGTTGTTGATGGCAATCTCTGTGTGTGGAAGTAGGTCACTCATCATCTTGCGCGTAGTTGCAGAACTTCTGAAGAATGAATGTTCTTGACTGTCTGAATCATTCACTCAGAAGCCCCATCAGTCTCAGGATGGTAAGCAGGAGATAGATGATGTTTTATCTTGAGAAGTTGACAGACACGAGAGTCCACATAGCACTAATGAATTGGGTCCCACGATCAGACATTATAGAAGAAGGAAGTCTGTATGTATGATAGAATGAGCCTTTCAGAAAGGTGTGCGCGACTGTTTTACCATCCATCTGCTCACATGGCTGCAGAATGACACCCTTACCGAGGCTGTCCACAATAACCATGATGTTCTGGTATCCATTCTTTTGGGAAGTGGCACTGCAAAGTCTACAGTGATATCTCGCCAGACACATTCAGGGATTGGCAAAGGTTTTAGAATTTCCTTTTAGGGTTCACGCCATGCAGTGACAGAGCTGCAAGGATTGCAGTTTCGGACAAAATGAAGAATATCCTTGGACATTTCAGACCAGTAAAGTTCTCAGACGATAATCATATACATGACTTCGTGGCTTGGGTGCCCAGCAAGTGGAGAATCATGAATTTCTTGCATGATTCTTATCCTAAGAGGTTCTGAATTAGGCACCCATCGTCTTTCACGGAAGCACAGATGGTCTTCTTCATCAATGGGACATGCCGAGATGTCAGTTTCCATGTGAAGTTCTGATGGGAATCTTTGCTTCCCCCCGCGTACGGCCTGTGCGGCTGCTTGAAGCTGTTCATCAAGAGCTAATGCATTTTTCCAATGTTCTTCCAGTGGAAGTTCGTGAACAGATTGAGAGGGAGTAACTTCCTCTCGCGGGGCAGAGGTAGTTCGGCAAGTGACTGGGATAGTGCATACAGTGAAGGCATGAGCAGTTACATGCGCTATCAGAGTCTTTTCTTTTGAGAACGTAGGGCTAAGTAGACAGCGCTCTTGATTTTTCCAGCAGAGTCATCAGAAGGCATATCCTGTTCTCGACGGAAAAGTACGTCCGCTAGTGTGTTTTGTATTCCAGGGCGGTAGCAGATTGTAAACGAAAAGCAGCTCAAGAATTCTGACCAATGCATCTGACACTCCGTAAGGTTTTGTACAGTCATGAAATATTTCAGATTCTTGTGGTCAGTGATGATCTCAAACTTTTTGACACTAGTAAGCTCTGAGTTCCATTCTTCAAGACAACGGATGATTGGTAAAAGTTCCTTGCCATAGATCTCATGGTTGCATTCTCCAGGCGAACTTTTCCTGGACATAAAGGCACTCCATATTTCAATGGAATGATTAGGCGAATGCAGTCTTCAAGAGACTGAAGCAGATGTTCATAACTGCACTTATTCTGACCACATTTGACCCTGACCGGCAGACAGTCCTTGAGACTGACTCCTCTGGATACGTCGTTGGCGGAGCACTGATGCAATATGATGATAAGGGAGTCTTACGACCATGTCCTTTCGAGTCAGATCTGTCAGTGGTCGTATGACATCTGATAGGAGCCTCCCATTCAAGAATGGCAGTCACTTCTTGGGAGGCCAGCGCTGACGTGAGGAGTCCAATCCATTGGGTCAGGTGCGGTCATTATGGGCGGTGGGGTGAATGGAACAGTCCGATTACGGTAGCCTTGGACCGTATGAAATTGAGCAAGATCGTTATCCAGTTGACAAAGATCGGTGCAGTACAATGTAGATGGTGGGTTTCAGAGACGACCTACATTTCGATTCAACAGTTCAAAACTCAGGTTTCTGCTCAGCAAGTTGATTTTGATAACATCGTCCCAATTTTGATCTCCAGCTTTTAAAAGCTTACGATCAAACTCTTGGAGGTAGTTCGCGAGGGCAGTGTTCTTTTGTCGATTTCTATTTAGGCAATAAAGTGCTTAGACTTGATGTGTAGCGTCTAGAAAGAGCACGTCAAGTTGATGAAATACATTCTCAGGTGTACGCTGATTTCGGTGCAGGAATCTATCCATGGTTGAAAGTTCGCAAGAGCATCTCCATTCAGTCGGCTGTAGATGAATTGATAGAGAACCAATAACAAGACCATCAACACTAAGCTTGACCTTCGCTTTTGATTTCCAGGCAAGGTATAAGGAGTGGTCGCCCTTATATTCGTCTAGGACAGCCAATCGTTCCTTCGGAGGCTTAACAGGCGGGGTAGGCGGGGCGGGGCAGGCGGGGCAGGCGTAGGTACATTGAATGTTATGGGGTTCAGTTCATTCAGTCAGTGCTGCAGTTCAGCCATCTGTGCAGCTTGTTGCTGCACCAATCTCCGGAGGTTAGCATTATCAGCTGCAAGAGAGTTGGTGTCAGGGAAGGTTTCTGCTGGGGGTGGCGCTCTAAAGGAGGGTCGCAATGCATGTTTTTAGGGAAAGGAAGTCTTGGGCACTCTGGCCTTCTATAGATGAAGGCTCTCGGGCATTATTCTCAGAGCGAAGACTCTCTATCCTTATTCTCAGGACGAAGGCTCTCAGGCCTTATAAGATATAAAAGAACAAATTCATAATGGAACAGGGGTGCGACCGAATACGGCCCTAGCACTTCCTTTATAGAACAGAAAGACGAATTCGTCAGAAGGAGAAAAGAAAAGAGAAGAGAAAAGACTGAAAGCTATGAAGGTGGGGCAACAGACTTTTATACGTGTCAGACCGGAAGAGGGATAATCCGGGATTAACCGCAAGGGCGGTCGAATAATCCGGGCGAAGAGGTTTTGATTACGAATGATTATCACCAGGGCGTTCGTTAGTTAGCCTATTACACAACAACACATGCTCTAAGTAGTAAATATTTTGAGTGTTTTAGTTCTCATTCAAATCTCAAAGAACTGAGCAGTCTTTAAACATTGCTCCATGCTATCTCTGAAGAGCTTCTGACATCAAGTATCATCTGCTGCAGAGGTTTTGATATAGGACCTGTAGCTTATGTTGATGCTGATTGAGCAGGTATGGATCTGAAATTCCACTTCATCACTGACTATATCATTTATATAACTGATGATTCTATTGCCTCGAGAAGTTGTAAGCAGGCTGATGTCTCTAGATCCTCTATAGAAGCTGAGTATATCTCGTTCTTGAAGGCTGTCTATAAGCTAGTTCATTTCAGAGAGCTTCTTGCTGATGTTAGGTTTCTGTTCTCCCCTTTCATCTTAATGATTTAGACACTGCTGATGAGACTGTTTTACTTTCTGCCAACTCTTTCATCTTCGCTATTCATGCTGACAACAAGTCTGCATAGAGCTCTTTTCCAGTGAAGCTATATCATGCTGCTCCAAGCACATGAAGGTCTGCTTTCACTCTCTTTAACATCTTGTTCACAAGAATAAGATTATACTTCACTACGTGCTGTCTGCAGATGATGTGGCACACAGTCTTACCAAGTCACTGAGGGCCACAAAGTTCACGCGCAGAAAGGAGATTGTAAAGTTGAGAGAATGAATTCAATATCTTCATTTAACTTTTTTCTTTCTTTCTTTCTTTCTTTTTTTTTTTTTTTTTTTTGGTGGGGTTTCACTGTCTTGTTTTGCCAGTTGGTTCTATACCTGTACTTGGCAGCAAGCCTATTTCTATATATAATATTGAGTACTCCTACGGCGAGTCGGGGTGTCGGAACCTTCCGTTACGTGACCTATATTCCACTGTATAGGCGTTCTCGTAGTTAGCAACCTTTCCAATCGATCAACCTTGCCATTCTGTCAGGAATATTTCACCAAGATAACCCCAGAAGGGGGACGTAAAACGCACACCTTATTAGGCCGAAGTCTGCAGGTAAACTAACAGGGCCGAAGCCCGAGAACAAACACCACCTACGCCCGAAGGCCTCACTTTTCCACCACCTCTCCTCCTCCAAACTCCTGTTCAGCGACGGGGACGGGGGGCACGGGTACTCCTGCCTGCAGGGAGTTAGCGGTACGACGCCGCAACAGGTGGGTGTAGACTTACCATCTGGCAGAGGATCTGAGTCATCTGCTCCATCTGAAGTGAGATCTTCTCCAGCAGCTGCACAGTCTCCGTGGCGCTTCTGGCGGCGCCAACTACCCCCTTTTTCTTGGGAATAGTTACTCTGAGGTGTTTCTCTACATCGGAGACCCACTTATGCGCTTCCTTCTGGAGTTGGGCCAGGGGGACCTCCCCGATGCTGACAGAGTCCGCCAACACCTGGAGGCTTGAGAGCCTGGCCCTGTACTGCATTGGCACCTATCCGAGTCAGTGTCGCTGCAGCGCTGTCTCAGATAAAAAACATACAGGAAGGCACGAGTCGTTATTCTTTGCGCAACGGAAACAGCGCGAATTTAGACTTGAGCGGCTGCAGAAAATTCCTCCATTCTTGAGCTGCTTAGCGCAGCGGAGGCAGCAGGAAGTGCCAGCAAGTTGACGAGCAGGCAGTTCCCCAACAATGCCCTTCGCCATTGCACTTGCCAGAGAAGGAGTGGAAACTGTAGGTCCCTGAGTCCCCAACGCCTCACAGCGCCGGGTTCTAAGGACTGGGCTTCTCGAGTCCACTACCCTCGGATCCAACTCCTCCACCGACAAGTACGATGAATGACACTGTGAAGGTCCTGCCACAGAATCCTTGAGAGCCGGCGTATGGGGAGCACGAGGGGTCGTCGGCGCCCGGGAGGAGGGAGTGGGCGCCGGGGGGGTGGCAGCCACTGCCTCCGCCTCAGGCGCAGGCGACGACTTGACGACGGCATCATGGCACGTCATCTCCTCTGGCCTGGCTTTTTTGGCTGTGGCAGGGGTGGTAGCTGCCTCACGCAACTTGCGTTTTGGAGGCACTGTTCAGACATCATTACCACACTCTCTCTGCTCGATAGACGGAGTATTATACTCACTATTGGCTGGGCCGAGGGGGAGGACGTGTAGTGACGGGAGGAGATAGTTCTTTCGAAAATTTTCTATCCAACCAGTCAGTATTTCATCGTTTTACACCGTTTTTCTTGGAAGACCACCTACGAGGGGAGGAAGGAGTTTGATGAGACTATATTGCGCTCGTTAGCAATGTCTTAACCCACATCAAGGGGTATATAGAAGTTATGCTTACCCGGCAGCAGGGTGGGGAGTGTTGGGTGACGGAGGAAGGGTCTGTGTGGCCAGCGAGATTCATAATAAAGGCCCTTACCTCACTAAATCGTGTTGTTGCATAACAAAGACAATTAATTACCCACACAGGATATTCCGAGGGTATCGGGACGAAGCCCTAGAAGTGGGAGGTGTCAGATATCAGCTTTTTAGCGTCGAAGCTATTCCGAAAGCACGAGTCCTCGCCACGCCGGCACTTCAACTTTTATTCCCTAGTAGTTATACGAGGCCTCCACTTATATGAAACTTTCTCCTTAAATTCTTTCTTTTCTTTTTATCAGCAATAGGGGGATTCAATTTCCCAGTATATTTAAACGTGGTTCAACCCCTTGTAAAACATAGTTAGTTAGAGAGAGAGCAGCATACGAATGACATTTTCTTTTACCACACCAAGAACCGTGCATAGTTAACGTACGTACTTTTCAATGGTCATGAGACCTCGCCAAAGGGCCCCCGCGGCACCCCCGATACTCTCTATGAGTGGTTCCTCCGCGGCGCCGGCGCGCCCTTCTACATCTTATGATATCCTAGTAGCGATGTTCATACTTCCCCGCCTTTATACGAGATGGCTGCAGAGATTGTCGCAGCAGGAAGGCCACGAGAACTGCGCCGCTGACGACGCCTAGAAGGCGCCCCTCCCCCCGATAATCGGGTGGACGACATCTTATATTCCATACTTTTGAAAACGAGAGTTTGATAAAAACCTCTATGTGGATAGTTATCTGGCCCTTTGTTCAGAGGGTCTGCGATTCGTTCTCAATGTATCTGAGTTACTGGAATATGACAGAATGGCAAGCTTGATTGATTGCAAAGGTTGCTAACTACGAGAATTACACGGTGGAATCTGGGTCACATGACAGGAGGGTCCACCCATTCGGCTTCCCATATAAACGGCTCCAGGAGGAATATCTGTAATTCTGAATGCTCAGCGGAAGGTTCGGATATTTGACACTCTCTCCACTCCTCCTCCCCTCCTCCTCCGCCCAGCCTCAAGCCTCTAGTAGACATTCGGCCTGAGATATAGTGGATTCGTAACGTACTTCACCACCGAGCGGCGGATTCTCTCTGAAAATCATCAAATATTCAACGTATTCAACAACCAACACGGTGAAATATTTAAATATTAATAAGTTAAGACTATCTAATAGTTGAATGCATAGCTATTTATTAGGGCAACTGCGTATAGTATGTCCAATAGTCCCACAGCCACTGCAGCGTGGTGGAGCTCGCTGGTGAGATATAGCTTCAATCTGAGCTTCAACCTGCATATCAAGCTGCTGAACACGCCCATGACCTTCCTGTATAGATAGAATAGTATCCTGACCTAAATTAGCATGTCTCCGTGCCTTTTTCTTTGTCTTCCGCTCATTCTCTGCTCGTAGAATCTTGATTTCTTGATGAAGAAAAAGATTTCTATTCATAGCCATCTATCTGTGCAGCCTTCTCAAGATGTTGAAGATGAGATATTGAGCTTCTAGATAGTTGTCTCTTCTTAAGACTTCTCTGCAAGTGATGAATCTTACGATCAAGCTGGCAAGTGGTTTGAGGTGCCTGAAATGCTGAAGATATTGAGACTCATCATTAATTGATGATGATGGTGGTGGTGTTGGTGTACGCAGTTGAAGGATGATTTTTGACAGAACCCACTCTATATCTAATGATTTAAGCCCTGCTCCAGCAAATCCATCATAGATATTCTCTTTTGTAAAGGCCTTCTCACGTGCAGATGGATAAAGAGAAAGAAAATCATCTTTATCAATATGACTGTTTCCTACAATCATCATTCCTTCAACCAGCTTTCCATATGCGCATTTTAATGGCCCAAAAACACCAACATCTAGTGATTGAAGAAGATGAGATGTATGAGCAGGTATGCAGAGACAGACAATTGCATTATCTTTGCAAAAATCATCAAATTCTGCAGCCAGATGGCTACTATGATCATCAAGAATGACTAACCGCTTCGCACCCACTGAATAGTGTTTAGAATATGGTTCAAACACCTCCATTAGCCAGTGTAGGCCTATTACATCAGTGATCCAGCCATTAGCACTCATAGCTATCCTCCAATCCTGAGAAAGAGCTGATTCTTGATATCAAGATGTTTGATGTTCCTTTCCTTTTAGAATCACCACTGGTGGAATAGAACACCCTTTTGATCCTATACATTCAATAATCATGACCCACTCACAATTCCCCTGGATAACTGTACATGGCCTCTCACTGCACTCAGCTGCAGTAATGACTTTAGAGGTTGTACAAAGCCCCATTGCAAAGCCAGTCTCATCAAAGTTCCAGATATCATCTTCATGAATTCCATGTTCTTGAATAGCTTCATGTGCCATCTCTAACCATTGTTTTATAATCTTTGGATCCTTCGGCTTTGCCTGTTGATAGGATATACAGTTATTATAGTGTATACATAGTTGAGAATAGTGTTGAATGAATATAGATGTCCAGTTGACTCCAAGAGTGGTGGTAGAATCAAGAGTATGTGCTTGAAGTAGAGTCTGTGCCATTCCACGCAGGAACTCTGGTTGAATTGAAAACCTCACTTATCTGCATCCAGTAATTACTTGAGAAGGGTTTCCTTTTCAATCTCTGTCAATTTGTGACCACTTGCGCGTGTTTCTGAGTGTGATTTGATGCCAGCAAGTCGTTCGCACAGGGTAGTTTCAGAAACCTCATATATATCTTTGAATCTTTCATTTTTTCTTTTTTTCCTTTTTTTTCTTTTTTTTCTTTTTGATTTATATGAAACAATGGCCAACTGTATGTGAGATTCTTGAGATAAGGACATTTGGAAGAAAAAATGTGAAGATATGATGTGTTGAAGATAGTTGAGTTGAATATTTGATGATTTTCAGAGAGAATCCGCCGCTCGGTGGTGAAGTACGTCAGCTGGCGAAGGAATGCTTAGCGGCCGGCCCGGGGCAGCGCTTTGGTTAAGCCGTTTGCTGGCATTTAGCTCGTAGCCTGCCACTTAACATCAATGTTACCAGTGGTGGTGGATGTCCCCATGCCGTAGGGGTGATTTCCAATCTATCGGACAGCTGAAGAGGGTAACTAGAATCCCTTGAATACTTCATCAGATTGCCGAATCATCTGTGTAGACTGCATTAGTATAGATTTGAAGCACTGGTTCTTCAAGCTATTGCTGCTTCGGTTGCCGTCCATATTCCAAGTCGTAAGCCTTAGTCCCGCGAAAGTAATTAATCAAACGGTCTACTCATTCCAGGTGTGTTTGAGACGGATGTGACATGAACCTGGCCAATGCGCTGGCAGCAAAGGCACAGTCTGGCCAGGTAAGCACCTGAAGTAGAGAGTAGAGCCCATTCAGGTTTGATCTTTGTGAGCCTCATTATGACCCGCTATCCCACAATCCGGCGAGAGCGGTTCCACGGTTTCCTGCCTTGAAGTTTATATTTGCTTACTAATTTCTCAATATATCTATCCTGGCAGATCCACAATTTGAACTGAGCTCTATCCCGAATAATTCTCATGCCGAGGAACCATTTGGGAGCCTGGAGTTACTCCATAAATATTTCGTACTCCTTACTGTATTCCCATGGAATAGAATCACAATGTCATTCGCGAAGAACACTATGAGATGTTCATTTTGAAAGAGGCATGGCTAATCAGGCATCTGACGTAGCTTCAGTTTTTTCAGAGTGGCGGGATATATCATTGTTCCACAGTAGAGATCTGCGCAGGTCGTACAGTACTCGGAGCAACTTGAGTAAATATCCTGGCCACTGAAATCCTCCCAGCGGAGTCCCGTACACGAGGTCATCAAAAGACACATTTGGAAAAGTGTTTACTGCATTCCACTGCTCTGCTTTAAGTTTAAATGCAAGTTTAATCGCAAGCAGGAAGCGAATCATCTTATCTGCCAAAGTTTCTGTATAATTATCCTTCCGCAGGTCATCCTGGAGGTCTCCTCGCACACAAGGCGGGCCTTAAGCTTTATAACAAAGTCGTCATCATCCAATTTGTACGGAAATACCCAAAGAAGTGGTACTGACTTGATCTCTTTTACTGCTGATTTCGTTGGTTTCAAGGTAGTGTCTTTCTTGCAATGTACAATATTCAACATTGGCGGCCCGGATCCAGCTAGCACGCAGTGGATGTTTGAGCATGGCTTTTTAACATCTTAGAGCTGGTGGGAGATCTCTAACATGCATCCGGCTCTCAAGATATTTGACTTCTGGGGTAAGTGGTTGAACTGTTCGGCCAGCTATGAATGCTGTATAAAAGGTGTTCATATCAGAATAATCCATGTTCTGAACTGCTATTTGAGTAAACAATCGATCCGGATTCGGCTTTCTAACGCCTTGAGTATTCAAAATATTCAATTCGCTGATCTCTGAACGCGCAGATTTCTTCAAAATTTTTTGCTGGACCTTATTCTCAGCAGCAGCGGACTTCTGAGGCTGTGTCTGCAATTGAATGTCTAAATCAGTAGTTGTAACTAAATTATCTTGACCTGGATGATTCTCCTCGGAGGTAGGAACTGAATTGGCCCACCGCACAGTAGCCCTTCAACGGCGTTGAAAAATCGGTGCATCATCTCCGACTTGTGAGAGAATCTGGGGGTTTTAAACTTCTGGCTGAGTTCGTACGCAGAATCCCACTGCTGTGACCAAATAAATGGATCCTGTTCACGGGGTCCAGTTCCAGACGATTGAACTTTCCCGCAACATAGTGGAATTGAAAATCTTCTGCCCAGCGGGCCTGCCAGAGCTGTTGAAAGTTTTGTTATTCATCGATGTGTTTTCATCCTTCGCTAAGTCGCGTAGCCATTCAGGTGCTGGTTCAGGGTGTAAACGCCCACATATCTCCTTCGTACTCCCTAACGTGCCACAAAATTCGCATTTTATAGTGGTATGACTGGACGTATTCGTAGAAGTAGAGGCATTCACCCGTGGGGCCTTTGAACGCTCTGTTTCTTTCACTTGCTCGTTCCATTGTCAACTGCTTCAAATAAGATGTTCGTGATGGGTCCTTGACCCGTGGAATAGAATTCATAGAGTTTCGCCCTAGCGAACATCCTCTGATAATCCGTAAGCCGTAGAGAAAAATGTCATGGTAAAAATCATCTGACAGAATGGAAGGCTTGGTTGATTGCAAAGGTTGCTAGTTACGAGAAACGACTATATATGGTGAAAATAGATCACGTGATGGGAATTACATCATCTGCATCCGTTGAGCTCCTTCTGACGCGCGACAAGATAGCGGAATCTTTTTGGAATGCTAAGTAGTCTAGAGGGTAATCAATTCGCCTATGACATTAGTGTTCTCTTTTTGCTCAGGAGACAGCGTATTCTGTGCTTATCTTCTCTCAAAGAGCCGCAGCTTGTCAGGTTCTTGTGTTCCAATCATCGTTGGAACTGGTCGAAATCGGGATTGAAACATCGGGTAGAATTCAGAAGGAACTGTCCGAGGCGGTTCAAATAACGCTTCGTGAGGTCAAATATATATGTTTCAAGTGATTGCAGTTCCCTGCTTGATCCCTGACCTTTTTGAATATTGGGGGGATTATTGTACAACATGAAAATTCTGATGATCTAGGCACAAAACGGCAGGTTCTACCGCAAGCACTCGGTCAGCGATTCGGGATGCTTTACTACTTCACCACACACCCCCAGCTGAGCCGCTGAGGCCAAAGCCGGCACCCGAATAGGCAATTTTTCTGAATATATTCAGAACCTCTCGATGAAGAGTTTTGCTTTCATGTCTATTTCCTCTTGTTGCTCCTCGGCCACTCGTCGTGCAGCGATATTTTCCTTGATGTCCACTGATTTGACCTCGTGCACCAACTCGTTGAATCCTCGTAAGGGAAATGCCTTCGTTAGGCCGTTGGCGATCATCTCGTTCGTAGAGGTGTAGATATCGTGGATGCGCCCGGTGAGTGCTTCTTGACGTAGCCAGTGGGTGTGGATATCGACGAAGGCAGTTTTGGCATATATAAGATGACAGCCAGCAGCGGTATCCCAAATCGTAGGGTCTGACCTGTGGGGTTCAATGTAGAATGCAAGTAAGGTAATCTTTGCAGCTGAGGCAGATGTTTGGTGGGATAAACAGAGTTGGACGGAGGTACCATCGCCAATATCGGCAACAGTTATATCATTAGGCGATGGTAGAAGACTTTCTCCAATAATCAATATCATCCGGGGAAAAGGTCTGCCATGCTGGCCATCGCGATTTCATCTATAGAGAAGTTGTTTTTGAGATCCATAAATTCCTTCAGTTTGGCAGCATTGAAGGACCGCCAGGATTCCGGAGGACATGGAGCAGAAATGATTCTTCTCGCAGTCCTTGCATGTGGGAGGAGGGTTATGGGATGGTGGTGAGTCTGAACCACCACGGCCACATTTGTTAGAACGCCGCCTCATCCGCAGCCGCGGGTACCGCCACTGTTAATAGTCGTAGCGGTAGTATTGTCCGCAGAAGTAGAGGTCTCAGGTTTCATAAGAGTTCTGAGCAGCATTAGCTTCTGCAGGTTTTGCAGGCTTCTTTCTCTTTGGGAGTAACCAGGCGACAGCAGATCTCATTCATGATCAGATTGATGTCAGAACAGCAGCAACGGATTTGGAGAACTATAACTCTTTTATTTTCTTCTGTACATAGATAGTCACACCATCTGGTGAGTATGGCTGCAAAAAATGTTTCAGAGATAACAGGTTCCGGCACTCTTACCCCCACTGTCTTAAGTTTGATTGATGATGTACGAAAACATTCAAAGAAAGAGCAAATGTCCTCATGTTGCTTCATTGGGAATGTCATGAATTCCACAACTGTCTCACAACATAGTTACATATTTAATATTGTATATTCCTCTTCCAGAGAGCGCCAAAGGGTGTAGACAAGGTTCTGTGTGTTGCTTTCCCATTCTCTGATAATCCGACTGCAGACAGGAGCTGACAGGGAAGATGAGGTGTAGATGTATAGCCAGCAATTCATTGCCTATCAATAAGGAGCTCAAGTGGGTTCTATCACTGAATTGTCCATCTGGCATTCACTGATAATTTCCAAAATTGAGCATCGACATTCCGCCCTTTATGGAACTCCGCTACTTAATGTAGTTACTCGAACCCGTAAGAGTGTTGGGTTTGTTGATATATTTGACATCACGTTTGAACTGGGTAACCCATTTGCCAACAGGGTAGAGAGAATAGCGCAGGGTATTGGCAGTCTCAGAGTCCCAGGAACCTCTTGCGGGCAGGTCAGGCTGTCAATCCACAGGAGGGACCTTCTAGCCTTCTTGTAGCCGAATCATCAAATGAAGGTTTTCCTTTTCCAAACATATACGTTCTGGCTTGTGGTTGTGCCTCGCTTCGTCCCACAAGCGCTCCTCACGCAACATTCTTTGAACATTCTCAGAGAACGCGTCAGGTGCAACAATGGTGAGAGGATTGTGAGTGAATGAGGGGTTCTACGTCGCAGTAGAAGACGTAAGGGGTTCGAACCCAGGTAAAGGGGATGGGTATAATCTCTAAGCGAGAGTGTAGATTGTAACGTTCTGCAGGCTCAGATGGTTTATTTTCAATGAATGTTGATTGGTCATACTGAGCAGGGAATTGCGAAGCACAACTCTTGAAGAAAAAGTTCTGTTTCATCACCGATTAGAAGACCAGAGCGACGGAGCTGTTCAACTACATCATCATGTGCCTTCAAGACTCTTTCCTTACCCTTTCCAGAGGCAGGGTTGGAAGATGATGAACGAGCTGCCTTGGGGGCATATCAATTTATTGAAGCGAACGTCTATGACATCCACTAGACCAGATATTAAGCTTTGCAGCTTAGTCATTACAGGTTCATCAGCGGGGTAATCGCCAATAGGATGTACGCTTGCGACCGTAAGAAAGCGTAGGTGTGATATTCACGTGATATAGAAAAGAAGTGTATGGCACAGCAGCCGCCCCGCCGCACGTGATTAGTGTATATAGATAGTGTAGCTAGATGTAGCTAGCCTTTCGAAGGAGAGATCAACCATTCCACAAGAAGGGAAGCGTACGCTATTCGGAGCGTCCGACAGCCCGAGGATGATAGCTCCTTCATCGTAGCTGGGGGGAATTTTCCTGTAAACATCCTCATCGAGCGGAGTGTGAGGGAAGGCATTGACAATGCCATATTGTTTTGAGCTCTAGGTCGAAGCCGGCCGCAATTGCCATAAATGTTTAGAAAGATCTAACAGCAAGTGTAGCAGCGTAAGTGTTTTCTATTCTTCTGCAGGATTGCTGGTAATCCGCGAACTACTAAACGAGGTTGAATTCGAGGATCCGGCCGTGCTTGTCAAATTTGTAGACATAATAACTCACATGGAATTGAGCAGGGCCTTCTTACGCGCTGCTTCCTTAGGGACTTTGAACCAGGATCCCATTGTATTTGTTCATGGCTCATGAGGTGGGCAGGGAGTGTTCGAATAATTTGCCCAACGGGTGAGTGGCTAGCTAGCTAGCTGTGATGAGTAGGCGGAGGCGGCAGGTCTCGACGGTGCAGACGAGCAAGCAGCTCTGGATTGTGCCCTCATTCTCTAAATTGTGTCTCTCATCACCGTTCCTGGGCATTTCCACAAACATCTTTGGAAGTAGGCGCCGCAGAAGGGTTAAGCTGGAACCTCTCAACGGCGGCTTGATCCACTACCTTACCCTTCACTTTCCCATACTTTTGACTAAACGCGCTGTGCTGAAAGGGGCCTTCCAGGGTTCAAACACGGAATATAGCCTTAAATAATATGTATCCTCAGACCTGCGGATTGAGTAAGTGGAGCAGCAGGAGGTAAGAAAGGGTTTGAACTTGGTGGAGTTGAAAGATATGTAATATTTGATTCGAGGTTCGGATCGGATTCGCCTAACCGGGGGAGGCTCTAGTTCAGGATATTCGCGCTCCACGGATAGTTCTTCTGCTCCAACGCTGTCTTGAAGGGTTTGAATATTTTCAACCTCTTCCTTAACCTAATCATCCAATTCAAAAAAACACGAGCCAACGTGGTTCTCGAAGGTATTTTGAAACTGAACCTCAGGCACTTCCTGAATATCTTCAGAACGCGTGTGGGTTTGGTTAAATTGATTCAAAAGCTTCAAGAGTTCCTCCTGGCTAACGGGCAGCAGGTTGTTTCTCAAGGTCTCAATATTTCTGTCAAAAACCTCGTCCTCGTCAAACGTCACGTTTCTCGATAGAATATCCTTGTTGGTTTGTACCTTAAATATTAGGAACACGTTCGTTGAATCGTATCCGACCAGACATCCGAGAAATGCCTTTGGATTAAGTTGGTGGATGTGATACTTCTTCTTCAAATATTCCGGTGTCAGGGCAAAGGCTTTGCAGCCGTATCCAACCATATATATCCAAGAAATGCCTTTGGATTAAGTTGGTGGACGCGATACTGCTTCTTCAATATTCCGTTGTCAGGGCAAAAACTATGCGGCCGTATCCAACCGTATATATCCAAGAAATGCCTTTGGATTAAGTTGGTGGACGTGATACCGCTTCTTCAATATTCCGTTGTCAGGACAAAGACTATGCAGCCGTATCCAACCAGATATCCAAGAAAAGCCTTTGGATTAAGTTGGTGGACGTGATACTGCTTCTTCACATATTCCGTTGTCAGGGCAAAGACTATGCGGCCGTATCCAACCGTATATATCCAAGAAATGCCTTTGGATTAAGTTGGTGGACGTGATACCGCTTCTTCAATATTCCGTTGTCAGGGCAAAGACTATGAAGCCGTATCCAGCCAGATATCCAAGAAATGCCTTTGGATTAAGTTGGTGGACGTGATACCGCTTCTTCAATATTCCGTTGTCAGGACAAAGGCTTTGCAGTCGTATCCAACCAGATATCCAAGAAAAGCCTTTGGATTAAGTTGGTGGACGCGATACTGCATCTTCAAATATTCCGTTGTCAGGGCAAAGACTATGAAGCCGTATCCAACCAGATATCCAAGAAATGCCTTTGGATTAAGTTGGTGGACGTGATACCGCTTCTTCAATATTCCGTTGTCAGGACAAAGGCTTTGCAGTCGTATCCAACCAGATATCCAAGAAAAGCCTTTGGATTAAGTTGGTGGACGCGATACTGCATCTTCAAATATTCCGTTGTCAGGGCAAAGACTATGAAGCCGTATCCAGCCAGATATCCAAGAAAAGCCTTTGGATTAAGTTGGTGGACGTGATACTGCTTCTTCACATATTCCGTTGTCAGGGCAAAGACTTCGCAGCGGTACACCTTCAAATGGGATAGGTATGGCTTCTTTTCAGTGACTTCTATACCGTCTCTTTGCCTTTTGAAGGTCTCTGCTAAATCGGATGAGGTTGCAAAATCATTAGGGGTTTTCCAATTCAAAAGCCGCTTTGGAGTTAGATTCAAAAGATGTACTGCAGCCCGTACAATCTCTGGCCACAAATATTCTGGAAGATTTTGCTTACGTGCACATTGCGGGATTGATCTTTTACCACCACCCCAAGCGCTCACCGGCTCCGTTGAGGGCTTGCGCATACGGCAGCGCAACGATTTTTTGAATACCTTTATTAAGTAGGTAATCCCGAACTGCATGCTTTTGAGTGAACATTTTGTTGTCAGTTTCAATTTTCTTAAGATCCGTGTCAAACTGCCTTCTCAGAATGGTGAAGAATCCATCCAAGGCGTATATAATTGTTTCGGCTATGCGGTCTGTCAGATAGTAATCCCAAACATATCCTGACCAGCGGTCCGAAATCAGCAACAGGTTCGTAAATCCGTTGAGTCCCCTTTTTGAATATTGTGAAAATCGATTGCTAACTGCGCTCCGAATTTCTCATAAATATCCCTAGGATCCCGCCGAATTATTCGGGTTGCTTCGGTTATCCTGGATGAATCACACTCCACAGTCTTCGGGCATCCGTTATCTTCACCCCTGTTGCTCTTTCAGGTAAGTGTTCCAACGCCTGCGGGCCGGCGTGGCCCATTAGGAGACGCCACTCATGATACTGCTTTGGCGGTTCGGCATTCGGCTCGGTCAGTATATTTATTTCGGCGCATCTATGGTCAACATCCTCAACAGGAAAATGTTCAATAACGAATTGGTTAAACCTCTTCTCTAGGAATCCAACTCTAGAGTCGTCCGCTCGCCTCAACGTGGTTCTTCCACCTCCAATTCCAGAACAGTTGTCCCACTAGCATCCCTGTTGGTAAAGCTGCTGAAGGGATACGAGATGTGCAGTAAAGCTTTCACAGCAGGCGACACCTTTCAAGGTTAGGATTCGTGATTTCTTCCAACTCTTGACTTCTATATCCACGTCACTGCATCCAAAGATTCTAACTTTGCTGTACCCGACGTGAATATAGTGGTCTGGTTCAGATTGGCAAAGGTTTCGAAATTAACGTTGGTCATTGAACGCGTGGAGCGTGGAACCTGAATCGAGAATCGTAGAATGCTTGAGAGGATATTATTCCAAGGTAAGAAGAGGCATTAGGGCAGCCTTTGACTGATATTTCTCATTATACGTACCTACCTGGAGCTCTAGTCATTCATATTCTGTTTTCATAGAGGCTTCTTTAGAAGGTCTCTGATTTTATTCTTTGCGAATAACTTCAATCTACTGAGCAAGATTTGGATTCTCTTTCAGTATAGTGGGCAACATCTTTTGAATGACTGAATTCAGGGAAAACCACTCCCTTTTATACTCCGGAAAGAAATACCAGCAACTCCGAAAAGAATGCCCTTGACCGCATGCCGGACAGAGTAGAAGAGGTTTCTCATTGCTGGTCCGTACTCTTGACTGCGGGAGATATCTATCCGCACCTTGAGTTCCGGCTCGCTTCCGTTAGTTGACTGAACCCAGTCATAGAGAGTTGTATAAGGAACATCATGTAGGCGTGCAGTTTCTCGAATTGGGCTTGTTTCTTTGCTTTTTAAAAGCTGAAATCGCGAGTCCAAATTTTCCCTCTATCTCTATAGAGTTTTTTGCATTTTTACTGCGAATTGGTGGCATTCTCACTCGTTGCAGTGAATTAATTAGGAAATTGCTTCAAATATCTTTTAAATGAGGGACCGGTTCGGTTGGGTGCTCGTCTCGCTGGTGGAATTCGTTCGCTGCATGTTTGCCTGATATGAGTCAGATGAAGCTGTAAAACCACATATTCCCCAGCAAACCTAACTGCGCTGACGCAGTTGGTCATGCGATCTAATCACCTGCCCTTTGTTCAGCAGCTGTGCTAGTCCCAAAGTGGCTGCAGCAACGTCATTGCTCCCTATACAAAGATATCTCCCACTCCTTTATAATCTATCATCATCTTCTTCCTTCTATTCTCCTACTTCTCCCTCTCATCCTTCGTCCACGCCACTTACGCACACCTAAACCTTCTTTGCCGACAATATGCCCCTGCCAAGTGCTCATGCTGTCATCCCTGCAAATCTAGCCCCTTAGCTGAGGGCCCCAGTCGTGAATTGCGTTCTCGTAAGCTCACTTCCTCTGTAATTGTCATATCCGTGCGCTAGATATTAACTTAACGTAGCTCTAGGTTCATCTTTTCTTTCCCTAGGAGCCTCTTCTATTGGTAAGGGAAAAGCCCCTGTTTGTTCAACTGCCCCCACCGCTAGCTCTCAGGCTAAGGCGCTCATTCGTTTCGTGGCCTCCGATGAGGAGGTAGCTTCGAATAATGGAGATGAGGGTGGCGAGACATCATGACTGATGCCCCGTCCCTGACATTCCCGATCCTGATGAATCTGCCACGTCGAAATCGTTGCCTAAGAAAAGCTCGCATTCAAGAACTGGAGAATAAGGAGAAGGAGCATGAGGTACAGATTCTGATGCTAATAGAGGAAAGAGATCAGTTTCGTAATGCATTGGCTTGGAAGGCCGCTGGACATAAAAACCCACAGTTCATTGCAGCAGTGTAATCAGAGAAATTCTCCGACCCAGAGATTATCGTTGATGGGAGGATGCCTGATTTTGAAGAGTGGCTGGTCAAGATGAAAGGAGAGCTGTCCGCCAATGCTGATCGATAACCATCTGAGGCTTCCAAAGTAATTTATATCTACAATCGTACCACTGGGGAGGCAGCGCAACACCTTCGACCCCCAATGATGAGGATGCTGTCAACCGATTCCAGACAGCTTAAGAAATGTTCAATGTCCTTTTGAGCATGCATAAATAGATCCGAATACCCTCCTGGCGTTCGCCCTTCCGCTCCCTATCCCACTCGCGAGCCCACCACGCCTCCCCATTTCCTGAAAACCCTTTTCTACGCCTTCGCCCTTTACAACAGTATCAAATTCCTCAGTCGTACTGCCGCCACTGCCTTTGGTCATTGTACGTACTTAAGTTTCCTAAGAAACACTGTTCCCCACTCTAGCGACTGTTTAGAACCCTTCGTAACATGGTAATTCTTAACACTTGTGAGCGAATTTTTGAATGGCTTCCTCCATACTCAATCAATAGGCACGAGGTTGGAGGACGTTGAGGAGTCCTGGACTCCTAAAGTGGCTGAATTTCTCATGCATCCGAAATAGCAGATCTCATCAGAAGGAATGCTTCAGATATGGAGCCTCAGCATACCCTAAACCGTGATACAGCACGTTATTGATCTCCAATTTCGCCAGCTTGAATTTCAGAAGCATTTCTTTCACTACTTCCACGAGTTTCTCATCCTCCGAGTTCCTTCTTTCCTAAAACGGGCAATCATGGCCTTCACTTCGTCAGACTCGTTGCAGCCCTTTAGAGCTGGAAGCATCAGCTCATTCTGCGCCTGATTTGTAGGGTGCTTCTCCTATGAAGTCAGGCCTGCAGCTTATGGTGTCTGGGATTACAGCTTCCGACCCCTGTCAATATTTGATCTGAAGGTCATATGCTTGCAATTCTGAGACCCAGCATGCCCATCTCTTCGAGGGCTTTGTTATCGTCTATAATTATCGAGGCTCTCATCGGCAGTGATGACTGTTGTTGTATGACCATTGTCAATATATTAATCCCATTAAGCTTTCGGCCGGCACACACGACAGGGTGTAGCTTTCCACGGTCACCATCTGAATTATAGCGCAGCTGATAACTCATTCAGATGCATTCATTTCTATGATAAAAGGTTTATGGCGATCTGATTGTATAGAACTGGGGATGAGATCATCCATTTTCATTGTGTCAAAAAAAGCTTCTTGACACCCTTTGTTTCACATGATGGAATGAAACCTCTTCTTCTGCAACTCGGCATCTGACTCTTTTAAGAAGTCTGACAGTGTGGACTGCAACCTCTGTGAAGCCCTTGATAAACCGCCAGTAATATGATGTCAATTCCAGGAATTGGAGTACGTAGTGTATGTTCGTAGGCCTCAGCCACTTGGCGATTGCTTTCAAATTTTCAGGTTATGGGGCGTATGTGCCCCCCGCCCCCTACATGTCTGACGTACTCCAACTCCTGCGTACCGAAAACACATTTCGTGATTTTAGCATATAGTTGGTGTTTCACTAGTGTTGGAAGAACATTGTTCAGATGTCCTAGATGTTCCTCGTGCGAATTTGAGAAATTAGAATGTCGTCTCGGTATGGTAGACAAGATGAACCGTTCTGTTCCTTAACAGAGAGAACTGGCAATCCCAATGCACTTCATGACGGTCGTAAAAGACCGAGTTTCATTAGTTCTTCAATTTCTCACTTTGGCTCCTCAAGATGTCTGTGACAAGAGATATGTGTTTTGATTAACAAGTTACGCATTCTCCGCGTCAATCTCATGTACACAACCCCCTTACGGGCAGCAGGGAAGATGTAAGGTCCAGTTCGGAAAACTATCTCATCCCTATTGTCTTTGGCTCAGGGCTTCTGTGAATTTCAAGACTTTTTTCATAACACAATCATGGAAATCATCTAACATCTCTACCCTCCTCGCTTCCGCCTGGGCTTGCCAAGATGTTAGGGTTCGTAAAGCACTGATCCACTAGGGTGCTGTGAATGAAGAGTTTGTTCGGTTCGTTCGCGTGCTCAGCAGCGAATGGCTTCCTGCATTCCTTCGGGGATCGACTGCATCTCGGGAGATTCAGGCATCGATGATAAGTGTTGGTTATGGGATTGATCGACTTTGTACGGTCATAATGGTGAACACAGTCAAAGGATTTCGTAAATGTTGTCAGGAGTATTTCGTATTAACGTCCGCCTCGGGCGGACGGCCTATTTAATTTCGGGAGAGGAGGTCCCCGTCTCCTCCCTATGTTCTCCTCCTTTGGGCCCGTTGGCCGAACTAAAGGTGGTGACAAGTAACCTTGCCATTTTCATCCGTAGCTCTCCTCTCCTAGAAGGTGAGGCGTACAAAGGGATGTTCCGCTCTAGCCACTGGTTCATACACCCAACCCGGGCCCTCTCAGAGGCATATGCATCAGGACCACTCTGGCATGATACTACGACTCCCATCATAGGCGGAATATCTCTCACCTAAGTTTAGACATGTGACCAGATGTGATTCAAAGGTCAGCTTGTTCGAGGGTCGGTTCGTCGTCGAAGGTTAGGGCTCATTTCCAGAGCCCGCCTAGATCGGGGTCCGGCCTCGTTCAAAGGTCGGTTCTCCCCTTCCAAACCTTTCGGGTGGGGCACGCTTCTTATATAGTGCAATAAGTTAAGGGCTACGTGTTGCACGCTAGCTAACCGAGCAGCTTGGCAGTGTTAAGCCAGGGCGGCTGAATGTTTACCCGGTCCTAATCGGATGAACATTAGGCCGTGAAACCAACAAGTTAACTTAATGACGGTCTTGACCGGTGTTATGTCCCGCCTGCGGCACGTGATGTAGATAGTCCCACATATATAGCACCTCGCCTCCTGGATGGGAGGACACCGACATGAGAATACCCAACGCGATAATATTCATCGTCAGGTTATTAGCCTGGCCAGCGAATTAGTCAAATAATTTTTGATTTAAATATCCGCTGAGCAGTTTTCGATCTCATTTTAGCTCAAAATTGTATAGAACAAGACAGTTGTTTATTATCTCACGAATCCTGCTCGCCGCTTCTCAGTGAAACGTGTCCCTACTGATCCTGCAAGATATCACGGATAATGAGAACTATTACTTCTTTTCTCAAATCTTCACTGTTCTCAAATCTCATCTTTCTTCTTTCGATTCCCTATTCTATGATGAGTGACGTGCCCTCTATGCTCCAATCTCGGTGTTAGAGATCCTTATGGCCCCGCATGACGGCATCGACGGGTGATCCCATCACCAAGAATCAAGAGGAACAGCCGAATTCACATCCTGAATCGGGCGACAAGGGTGTCATCCAACATAAGATGGCCTAAGGAAATGATGAGAATCAGAGCCACTTTACCGGGGGTTATCCTCCAACTCCTCAGGAGCACCGAGTGGTATGTTTATACACCAATCATGCCAGCTGGCAGTCCATTCGTTATGACAGCTGAGCAGATTGCTAAGATCTGCCAGGACGCAGTATCAAATGCCCTGGCTACTGTCAACCTCGGAGGAAGCTCTCATCAATGAGATGATGGATCTGATTCGGATGACGAACCGAAACAGACAATTAAGGACTTTCAGAGGGAGGTCAAAGCCACGTTGGATACAAAGTCTCTAACTGCTCTTTGATGGTGCCAACTATAACGCTTGGAAGATTGCAGTTCTCAAATGACGCGGAGGTTATTGGAGACAGTGATATATTGCTCAAGAGGGGAAAGGTATGCCTGACGAACTCTCTAAGCCTTAGAAGGGCCAATAGATGGTTAGATGCTAAGCTCTCTATCAACAGATACTCCAATCCTTTGTGAGGAAAGTCAGAACATCAATTGGAACTCTGGAACTGGATAGCGCACCTCTCTTATGGGAGAAAGTTAAACCGGTATACGCAGTCTCATTGGCGGAGAAATATGTATGGACAATATGAGAGAACTATCTACCCTACAAGTCAACCAGCTTTCAAATGGCAAGGAGGATATCGTCCATGACAGTTCCCTTTTTGGCTTAAAGGATTTCCAGAAAGCTCTTGTTAAAATCCCTCATGAATAAATTCTATTCCGCTGGTCAGGAGCCGATATCCAACATTTGAGGGTTTTTGATGAAAGAGGTTCACCGTCAGATTCTCACCTTGAAGCCAGAGCTGCTCATTACATTACGGAATCCTATGAATACACCAGAGATCCCACTGCTGCGGCAGTGGGATCCCAAGCGAACGTTAAAATCAATGATTCAACTACGGTATGACAGGTCTAGTCAACCCATTGAACAGACCAGCTCTCCTATTATCAAGATATTGGCTCAATGGCATGTCGACCAAGGACACATTCGTGTTGATGCCATAATTGCTCTTGCTAAGGCTCTGGATTTGGGCGTACGGATCAAGGGCCTCAAATCAAAACACCTAGATACCATGATTTAACACGGACGACCTGAACATCATGGAAGAGAATCCTAGTGACACAGACGGGGTTGGTCAAGGTCCTTGATGAACGCTTGAGATCAAGAGCTTACACGAACCATCCCAAATATGTTGGAATGGGGAGTTGAACGGCTGCCAGATAGCAAAGAAATTACTCTTACTCACAGACAATATATCAAATGTCTGATTGAGGACCTTCATTTGAAGGACATTGTCAGGCTTAAGACATCAATGGATATAGGACTACATTTGGATGATGAACCTGCAACTGAAGGACAGGATAAATTCACTAAACAACACTATCAACATGGTGTTGGTTGCATTCAATATCTTGCAGTCAAGACATGTCTGGATATAGCAAGAACTTCCCCTTTACTAGGGCAGAGGAATTGCAATCCTACACTCAAATGCTGGCATGCATTACTACATATCATCCGTTGCCTAAAGGGAACAATCAATATTGGACTCACGTATAGAGCTCCAGAGAATCCCTCTTTTTCTCACACCAACTACATGTCTGTAGGATATACGAATTCCGACTGGGCAGGACCACTGAATGTAGACAGGAAATCAACCACAGACTACGTTTTCATGCTTGCAGGTGCTCCTAAATCATGGAATCTAGCAAGCGGCCCTGCGTCTCAATCAGCTCCAATGAAGCTGAATACATTGCCTTGAGTGAGGCTGCTAGAGGGGCGACGTGGTTGCGATCTTTGATGACCGAAATAGGATTCATAGGCGAGGCTGGTTGTTACGCTCCGCCTACTGCACGTGATCTAGCTCGCCCCGTATATCCCGGATGGGGAGGATCAGTGAACGGAAGAGAACGCACGTACACGGTGTTCGTCATCAACCGTCCTACAGCCTTGGGGTTGGGCCAGGTCAACATGCGGGCGAGTCATGTGCCGACTGGGCGGGCGCGGAGTGGCGTCTGGACTCGAGTTATATACACCCATCTGAACAAGTAGTTATTTCATAGCTAATTGTTAACTAGCACTTGATTTTAGAACATCATCTGTTACGGCGGGTGGTTCGATGTTAACTACCCCCATGCCTGCCTAGGTAGTGATTCACATCACGATGACTCTCGCCTTCTGACGTTCTCCCTTCTCTCGTTTCCTCCAAACCACTCCACGAGTTTATTATCACCTCGAACGGGACGGATGTTATACCCCGAAATTCCCACTGAATAAATGATTTTGAGACCCATTTTGCAATGGCCGATAACAGTTCACCGGATTACAGGTCTCTCTTCCTTCAGAAAGCAAAGTTGCGAAGGCGGGCAGAAGCACGCTATCAGCCAACAATTTTGAAGAGCTCCTCAAAATTTTCAATGACTCATTATTCCGTCCTTTGAAAGTTGGAACTCCATATCACTCCACAAAGGAGTTATTCCACCGCCCATTTGGAAATACTGCCCAACGAACCTTAGCCCTTAGTCAGACTATCCAGTTCAACTGCAAGAAGTCTATAGCATAGTTTGTACTTGCATGCAACCAACTGGAAAAGATGCACCTCGATTATCCAATCCCTTCTTGAACTTCATGGACTCGGTCAACGGTTCTCTCATCGAAAACTATTAAGTGAATGGGATCTGAAGAATTGCTGGCGAGCTGCAGTGAAAAACCATGACTATGATGTTATATCCGAGCTATGCAAAATACCTGATGCCCGAGAAAGATGGGGTCATGTTCGAATATCATAAAATCCTTCTACAGACGCCAAACGAGTCAGATGATAGTCATGCTGATGCAGAGCTGATAGATGAAGAATTCAGTCCAGAGCATCTCATACCGGATACATTCTGTGTTCATCGATTCCATGGTTCCACAAATATTCCGACTACCACAGCTGAGTATAAGCTATCGCACAAGCTTTCTGTTGAAAAATCTCCGAGTGGGTCTTCGATCAATTAGATTTTGAGAAAAAATTTGCTCAGACAGACAATCCCCACAGACAAGGCTGAAAAACTGAGATATAATGCAGAACAGCTGACTGGCTCAGTATTAATTCAGAAGCATCATGTCATAACACTGACTACAATCCATTCATTGGACACCTTTATTGAGTGTACTCGAAAACTGCCTGGAGCGCTCTCAATGAATGCTAAAATTGTATGGAAGATCTTTGAAGGTCAGCCACAAAAGAGATTGAAAATTCCTGCCATTATAGATGATTATAGTCATAATATGAATGGGGTGGACCTAGCAAATCAGTACCGCGCAGCATATACTACCCATAGAATCACCTATCGAACCTGCGTCTCTATTTTCTACTGGCTTTTTGATTCCGCGGCAGTTAATGCCTATAGGCTTCAATATATATATAAGAAGCAGCAGGGTGTTCCAAAAAAGGACCTGCCTTCTCATATAAACTTTCATGAACGGCTTTACCAACATCTCTTTGAATTCACACCTAAGATTCATGACTATCTTCCACCTCAACGATTGAATCCTGATCTAAATCATCAACGGATTGCTTTACCAAAGCAATCAGTTTGTGCCTGGTGTCAGTATAAACGAAAGCTAGGTCAGCAACAAAATAAACAGACACCAAGGTCATATTCTGGCTGCTCAGCATGTCAAAATATGCCCCTCTATTTGAAAACTCAATGTTGGGATGAATTCCATGAGATAAGCCAATCGACGGTGCGAATCCTTAATTAGAGCTTTATAAATTGCCTTAATACACGCTCATACCAAAGTTACCTTTACTATTCAATGAGTAACCGTATAATATACACTAATTGAAACCACGCTAATTGAGCAAGAACTTACGGACGACTGAGATTTTTGAAAAGGGGACAGCAGGTTGGGATTAGTGAGAAGGACAGGTTACCGGAATGTACTGTGTGCACACTTAATTAAATAATGATAACTAAATTATTTATTTACTACTCAAGGAGTAGTAAATTTATAAGATAATTATCGAAGTTGCTCTCTAAGGCCTCTCTTCACCTGAGATATAAAAAATGTAAATAAAAAAAAAAAACCATGGCAAATAAGTTGAAAAGTGAAAGAAAATCACTACAATGGTGTGCCAGTGAAGATAAAGACTGAATGAAAATCAGCTGTGAAAAAGGTAGTTACATGATTCACCAATTCCAATTCTGTTAAAAGGTTCCAGTTTCTCCAGCCTTTTCCTAAGTGTCTCTTTTAAAGTTTTATCGCTGGCAGGCTGATTATAAGCTGCGTCAATGCTCTAGCTCTCCTCAGCGAGACTATTTCTGAACTCCTTCCGTGCTTTTCTAGAACAGTCTCAACTGAAAGGCCTTTGCGACTTGGTGAAGGTTGTGACAAATCGGGATCACACACGACGGCCATATCGGGATCATCGAGATTCATTGTCGATAAAAAAGCCTTGTCGTCATGCTGCAATTTCATGGACAGAATGGGCAGGCAGATCCTTCCGTGCTCCGTCTGAGATTGATTGTGGTCAATGACCTCGAATCGCTTTGCTGTATCTAGAATCACAATCTCTGATGAACCGCAAGAGTCCGGTTGATCTGTTCAGATAGTAGAACGCGCCCAGATGCACTCTAGACAGAAGACATGACTACATGTTCCCCATTGAATATGCAGGAAGAATTTTCGCTTGCGTGAGATTGAAGGCTCAGAAGAATAATTTCCGGTTGAATTGCTCAAGGGATCGTAAAAATGCCGAGGTGGAGGACAGGCTGTGAATGATTGAAGGATATTGGGAGAGAGCTAAAGGTTGAGGAAGGAAGCGAAAAAGATTAACTACTAACGAAGTTCAAAGGTTGGAGATGTGTTGTGAGACTGGGAATCTTCGAAAGCGTTATTATCTTTAATTACGTGCCGTGCTTCAGAAATTCATGATTCTCTCCTCTACTTCACCTATTTCAAAATCTGGAAAGCAACAATCTTGTTCCACATTTCTGCGTTATTGTAATATTTGTTTTGCCCCTCTATAATTATCTCAGATAGGCGCTATCCAGAGGGTGCCCATAAAGTGTTGAAAGATCAAACCCTTCATCTCATCAAATAGCAGACAACTTCCAATCGTGGGAAAATCCAACGGGTATCTTCAGTTAACGGCTTCTTACGCATGCCGAGCTCCAACAAAAACGAATGTATCAACTGCGAGTGGACATGCAAGAACTTCACATGACCCCGAGAACATCCATCGCCCTGGAGATGGGGCTCTGATCCCCTGAAATCCTGGCCCTATAGACGTTAATAAAGACGTTACAGTGTCTTTTATTCAACTGGTCGCGTATAGCCCGCACGCTCTCGGAAAATCTCTCGACAAGAAACAAGATATCGATGTGGTCATTCTTCTCGACTCTGGCATAATACGTTTCAAGTTTGCTGGTCAGTATGCTGAGAATACTGAGGACTGGAAAATCCTTTATTCCAAGCTCTGTGTTGACAGTGATAGATTCAGTTGATGCCAGTGCTTTTTCAGCAGCATTGTATGATCCAACTTGAATATTGTCTTCGTTAACGGCGACATTATTAAAATTATCCAATCTACGTTATGAGACTCACGAGATACGATTAAGTCTGCCATTACATAGATCTCAGGGAATCCTGGATCGATTGGCCCCCCTGTCTGGACAAAAATCCTCATGACGCCAAATACAGGATACGATGGTCTTAAAATACTACATTCTCAGTCAGTCAGTTGTTATCAAGCGGAGCTCACAAACACTGACCGTTGCCCTTCCGCTATTACTTGTGTGAGTTGACTCATGGTGCACCCTATTGCAATATCAACATCTCGTGTTGGACGCTGATTGCCTCGAAGCACCAGCGAGTATCCATTCATAAACACAAACGGAATGCTTTTGCCCTCAAGAATCTGAGAGATGCAATAGGCAGCTGAGAGAAGATGTCGATAGCCTGCCTCTGCGGATGCAGCATCTAGAGTGTAGCCCTGCTGCGCGGTATAGGTTCTGGACACCGCCTGCGACATGTTGATCTGGAAAGCTATTCCTGCAGTGGATTGATTATATGAGACAGCACTTGCCCGGAAATAACATTATGGATGGAGGTAAATATACAGAGGGAGGTTGATGTTGCCATGCCCAAGAAGTTATAGTGTCAGAATTGGATCATGGGCTGATTCGTGACCCCGCATGGCGGGGCTAACTAACACTTTTATGTCACCTAGAGAGAACCAATGGTTTCAGGGATACGCCGCAAAGCCGGAGGAATCCTCAATCCCTACTGTGAAACATCAGAAAGAAACGGTCAAGTCCTTCAGAAGTGGCTGCAGATTGGTCCGTCTTCTGTCACCGACACTTGTAGCCGCAGGGAGTCCACGGACGTAAGGCTATCATTTAAATGTCCAGTTCTATGCATTCTCGCAGGAGTAGGGATTGACCAGTCATGTCTGGATGTAATTCACCGCATTTAAATCCTGAAAATGTGGCTCGGTAGAAGACTGGCGCAAAGCTAGACGAGGGGACCAGAGGAATGGCGGCATCATCTCAGATATAATATTAAAAAAAAAAAAAAAAAAAAATCAAAATATAAAATAAAATAAAATAACCCCGAAAAGAAGGGAAGTGAGAGGACAACAGAATTCTTGCAGGGGCTTTCTGCGTAGATGGCAGCTTCACTCAGCCACGGCCTAGTAATTTTGCATACATTTGAACTCTGGTTGTTCTTGAACGAATTTCCCGTGCTTCAATCGTGGATCTACTCCACCCTTCTGAGGATAAAATCACGTGGCAAAAGCATCTGTTGGGCACTCAGGCCCCAGCCTTTTCTCTTTTGTGTTGACATAGTTTTCCAGACTTCTTCTTTACTCAAATAGGTGACGGGGTGTTCAGAAAGGCACGAGTTGTTGTCAGTCTCGGAAAATCAAGTGCTTTTTCGCTAGCATCAACGCGGGGAAGACAAGCAAAATCCAACTTGGGGAAGAGAGCTGTAGATCTTTTTATTTTGCTTCTTAATCCAGGAAATATCGTGGATTCCGTCAGATTCTCCACGCCCCATTTGTCCATTAGATTCAGCCCATTGATTAAGTCGGCTAGTGCAACCTCGTTATTTGTTGCCAGAAGACTTCGGGCAAGGAACTCAAGTTTGGGGTAGGGAATAACTACCCATTTGACTCTGCTCGAGATTTGACGATACACATTCCAGATGCGCGTGTTCCGCGGCGAGAATGGTAAAATACAAATCAACATTTTTTATTTTAAAGCGTGGAAGGCCTGGAGTAACGGTTTTGAGCTGCGGTTTTGCCACCAGGGTTCATCTCATATTTTTGGCTATGGGGTTCCGACTGAAAGATTTGAGAGGCTCTCTTAACAAGATGCGTCGTTACACAAATTTGCCAGTCCCAAAATGTAGAGGTCAGAGATCAACTTGCTGCACGAGAAAAGATATTATATTGATTGACATGTCGGAGTCGCCACGCAGCAAAGTACCGAAGAGCTGAAATCCCAACCACACAGCAGCAGATACCTGCATCCTCATGTAACTTGGTGATTTCTAGTACTTCCACAGACTCTGCAATCACTGTGGCTCGGTAAGGCATCGCCTGGAACAAAGAGGGTTATCGGCGGAATTTTCCCCTTTGCTGATCACCGCATTTCTGGGTGCAAAACAATGCCCCGCATCTTCTAGCATTCTGGTTATTCTGGGGGTATCTGATCGTAATGGCTCGGCTTCCATGTTGAAATGAAAGAGCGTTGGCCTGGGTCCGTCAAAAGTCAACTTGAGATCGCTACGGACGGCTGTTGATGGTTCTGTAGGATGGTTAACTAGTTAATCTTCTAATGTTTGGGGGAGGACAAAGCACTTGTAGATTTAGTCTGTCCGTAATTTTCTTCTTTCTATTAACTCTAGCTCTTTTTACTCATTGGCTAGTTCCTTTGCTCTTAGCTCTTCTTTCATCTTTTGAAGCACCAACCGCTGTCTCTCTATATCAAACTGACGTTGTTGCTGATCCCAGTCTTGATCTATAAGATTGGCAGAGGCAACACGATGTAGACTGGGTGATGATCTACAAGCATCTGTTAGTCATCTTTCAGGCACTTTCCAAACGCTTGCCAGCTATTGAAAAATTATTGAATACTCTCTGCCTGTGCTGAGCTGCTATGTTGAGAGGATGCTACTGAACTGAGCACAACTTAGCTACTTGTCAAATACTTGTCAACTTCTTGGTGAGATTTCTGACCTTTCTCGTCCACCTGGTGTTCTTCGACGGGTTTGAGAAGACTGTCTTGATGTCGATGATCTAGATAGTTATATCATCCAAAATATCATCAAAGTCACCAGCCTGCTCAGTTCGCTTGTGTTTAAGTATTTCTAAATACCAGTTAGCAATCACTTATCAAGCAGTGTGTATCAATCACCTTCTCATGTAATATGTTCATCTATCTCGTATTGAAGGGAAAAAGCTGTTGGGGCGTAAACGAACACCATCGCCCCGAGCAGCCGCAGTGATTCCGTGTAGAGTTAGCTCTTCCCTCCAATATAAGATCAACCATCTCACAGCAATGTCCCTAGTAAACTATTATGGGACGCCACGAGACTGGGAGGAAGAAATCGCACCCAGCAAACCTTTTAATTATTCACAATTCGCTATTATGCCATCCCTCTAACCGTCACTCACAGCGTAAATTGAGAAAATCTAGAACTGTCGTACAGTCATATGATGTCATTAATATCGAAAAAGTGCTTGGAGCTGGAACAAGTTGGATCGTTGGACTGGACGGGACTGGACTGGACCAAAAGACGGCTACGTGCCTTAACTGCCGTGCAGGTGAAGGACTGCTTCTCGCCCGTCATGTTGAAACCCAGCGCAGCTATCCAAGAACCAGAACTTTGTGGATGCCTACTACCGTAGCTGAGAGCGCAATCACTGCGTTGACACTAGGTTGAGACACCATAAGGCTTGGATCTTCGTCTGAACTTTGGTTTCCTTATTCTTCTGTTTATCCTTCTTGCGTCCAGCGGCCCCGCCAGAGCCACTGGAGCTTCTGTTGTTTGGAATGATCTTATCTTTGTTCATCTCACGTCACTTCTCAGTTGCGAGTTCAGGGTGCAGGCGCCAGCACGTATCCCTCATACGCGTAGGGGGTTTGCAGATTGCACACGTCATGGTAGATGAATTGGACGTCGTATTGTTCGTAGGGATGGTGGCATTCACTTACAAGGTGTTCGGACATTCCACATCCTTGGGTCTTATTTGTACAATTTGTCAACTGCTTCGTCAAGTCATCAATATCAATATTTGAGACAAGTCCCTGGCCAGTGGCATCGAATTTGTTGATCTTCGTCTTAACGAACACTTGTTGGTTATCTCGGTTTCCAAGGAGAAAAATATCATGGAAGTCTTCTGTGTCTGTAGACAGCTCCTTATACTGTGCAACAAGATAATAAAATCTGTTGATACGCCAGGTAATCGTTATCCTTAGCCTGCAACATTATCAATTTTCTTATGATATTTACACACTCCTCGGCAAGAAGAACGGTGTATCCCGTGCTTATTTTCTCCCAAAGAGCCGCAGCGTTGTCGGGTTTCAATGTTCCAATCGTGATCTGAACGGTTCCAAGGAGTGACTGCAACGTCCTAAGGCTTTCGTCCGGACTGTCCACTTCTCCTTCTCCAAGGCTGTCCCAACTTCAGGTGCTGTAGCTGGTTCTTCCTCAAGTTATCCGTGTCATCATCATCTGTTTTCAGAACGCAAGCAGATCCGCAGCAGCCGTCGTAATTGTGCCGTTCACACTAGGGGTAGGCAATGGGATCGGCATTGTAGGACTAGGTATAAATCAAGGGACTTTCTCAACTTCAGGGAACTCGCGCTTTCTCGCTGTTCACCTTTGGCAACACGGCCGCTGCTTGGACCTTCAATCGTTTAGCCTTCCTCTGCCATATCGTACTGGGAATGCCCCTCTTATTGCGAATCTGAGCTGCTCTCCTCGTCTTCCTCAACTGTAGAGATCCCATGGGTTTTTTGAGAACGACCTCAACGACCATTTTTGTTCAGAGCGTGAGGTATGGGGTAGTACGCTCATCGGTCTCAGCAACTGGGTATTGTATTATTATGAAATAACACGAAAAACTGAGAACAAAAGATCAACTGATCTTTCGTACAATGAGAATAAAAGAAAAAGGGAAGAAAAGAGAAAAAGGAATAAGTTAACCGCCTAGAATAGCTTGCGGGGTGCTCTCTCAGGGGCCACTGCTTATCTATCCTGCTCGCGTGGGCCCAAGCAGATCCTCTTAGCGCTCAAAAAACGAGATCTTCGCGTGAATAGAAGTCTATTCGTAGTAGTCAAACTCATCCACCCGTTTAAAGCAGCCTGCTTGTAAAATCCGCGAGATTTCCCTAAAAACGTACATACCAGGCTCATAACCTGTGGGATGAATAAGAATTTTGTATCACGTGAGGTCTGCGATGCATCATCTCCGGCGCATAACTACGTCTTGTCTTCTCCGACTTCTGAACATGCGATGCTCGAGTTCGTGGTGAAATTTCAAAGCGGGCCGTTGGTAATTACAGGCACATTTCGTATAAAGTCAGGTAGCTCGATTCAATCTTCCGTACAAGCTCCCCTTGCAAAGAATATTCCCCCTGGACTTGCCCAATCAATGACCAACAGGCAGCCGTCAAGATGAGCAGCGCCGTGTCACTGCTCTGAAACGTTGCCGTCATGAAGCGGTGCAGGAACATTTGGATAGCTCGGTCCAGCACCCACCGCTCTCAAGAGCAAACAGATCTTGGGAGACGGCCGTTGGGTGCGAGAATTATTGATTTCTTTTCGCTGGTACGATGGATCAGCTCACTCGTCATCTGCTCGACAAAGCTCATTGACTCGATTGAGCCATCTTTGGTCTGCAAGCTGGCCTCCTCCTTGCCCCCTGAGAAGGAGTCGTGCCAAGCTCTTCTCAAACCTAAAGAAAGGGAGCTATAACTAATAAGCTGCTCTCCAGTTGTGTTTACAGATGCAGCTGACCATATTCCCCAATGTCGAGTCAACTCAGAGTGCTGAATGATAGATGATTCAGACAAGCATCTCATGTCAGATACGATGTTCATTGCCTACGCACTTTTAGAGCCATGTACGTTATTTTGGGAATGTCCACTGGAGTTTGTTGCACGACATGTACCACGGAGAAGAGAGCGACTTGAGAGTGAAGAGCCTCTTTAATCATCGTTGTCTTAAGAGCAGCGAGGGTGCCACTATACAAAGAATGGAGGAGGAAACCCAATCTTGTAAGAATTGTTGGTCTATTCCGTTGTTTGGCTGCCCTGCTCGCTGGTGGGGGTTAATGTCTTCGTCTTGTGCATCATTGCTAAACAATGACGATAAAGAGGAATGTTACCTCCTGGTTTGTGCGGTTCAGTCTTTATGCGACAGTAGTTGGCTAGCATGTGTCAAAACTTGTATCTTCCTCTGATATCCCTCAATTCCTTCTGGTTCTTCTTTTATCTCCTCCTCAAGAAACGTCGTCTCTTCACGGCCTCGCAATCCCCGCGATTTCTTAAGCGATAATCTGGATGTTGGAGAACTCATATGGATTAGAGACTACTAGTGGTATCATTGGGGATAAACCTAAAATGTTAGGTTCTGCCCTTTTTCTGTGGCTGATAATCTTCCCCATCTCCTTCGGTTTCTCCCGAATTTTCATCAGGTGCTATACACTGAATCGAATCTATACAGCCCTCCTCACTGTCCGCCTTCCCTGGCCATCGGATTAGAGTGAGGTATACAGAAACGGCCCTTCCTCGGAACTCCCGCGCGTCACCAACTGACACCCACGGACACAGAGGCTGGCCAAGTGCTGCAAATAAAACTTGGGGCGAGTCTTCCTCCTTGTCAATCACGTCCGTCGTGGGGACATCTTCATCATTGCTCACTGATAGACACAGAATCTGTCCACCTGTCTGTCTTCTTGAAAAAGGGACACCCTTCTCAGTTAGTCTGCTTCCCATTCCCGGGGGCTCTGATCATTAGTAGAGAGAGGAAAGTGTTCGTCAATAAGAACTGTACTTCTTCTTTGGCCGGTGAGCTCTGCTGGAAAGCTTCATGGTTGAATCATTCGGCTTCATTGAGCTTGAATGGCTGCATCAACATCTCATCGTCATACGCTGCATTCAATTTTTCACTTGCAGCAGTAGTTATCAGAGGCTTCTTTCTATAGCAACTAACGCAATTCCCCCAGCGAGTGACGGAACCAGCATTGTTCCACCAATGGCGGGGCCATCGGATGCTGGAGCAGTCCCCTTCCTGCACGACGGGAACAGCCCCCAACCGACGAGTGGCAGGGGCGGGCCAGGCGAGAGCGTGAGAGGCGCAGGGACTGTCATTGGTCATTGAACGGGCTGCGCGCGATACGGCCAGTGGTAACTAAATTACCAGACAATTAAGGAGGGGGACGGGGGTGGGATGTAACTTGCCGGCCAAAGACCTGGGAAAAAGTACCAAGAAAAACATGGAAAAAAAGAACATGGAAAAACAAAAACACGTAAAAGAAAAACCAGATCCCGAGGCGGAATCTCGAAAAATCCCGACGGAAAATCCCATCCGAGCTCTGCACATGGCGCCAGCGCGGGCCATGATTGGCTGAGCGGCCAGGCCAAGCTCTTTGCTCTGTCTGTCTCTTTAGTGGACAAGCAACCGGTACAACACCAGTACAACCGGAATACCCAGTACAATCCGAACACCGCCCCCCCGCTGGCAGGTACCTGGAAAGTACCCTTTATCCCAACCCTAAGCCCGATCGGGCTAACCCTGGCCTAACCTGGCTAACCCTAAACCTGCTAGCCCTAACCCTAACCCTAACCCTAACCCTAACCCTAATCCCTTAGCTTGAGCCTGAGCCGGTGGATCCTCGAGTTGCCGGGCAGCGGTACCTGGTGCTGCACGTACAGGACAGTACATAACAATGTACCGTGCCTAGTGGTTAGCTGGTGGCAGTGGCAGTGGGCCTTTCGCCGTCCTTCCTCTGGTTGGTTTAAATAAATCCTCAACTCTCTGTTTCAACTTTCTCTCTCTTCCTCTTCCTCCTCCTCCTACTCCTCCCCCTCCGTCGTCCGTCCAGCTACCTGCTGCTATCTTGCTCTCTCGTCCTCCGGTCCTCTCGCCCCCTGATCTTCCCCCCTCCCTAGGCCAACCAAGGCTGTGATTGTGTCTTCCCCCCCGCGCCAATCCTTGTCCGCCATGGCTGTCCTTCGGAAATACGAATGGATTCTCGCCATCATCTCCGTCGCCTTCTGTGCCTCCTCCTTCGGTAACGGTGCCAACGATGTCGCCAATTCCTATGCGACCTCCGTGGCCGCGAGGTCACTCACCATGCCCCAGGTCGGCTTCCTGTCCATGATCACTGAGTTCGTCGGTGCCGTCGCCCTGGGTGCCCGCGTCACAAAGACCGTCAAAAGCGGCATCATCGATATCACCAGGTTCACTCCCTCTCCCGGAGTCATGATGCTCGCCATGGGCTGTGCAGAGATTGGCAGCGCCACCTGGCTGATTGTTGCTACAAAATTCGGCTTCCCCGTCTCAACCACCCAGACCGTCGTCGGTGCCCTCGTCGGAGTCGGTATTGCCTCCCAGGCCAACGTCAAATGGGCCTGGGCTGACGGCAGTGTCTCCCAGATTGCGGCCTCCTGGGGCATTGCTCCCGCCATCGCTGCTGCTTTCTCCGCAATGATATTCGCCACTGTAAAGTACTCCGTGCTCGAACGTCGTGACCCCCTCAAATGGGCTATGCGTCTGATCCCTCTCTACCTCTCCTTCACCGCCGCCGTTCTCGCCCTCTTCATCCTGGTCGAGCTCCCCGGTGGCCAGTCCTACGAGGAGTTTGGCATCAGCAGAATGTGCGGCATTATCCTAGGCGTTTTCTTCGGTGCCCTGGCCTTCTCCTACACTTTCTTCCTCCCTTACTTCCACCGACGCCTCATCCGCGAAGATTCCCGTGTCAAGTTCTACCACGTGCCCCTCGGCCCACTCCTCTGGCGCGATGATCCCTGGCTCTACTTCCCCGGCCCCGCAAACGGTAACTTTGTCATTGACTACTACAAGAGCTCCCACGTGTCGAGCACTCAGGCCCCACCCAACAACCCCCCCAACGACCAGCTGAACCCAGATGCCATCAAGCCGTCTCTGGATGGGAAAGCCAGAAACGTGGATTCCCCTAGCCCATCCTCTATCGAGAAAGGCGGCGCAGAGCATACCACCACCGCAACCCTGGCCAGCAAGCAATTCCTCGAGCCAGAAGAACGTTTCCTCGCCCCAACCAAGCATCTCCCCTTCTACAATCCCTCCCGCGTTTGGTCCTATGTCAAATTCTTCTTTCTCCAGGGCGTCTCGCGCGACTGCGTCTCCCACGACTCCGAAAGCCTTGCCAAAACTCACGCCAAAGCCAAACGTTATGATAACAGAGTCGAGCATCTCTGGACCTATGCCCAGGTTGCCAGCGCCATGATGATGTCCATCGCCCACGGCTCCAACGATGTGGCCAACGCAGTCGGCCCCTGGGTCGGCGCTTACGACACCTTTATCACCGGCGTCGTCGACAAGGAAGCAAACACTCCAATCTGGATCCTGGTCGTCGCGGGCTTCCTGCTCGGTGCCGGTTTCTGGTTCTTCGGTTACAACATCATCCGCGCCCTTGGTAACAAGATCACTCAGCTCTCCCCCACCCGTGGGTTCTCTATGGAGCTAGGAGCCGCCATCACCGTTCTTCTCGCCTCACGACTGGGACTCCCCGTCAGCACCACCCAGTGTCTCACAGGCGCCACGATCGGAACTGCCCTGATGAATTACGATCTCGGTGCTGTCAACTGGAAGCAGCTGGTGTGGATCGTATGCGGCTGGTTCTTGACGCTGCCCTTTGCGGGTCTTCTATCCGGGCTTTTGATGGTGATGGCTCTCAACACGCCTCATCTGTAGAATTTATTTATAGATATACACGGTCGTCGGAGTTACTGGGATTTGTATATTTTCCTTATCTTGGGCTGCTTGATATATACTTTTCATTTCTTTCTTTCTTTTTCTTTTTTTTTTTTTTTTTTTTTTTGTTTTTTTTTAATTTTGCACATATTTCACTCATAATACAAGTACTTACATTCATGCATACATACATGCATACTTCACCCTACATACCCCGAACCATATACTCACACACACACACACACATTCTCTCTCTCTCTCTCTCTTCCTACCCGCTCCTTGCTACCTCTTAGATACCCATTTCATCTTGTCACATCTTGTCACACGATATCGAAAGTATATAGTTAGATGAATAACGAGCAAGCCTCGTTTCAAAAATAACGAGTACAGAGTGCATCCAATATTTCTACCCCAAGTCCCGTTTAAAAGTGAATGAAAAAAAAAAAAAAAAAAAAAAAATCTTAATCCCTGTGCACTATTTAGTGCTGACGATTCAACTATGCCACATCTGCATACACCCGGGAAGTTTAAAGCAAGTCCCATCTACGCATGCCACAAGTTACATAGGCCAACGAACTAACCACCAACTAACTAGCTATGTGCTCGCCTAGTCCTACAATGGCTACAGAGCACGCGATCAAGAGTATGCATCGAGAGAGAGTCAAGCCATCTTTCTTGTAACCCTGTACAAACCGTGGTTGCCAGGTCTGAAAGATGTATACCAACCACACTTCATGATATATCTCTAGAGGGGTTTATAGCCCAGACGTAGGAATCCCCATCCATCCAAATTCCCCCCTTTCTAAAACACGTCGAGAGAATTCGGTTGTTGCGTTGAGGTTCGTTTTCCCAGTATGGAGCCTTTGATATCCATCAGGGAAAACATGGAAAAGATGCTGGGTAAAAGAAAATCCGATCCGGCCGCACGAAGCCACGTGATGTTGTTGATTCCCATCCGCTACAACCCACTTCCTTTAGACAACGATCAACAGAGTTATCCTTCTACGTAACCATATCGAATGAGCCCACCATCAAGAACCTCCCCGAGCCATCCTTCCTCCCAACCTACAACCCACGATGCCCCGCGCAGTGAAAGGTGAGAGAGCGCTAACCATCCTCCCATCTGCAAACCGACAGACGCGCCGGCACCGCCTCTAACAAAACCGCAACATAGGCGTCCTGATAGAATGCGACCCATCCGTCAAAGCCATAATCCTAAAATATGACGAGGAGCGGCACGACTATATCGTCGAAGACCTGGATGACGAACGGCACCTGGTCATCAAGGAGAGCCAGTTGCCGCACCTGAAGGCACGGCTGAGTCGAGTATGTGGCGTACACCCCCGCAAACGCGTGTAGCTTTATGTCTTTTATTTCGGAGGTTGGGGCTTGAGATGTATATATATATACGTGCAATCTGTTTGGAATCTGCGCAACGGCAGCCTGATGATGAGAACAGGCTAAGGGGACGACAGCAGAACAAGAACAAGAACAAGAACGAATGAGTTGATGCTAACGTTACGTCTTTTTGACAGGAGCTGGACGAGAAAGTCATGCAGCCGGAGGAATCGGAGTCGGAGTGATTCCCGCCCAAATAGCCATCTATCTAGGCGTCTAGGTGACGAGACAGAAAACAACAGCGTACCGTACCGAATATTAGGGACGCGACTGATACCTGTCTGTCAATTCCGTCGATATGCCCAATGCTATTACGAGGACGGCTACAATTGCCGAGGGTCATATCCCACGCATGAGATTAAGAAATCAGTAACCACCAAACTACCATATTTGTCGAAATATCACCCATCCCGCCACACCCCTTGACAGATCCGGCCATGCGCGTGATCCAGTGGCACAAAATAATACATTAAACACCACACATGCAATCGAGGCGAGTCGCTGCGTCCCTTCTAGGCATTCAAGTGAAACTGTCCTTTCTTGGGAGATGAGATGGACGGACGGACGAAAGGACAGACGTCCAATGGGAAAAATCACGTGATAGGATGACTTGCTGGCTGTGCTTTTGAAATTTTGTCGCCGTGAGATTATTTTGACAGTTATCATTGGATTTTCCTCCTCAGCCTATTTGGATATGCTTGCTCTTTACAATGCAAGTTAACTTGCTTTGAATTTCTTTCTCGTACGTTTTGATGAGTTGTTGCCCCATTTCTCCCGCGTGATCATGGCGATATCTATCCTGCTCCAGCAATGCGTCTATCGTCTGTGGAATAGTGGCAATGAATATATGGCTTGTATTGTTGCGCTGGGCAAGATGTTCGGGGCTTTGGTGATGCGATGGCCCAAGTTTGGGTCGAAAAGCTCCTCCATCAACACACAATCCCAGCGCGTGACCACGTTGGGGACTTGGATCTTAGGCCCATCGTCCACTGAGAGGGAGAAGATCTCTTCCGGCCAGAGACTGATCCCACGAACCGGTCAATCGCACTTTTGAAGAGGGGAGAAGGCAGCATTTGCTCAAGACACATGGCGGCTATCAATTCGACAGAAGATCTTGTCTTGGGGACATTTCATATGTGAACTCATCGGCTTATACAAACGCTTGTTGACTACCTATGCACAGCATATCTGATACCAAGAGAGACAGTTAGGATCTGCAAGTACAAACTTATCATGCCTCCATGCCAGAGCTACTTAAAGAAAGCCTTAACAACCAAAAAATTTGTCAACCCACAACTCGATTCCTTAACCCTCACTACCTATCCTTTCTTTTTAGAGACATAAATACCAAAGTGATTCCCTTCTGAATCGCAGCACTGGGTCATAAACCCATGATCCCCCTCAACCACGGGTTCGCCAAGTTTAACCCCTCCATTCGCGATAATAGCCTGTTAAAGCGACAAAATAAAATAAAAAAATAAAAAAAAGAGTAAGCGGCAAAATACAACACTGAGCACATATCCACATCCATTCCTCAATGCAGCACGTGTTACCCTGATACATACCTCAATCGCTTTGTTCTGATCCTCCATCATATAATATATCTGGCACGCATTGGCGCCCTTGGTATGCACCGCAGCTTCGACATGCTCAATGCTACCGGCTAACATATTGAGGTCGGGATCCGGGAACTTGAATAGGACCAATTCTTTTGCGGAGGGATCGTCGGGGTGGGCTTTGAAGGACCAGCCGAAGACGGCGGCGTAGAAAGACTTCGCTGTTGAGAAACCAATTGGTTCAGCGGAGGGTGATTTGAGAAGGGAAAAGAAAGAAAAATAAAAATGCGCGGAGTTGGAGGGTTAGTTAAGGCGTCGGGGGAAAAGCGAGATACAGACCACGGTTAATATCGGTGGCGGGAATATTGAACCAACAAGGGGAGCCGAATTCGCGAGTGGTCTCCTTAGACATTGATGAAGTTGGGATTGGAAATTGAGAGGATGAGATATGGGGTTTGTTGAGTTACTTTGGAACAAAAACGTTTTTTTTTTCCTTTGTCGCTGGCTGCTGTACAATTTCTAAGGGAATGAAATGAATGGGTTTCTAGGAAAATAATTTAAATAAGAAAAGGAGAGGAATCTTGGTGCCTGAACGGGGGATTCAGGCATCCTTTTATAACTTCTTTTTTTCTTTCTTTTTCCTTTTCTTCTCTCTCTCTCTCTCTCCCTTTTCTTTTCTTTTCTTTTCTTTTTATCGTCGCTGGCCTCAAACTACATCCCAGTCTTTCATAACTTCGTTGAAATACATTTACAAACACATCGAATCGCATCGGCATTTACTCTTTGCTCTTTGCTTTCTCGCCCTGCCTCGTTATCCTTTGCCATCTCCTTGCCCTCGCGCGTCAACAACAACAAAATACAAGGAACCCCTGCCATACGGGAGAATGATGCCCATCATCCACCCCGCTTGCACACCTTTAGCCAAGGCGAAAATGAGTCATACATGCAGGCAGTCATCACTCATCGCTGATTGCCTATGCAAGAAATAACCCCGCCTACTTCAAGATAGGGCCCTTTGGTTGTGCTTGTCGCGAGGGATAAAATCCTAACCCAAGCGCTTGGTCGAACGCGTAGTGATTCCATGGATGGCGTTCAATTATACCGCGTCTGTGGGGTTGATTTTGTACTGGGGAGGAACAGCAGAACGCGGAATGACGTGCGGGGCAGCCGCTCGCGGTGACCGCGTTCGCCCACAGCCCCAAGGGCGTCCTTTTCTCTAATTTTGGGAAATTCTTCGCTTTTTTAAGAGCATCCATCAGAGGGATTTCCTTAATATCCTTTTTCTTGCGCTGAATTTCTTTGCTATATTCCTGTTCTCCTCTGCCGAGTTTCAAAACTGAGTTAAGTGGAGAGTCATGGGCAGTTGCCGACGCAGATCCTCAATGACAATTCTCGTTATTTGTCTTTGAGGGCCTCCCGGGCGGAAAACAGCCGTCCCTCTTGCGCTTGCGGTTGGCCCCGCTGACTGCAGCTAAACCGCTCGTCTATATATATAAACCCACCCCTCTTGCTGTTCTAACGACCTCGCTCCGCTGCCCTTATTTTACTCTTTCACCATCTTCCCTGGTTCGCTTTCTCACTCCACGCTGTTTACACACCCATCTTGCTGTAGAATTTCCCATCCCTTCCCCAGGCCCTAATGCTCAGCTCATTACAGTCCTTTGTCTTTACTCTCTCTACAGTGAGATCTGTGTCATCGGCTATTCAATCTCTTGATATGTGACCGTCTTACTTGTGTAACTGGGAGGGGGGGCGTTTGTCACTTTCCCCGTTGAGATCCTGTCAGGCTCTCTGTTGCCTTGACATTTATTCCCTGGTGGCCTGGTGCGGCTGATGGTAATTGTGGACACCACTCCAGCGCGGGTGAATCGTTGGTCGCGCTACAGTTTCCTCTTGGCGAGTAGCAAGATGCCGAATCAATGACAATGAAGGGCCTCCATCGGAGATTGAGATTCAGCCTTGGTACCCTGGCGCTAAAATCAGGCAAAGAGACGGGGATGACGTAAAATTGTGATGTGATGTCAAAATCCACTAATTTTAACGCTGCACGCTTCATGATGGATTGAGAGACTTGTTCTGCTATTGGAGTTTCGTGCTCATGCGACAGGGAAGTGCATTGGGGTGCTGCCAGGGAACACATGATCTGCAAGTCAAGAACGACCTCGGTCGATGCTGCAGTCAAGAGAATAAGTGAGAGGTTGAGATTCGCCGGCATTCCCTGCAAAGTATGACAGCTGGTATCACAAGGCGATGGGTTGACGCACAATTACCCCCTTATTTCACCGGGACTTGGCCAATTTTCAGCGCGTGGGATATTGGGCTCGTTCAACGTGAAGGAGGGGAGAGCAGAAAGGCTGAGAGGGTAGCCTGATTTGGTGACAATTTTTGCCCACTCCATGATGAAATCTACATTGCTGTATAGCTCTGCTCTCCAGAACAAACTTCTGTCCTTGGTCCATCTTCCATCCCCCGCAAATGCTCATACTGCTCCTGCCTTACAGCTCGCCACCAGCACAACCATTGGTGTTGGTGGGTGGATATTTGTATTTCGCCAGCTGACAGTTACAGCTGAGGCGGTGGTAGTGAGGGGATACAGAAGGGCTATCCATCTCAATTCACTGGTGATGCAAAGACCGGGGCCTTCTAGGTTTTCGCAGTGTTACATTTGGATATGAAGTCCAACGCTGAATGGTTCTTAATTTAACCATCCGTCCCGACATTCCTGCGCCACTGTTTGTGAGGCTTGTGAAGGTGAGACGTCAGTTCCAAAGGTTGAAAAGATATTTCATCCCGTTTCTTCCCCACCCTGAAGGTACAGAAAACTGGATTTCTCTCTTATCCCAGAAAGACGCATCAATTCTAGGAGAGCAACTGTTTCCTCCATGTCAAACTCACCTACTCTACGTTTCCACCCGCGCGTCAGACAGCGAGAATTCTTCTGCATTTTCCCCAAGGCGGAGTGGGATCACTGCCTTTGCTGGGACACTGGGTGGAAGTGATTTGACATTGCGCTGCATAACGGGGACTGTCTCAGGCTTGTCATATTCTTCATATAGTTAATTGCTCAATCGAGAGTTGATCGAAACTTGATGGGAGTTTAACTAAGATTTAGCGAAGATGGATATCTAAATAAAGATGAATATTAACTGAGGAGGATTCAGGCACAAATAATTGCGATTATGACAATGACAAACTTCCATGGGAATAGTCTCGTGAATGCATATATGCAATAGCTAGTGTGAGGCCACCCGACAGCGCCCGCTTAGCTTCAAGAGGAAATAGGCGGCTAAAAGAGGCCTCTCTAAGACTGCATCGTGCGGGAGTCATTGCGTAGCATGGATGAGTTCTATTAGAACCATGTCGCTTAAATTCATCCAGGATAAAAGGAATTAAATTGCGCCCTGGATGCAAGGATGAAGACAACGGTAGTGGCGCGGAAAGAGCTCGCAGAATCTAAATCTCATGCGGAAGTGAGTTTGCTATGCCCGACTTTGACAGCGACATAGCGCTTCAGATGAGTGTCTTGGGCTAGCCAAACAGTTGAATAGCCTCCAAAACCCAGCTTGTCCACGATGCGGTATCGCTCGTGTAGTATACCCCCAATCATGATAGAATGATAATCCCCAGGGTTTTACGTTTCAAGTGACTCTGCACCGTCAATCCAGTTGTATGTGAAACAATGCTCCCTTCCATCTTCTTCAACCTTCTGAGCGCAGCAGATGGGTGATGGGCGTGACAATGGAGTCAAGAGTTTTAGGGACTTCAATGGCAAGAAAATAAAGAAAAAAGAAGCGGCTCTTTTATAACTCGTGGCATGCCATGATAGAAGTGGTGATGGGTGGATTGAGGAATGTGAAAAAAAAACTATTCACCCATCTGATCTCTACGTTTTGTCGAACTGGAACCGCCCAATGAACCCTCTCCACAATCAATGATTTAGGCAATCAATGAGTCGTACACTAATGAATAGGGGCCAGTACTTTCTCCCGCTCTTTACAGGGTTAAGATAAAAATATAAGAGCACGACGATGGTCCTCTCATCAGCATATCATCCCTACAATCAAATATAAAACATTTGGACTCTTGCTAATGGTGTCTCCTCTTCCATTGTTGCTTCACCTGAAAATATGACTGCTGCTGGAGAGGGCGTCAACTTTGTCAGATACTTGTTCTATGCCGGCAACACAGTCAGTTGAAGTCGAAAAAGCACTTTAGTCGCCCTGGCCTCTGCGACAGCTAGAGACCAAATCTTGCTCCTTAGATGGTTCTCATTCAGTTAGTCCTTCTCAGCTTCTTGCAAGTCCTTGAGAGTGTGGTTCTGTCTTAATTCTTGGCCATAGATCCTATATATTGTCTAGTGCTAACTAGACCATGAATCAGATCTGACATGTATGATACTACCACTGTCAAGGGCAAACATGACAATGATCCCAAAGGCTGGCATGGCACCTTCGCCTTCAAAGCTGACAATCAGATGGAGCGGGAATTCCATGTGGCATCGCATAAATGACAAAGAGGACTTCGTCCTAAATGAAACAACATATACTCCAGAGAAGGAAGACAAAGCTCCTCGGGGTGAAAGAGGATCTGAAAAGGTTTTCTGGCCAGCTAAGGACCTTCTTGAAGAATATGTGGACAGTTTCATTGGTTACTCACACCCACCTGAGCAGAATTAATAGCCAGTAAGAAGGCAATGAGCATTGGAGCGAGATTTATACATTTCATTTTGGCGCAAATTGGCACTGACCCACGAGGTTAATCTGACAGATGATAAAGTGGGAAGGATCAACAAATTAACAGAGGAAAATGAGTTTAATAGTAAAGGATTTAAATTGTGGATATTGCATGGCTCAACAGAAAGGACTCCGACCTGGGAACGTCTGCGTCACTTGGAATCTGGTTCTATAGCCTAGAGGCCACAGAATGGGCGATAAATGACGGCATGATCTTTGGACGTAGATACCTAGAAAGCATTGAGTTGTGCCAGATCAAGAAGAAGAGGTGCTACAGATGCCGAACGATCGGCCACCTGGCATGGAGTTGCAAGGAGGCACTTCGATGCGGAATCTGCACCGGCGAACATGACATGAACAATTGTCCGCCTGAAGCAAGACCTTTATAAATATGTGGATTGCAACGGCTATCGCCAGACAGGAACGAAAAAATGCAGAATCAAAATCAATGCCATCAATATTTAATGACATCACAAACACTACGCATACTTCAACTGAATATAACGAGAAGGAGAGCCATCATGGAAGCCCTCATCAGTGACCCTAAGACAACGGAGCTCGACATGCTACTCATACAGGAACCGCCCTTTACCTTCTACAAGACGCCAGTCATATATCCTCAATGGAGAGTATTTCAAAACAATGAACACAGATACCGAGGTCAAGAAGCGCAGCCTGATATACATCAACAAATAAATCTCCACTTCAGCCTACAGGCAAGTGCAATGCGACAGCCCGCACATTAATGCAATCCAAATCCATTTCCGCATACATACAATGTGGGGAAGCATCTCGCAGCGGCAACGAGATGGATTCAGCCCTGGACATGATAAACAGCACAATCCTACAGACATTGAGAAATAAAGTCGTGATCAGTGGGGATTTTAACCATCATCACCAGCTATGGGGCGGAATCGACATCAGTCAAAGGTGGTTAAGGGATACTGATGAACTGCTGAGCTTCATACAAACACATCACCTCCAAAGCTGTCTCCCGACTGTAGTATCCACTCACTGGTCGAGTGGCTAGGCCGGGGTTTGATTGACGCTGGACCTGACACTTAGCGACATCCAGCAACAACTCCTCAAGTGTCATCTCTACCCTGACAACTACGGATCTGACCATAGAGGCATCTACTCAGAATGGAGCCCTCAGCTAGAGAGCAAAAGCAAAAACAAACCACACAGGCTATACGAATAAACCAGACTGGGGAAAAGCAGGCGAAACAATCAGAAAAGCATTGTGGCCCATACCAATGATTGAGTCAGAATGTGAACTAGAAGGGTAGATATCCTCATTGACACTTACAAAATCAGAAATAAACAAACCCACCCCTATCGCTAAACTATGCTCATGCTTCAAATGGTGGTTCACACCAGATCTAAAAGCAAAGCAAGCAGACTGTAACCGGAGCTGAAGGTGATATCAGGCTAGCTGCGCAACCCAAAGCAAGGATGACTCAATCACTAAAGACCTATACACAAGCATAAAATTAACCGCAGGGAGTAAACACGACAGATTGAAAAAAGTTAAAAAAGACCACTGGAAAGACCTTCTAGACCAGGCTAGCTCAGGAAATCAACTATGAAAGGCGGCAAGGTATATCGATCTCACAGACAACTACGCCCACATTCCCCCCCTCACTGTTGATGACACAGAGTATATAAACAACAAGGACAAAGCAAAGGCCCTCCTCAACAACTTCTTCCCGCGAACTCTGGCCCCTCCAGTCGAACACTCGGTTCCCTCCCGAGAGGAGTTATTATGGGAATCAGTAACAGAAGAAGAGATTCTCAAAGTGTTGTCAGCACCAAGAGCAGAACGTACTGGGTGTTAATGGTCTCCTCACACTGGTCTGGAAAAAGCTCTGGAATATGTAACAAGAATTGTCCTTCACATATTTGAAACATTCTATAAACCTAGGACACCATCCAAAATGATGGAAGACGGCGAACATCATCGTACTGCGAAAACCCGGAAAGTAAGACTATACAGTACCGGGAGCGTACCCCCTAATCTCCTTGCTCAATACACTTGGTAAAATCCTAGAGAAAGCGATGGCAAGACGCCTGGCATACTACACAGAGAGATATAATTTATCCACACACATACAGTTTGGTGGCAGGCCAGATAGATCTACGGAACAAGCCCTCCTGATTCTGGCCAGTGCCATAGACCAATCTTAGAAACGGGGCTGGGTCTTGACACTGATCTCAATCGACCTTAAAGGAGCTTTTAACAGGGTAAACGCGAGCACCCTGGACGCTCGCCTCAGAGAGAGAGGCATTCCTCAAATAGCCTGCCAATGGATCCGCAGTTTCATGGAAGACAGATCAGCCTGCATCTAATTTGATGACTTGAGTACTGACATCCCTCCTCTTGTCCATGCTGGCCTTGCTCAAGGTTCCCATATCTCACTGATTCTATTCATGATCTTTAACTCCGACCTGGTGAATCAATCAGTAGACAACCGCCAAGAAGTATCAGCATTCATCAATGATTACTTACGGTGGAGGACCGGACGAAGCGCTGAAGACAACCTGAAGAAGATACAAAAGATAGACATGCCTCAATTCAAAGAATGGGTCAAACACACAGGTTCCTGTTTCATTGCAAAACAAGACAAAAATCCATCCACTTCACAAGAAAGAAGAACTAACAGCTGGTAAATAATGTTACAATGGAAGGATATGTGAAGCCGTTAGCACCGGCTGTGAAACTCCTGGGAGTGATGTTTGACCAGGAAGTGCATTGGAAGACCCACACTCTGTATGTGATTGGAAGGCAACCAGAACATGCGTTGCAATAGAACAACTACGCCACCTGTGACCTGAACAAATGAGCCAGCTGTACATTGCCTGTTGTCCCCAAAACTGACTATTCATCCATAGTGTGGTATAATCTGACAAAACCGTCAGGGCAGGCGACCAACCTTACGAAAGTTCCATGAACTGCTCTAATTAGAATCCTATCATTATTCAAAACCGTAACCACTCATACCCTGGAAGTCGAGGCCCACACGCCCCCAACAAGTCTCAGAGTGTGAAAACGGGCTCAGGAGGTCATCACAAACCTGCGAACCCTCCCTGAAACGCACCCAAATACACAAAGTACTCCAAAGAGCCATGTTGAGCGCGACATGCTCTGGAAGAAGACGCCCGTACCCCCTCTAGGACGCATGAGGATGATTAATGCGGGAGAGCTCGAACCCATCAAGACCATCAACTCATGTCCCATTGAACCATGGCACACAATGATAAGCGAGCCATACACATCGACTCCGACAAGGATGAAACTATTGAAAGGACACTGAAGATGATGGAACACCCCTCCACCACAGTGTTTACAGGTGCCCCAGTGACAAACTTTGGCATGGGAGAGTGGCAGCCACGATAATCGACACACAAAACTGTATACATTACTATAAGCAGGCATCAAAGAGCACTGGGCAGTCCTGACAGTGGAATTAATAGCAATCTACTATGCACTCTTCCTCGCATGGCAATCGCACTTCGGTGCCACAAGCCTCCAAGCCACTCGAGTTGAACCCCTACACCATCGCACCTACATCATTATAAGTGACTCGCGCTCCGCACTTAAAGAACATCAAGAATTCATCAAAACAGTCTGGATGACAAATAGTCTACAGCATTCTAGATACAACAAAACAGATGAAAGAAACACCGCGAGTCAACATCTGAATGCAACGGGTGTCGGTCAACTGTGGTGGTATCTTCGGAAATGAAGTCGCCGACCAGATTGCAAAACAGTCGATCAACCCACACCCACCCATCATTTTCAGAAACTGATAACCTCCCCTCCCCTCAAAAGAACGCCTAAGAAAATGAAAAAAAAAAAAAAGAAAAAAAAATGGAAAAGGAATGGTTGACATCGACAAAGAGAAGGCACCTACGCAATATTGACACAGCACTTCCAGCCAGACACTCCTGCAACCCCTATGTGACTCTCCCAAGACACCAAGCGCGGATCTTAACACAACTCAAAACCGGACACTCCTGCCTAGAAACCTTTACGATGAGGATAAAATACAGAGACGATGACAAATGCGAATGTGGAACAAGAGAAATGATATTTCACGTGTTTGTAGACTGCCCAAGGCTCCGTCAACAGCATCAAACACTTCGCCAAAAAAAAAACCGGAGACTGAATCAACAACTTCTCACTGATGCTCGGAGGCAAACCTTCAAACCTCACAAACCCTGAAGATGAAATTGACAATTACAAAAGATGATCTGAATGCAGCGCGGGACTTCGCGGAAGCGTCTGAAAGATTTCAATATAAATAATCTGACTGTAAGTAACAAAGGGCCTTGGCGAGGCAGTAAGCTCATATATGTAATCGGATACATTCAAAGATAGTCACATAGGTAGTTAACTACAGTAGTTGTACCCTGCATATCCTGATGAAAATCAGGGGATAAACCAACAACCACAGTACATTTCTATACTTTAAAGATACGGCTGTAACCACAGTGCTCAAGCCAGCAGCCACATGAATTGCTGACGGGCGACTGCGTTGACAGGTTCAGACCTAAAAGGATTCTTCTACATTCAGTCTTCATGATATACTTGAACCAAAACATGATCTTCAAGTTTCTACTCATATGCTCTTCATCACAGATTGTATCTTGTAACTATTATGTGAGTTTTCTTTAAGTAGTTGAGCTGCATGATATTGCTCAAACCAACATTTGTGAATTGAAGTGTCTCGATTGTTAAAATTATAGCATAGCTAGTTATAACTATGTCAGATATCAGTCTTTAGCAATGAAGCTATTCCGGAAACACTAACCGGGCCCTAGTGGTTGATTTCATAATCAACCTCCGGTCGGACTCAACGTGAAATATTTTTTTATCCGGGATATTAAATTATCAATGAATGTAGCCAGATTCATTAAATACAACTTGATTATGCAGTAGATAATCTATTTATGACTCTTCCTAGTAAATTTGGTGGCTCTAACATTAATACCCTTGTCTCTACAATATCGTTTTAAGTTCCACCATAACTTTCTTCCATTTCAGACGCAACTTCTCTAATGCCTCCTGATTATCAAGCTTTTGATGAATGACTGTCATCTTGCGTATATTAGATGCGGATATGACCCCCCCCATATGTACTACTCTTCAGGATGCTCGCCGGCGGTGTTCGCGAGCCGCAGTGGCTGTGGCAGTTTTTGAGAGCTCATCCTGCAGAAGAGTCACTGTATTGACCATCATGATACTGCCCTTATAGAGCTTCTCTAGCCCAATTTGAATATATTCAGGGTCTTTGATGTCCTCCATAGCCTCCAATTTGCACTTATATCAGTTGAATTGATGAACAGTTGAAGGAGTATACCAGGTCAAGGAGTTGATGGAAACAGATGTAGATGGACTCATAGGAGTTGTCTCAAACTCACATAATTTACTAAGGACGATGGACAGATTAAATGGAACCAGGCCTGTTGCTTCCCATCCTCTCTTGATCGTATGAACCCTGAATGTCGCCTTTCGTATAGAGGTGATGGCATGAAGAAATTCAACTTTTGTAAACTTCTCACAACCACGTCTTGTTGCTTCTTCAACTGCCAATGAATGATGATGCTTCAATGCCTGAAAAACCCCTACATCCAGAGGCTGTAATAGATGACTCGTATGCGGAATAAGGTAGAAGGGGATGATGTTATTGTTGAAATAATCCATGAACTCGTACGTGCAGTGGGAGTCAAAGCCATCCAATAGAAGCAGACGATGAGATCCTTTGGTGCGACTCTTCATAGAGTGATGGAAGTGTTGAATCCACTGAAAAGAGATTTGATCATTGTTATATCCAGTGTCTGACATGCCCACCATGGCATCCTTCTCAATCTCATCGGTCCAGCGCTCCTGTAGCTGCTTCGCGGTGAGAATGTACAAAGGAGGGATGATTAAGCCGTCCGTTGAGACTGCTTCGATGATTGTAAGGTTTTCTCTATTATTTGAGCTTCCAACAAAAGTCTGCCTTCGAGGATCTCGCGTCACTATCCACTGATCTCGTCCGATTCCTATCCTGAACCCCGCTTCATCAAAGTTGTAGATATCACTGAGTTGGACCCCAAACTTATCCACTGTCTCCTTAAAATGGTTAAACCAATCAAGTATGAATGACGGCTCATGGGCTTGCTTCCTTGCCATGTCGATGGTCTTCTGCCATTGTATATTGTATTCAGGATGACGTTTGATGAATCTTTTGACCCAATGTTCTCCAATCTCAGGTGGAAGATCAATGAGATCTTCATGACTCTCTGCAAGGACAAATCGAGCAGCACCAAGTATCATTGACTGATTGGGAGGTAGGCCTATCTTATCTAGTGTTTCTATATACTGACAGAGTGATTTTTCCTTGCCAGAAGATAGTAATCGGTTAGCAGGAGTTCTTTTGGTGCGAGGGAGGGGGCCATGGAATCAATTGATCAAATGTGAGTAAGGAACGTTGAATTCTCTCGCCAACGCACTAATATTAGGATTTTCAACATCAGCTATGGATTTAGAGCTTCTGTGATCTTATTCTCTATTAAAATATATGAAGAAGTCATTGCGTTGACTGGTTATTGAATTTTGAAGATGGAATAGAATATCTAAAAAAATATTTCACGTTGAGGTAGCGGACCCTCGTATACGAGGATCCGACCGGAGGTTGATTATGAAATAACAGTAGACCATGCCGGCACTATAATTATTATCACTTAACTATATGAAACCGTCACTTATATGGAACCTTCTCCCTTATTTTCCCTTTCTTTCTTTCCTTTTATCAGGAATAGGATGATTCAGTTTCTCAGTATATAAACGTGGTTCAACCTCTCATACAACTTAAAGGGGAGGGGAGGGAGGGGGGGGAGTCGACAGCATGTGAATGACATTCTTGACTACTTCCATGGCCTACATTCTCTCATAATATAATTCACACATTCCATCAACTGAACTAATGCCTAGACATGTTGCTGTGACGGACGATTCGTATTCTTTATGAAAAACATCCAAAGCATTCTCTTATTCCTACGAGGAGCGCTATTCTGCCGTCAGAATAAGATGAAATGATACCGGTTGGAATTTCCCTAGTGAGATAGCTTTTCCATTCAATATTTGGCAGTGCTGGTGGAGGTTCAGTCATTACACAAGGCAGCCAGATCGATCTCATATAGTCTGTTATTGAAAATCGTGTTCCTGTGTAATCGTAGGCTCACCAGACGTCCCCTGTCAAAATCTATGAATGCAGACGGGGACCGTGTGCTTCCTGAGTATGACTCTTGAATTCCATGACTCAGGGCGGAATGAAGGTGATACTCTGTACTTTGCAGATCCCGCAGTACTTTTGTCCGGAGGAGTATGCCTTCAGCTCCTCGCTGTGGACGCTCTCGATATGGTTCCAGAACTTGTTCATGCACCCCCGGATCTCCATCTGGTCTTCCCAAGGCAATGAGATATCAGCGTCCAAGAATGGGCACTGGTTTTCATCTAGCTTCACCTGAATAGTCTCTTTCTCCCGCACGGTGTCTGGGTCAGGTCAGGCTTGAAATCCCGCCGCGGCGGCGGCTGTTTCTTGTGCTGACCCTGACGCTAAACCTCCCGACACTGCAGCTTGAACCAGATGATGATGCACGCACACCGGCGCGCGAACTGCTCATCTTCTGTCGGTTTCGGAGTGTCGCAACACGTCAGTTCGACGATCCGTCTCCGTTTCGGGATCTGAAACGATGGCAGGGCCGGACACTCATCCCAGGACTGACCGGCCGCGCTATTGCGGAGTCGCTGGTTGAATCACTCCGTATCAGCATGCCGGAATGATCTCTCCCTTCAGCTCGTCAGTAAGTTCCGTCGGAGCAGTGGCGGCGGCGTTCAAGAGCAGCCCATGGGCTGCTTTCTGGAACACTTCATTAGATCGGAGCTCCATGGCCGCGGCTTCCAGATCGAACTGGATGACCGTGTCTAGATAGTAACGTACCGCGTTGGATACGTGGTCGGCGATTTGATCCCGAACAGAGGACAGAGCTTTATCTGCGGATCCCGTAGGTCTCTTGTTGGTGTGATGGCCAGGGAGGAAGAAAAGAGAGGATAAAGAGAGCAGGATTGGAATGACGAAGCTGAGCACTGGCGTGACAAGGAGTGTGATGCACATTCTGCTGATGGCGTTGATGAGAGAGAACGTCTCCAGACATACTGGGCCAGACGATACTTGAGCCCGGCCACCAGGCTAAGGTACCTGAGGTAACCGCTCAATATAAATGCCTGAAGTGGTGTCCTCTCCGATGTTGGGTACCCATTCCCTGCATGTTTAGGCTGGCGCAACACCAGCACGCCCAGCATTTCCGCCTTGATCTTTAGATCCATACCACCTGGGTGTGACGGGATGGAATACCAGTAGATATCTCAAAGCTTTTTGAATTCGGTCGCGAAGATCTCGTCGTGTGTAGCCTTGGAGAAAAGGTGCCGCCGAAGTTCGAAGAGCGGCCCCGAATTGTGACTGATGACGAATATTTTCCTGCAGTGTTGGTCAGTCATTGAAGAGGAAAACAACACGGGGATTGGGAAGATGGAAGTTGCCTAGCCTTACACTCGCGGCTTCTTGTCTTCACCCTTCCTAAGGAGAAGAGTGATTTTAGCGAGGAGAATGTTTGGCCAGCCAGCCAAGAGGCTCCGGATGATGTGGAACTTGATATACCGTCAGACAATGGCACCAGTCTCCTCAGGGCACGCATTGTACTCATCGTCCGTCATGCCATCTATGAAGCGGTCAAGTTCACTGATGTCATTGTCAGCGGTCATACCGCTGGTGGAGCCGCTCTCCACTGATTCTATACTCAACTCTGTGTCAGTATCACTCTTTCACACGAGCATGTTAAGATGGATTCGCGAGTGTTGTCACTTTCTTCATCAACATGCCCTGAGTCAAAGATTGTATTATTGTTCATATGGTTATCCATGTCTCTGTCTTTGGTATTGTACATAACGTTTTCACTGTGCACCCCGGATTTGACGCAGGGCGCTCCTTCTCAGGCGGATTGACAGCTTCTTTGAGGGGTCATGATTCGTGACATCTTTGTGGCTTGATATTCCTCGTCGTCATCTGAATTAGCTCTCATGCGTTTCTCTGGTGCTATGGTCTGTTATCGTGCTGGCCGATCCGGGATCCTGGCCCTCGGAATAGAGACGGTGACGGTGGGTCCCGCTCTCTTGCTGGCTGTGTGTGATGCTCCCATGGAGGAGGCAGTACACATTGTTCTTTGTGCCGGACGGCTTCCTCTTCAGTCGTCACCGGAGACCCCATCTCTTGATCACGATGTTCTTATACTGAGTATGGCGCCAATCAGCTGGTGCCACATCAGTTGCTTCGATGGTCTTACATTCAGACAGTTTAGTGCCATCCCATCGTCCATGCCATGACCAGTGTGCTTGACATACAGGGTCTTCAGAAGCCGCCAGTAACTGTCGAAGGCCGAAACTGCCTTGGTGCTGTTCCGGTGGTTGCTCTCAGGCCAGTCAAAGTACGTCTTGACTCGGCTCACTGTCAGATTCCTGATGAACTCCATTTCTATAGTCTTGAGTTTGGTAGAGCAGAAGCTGGTCTTTCTGTAAGAAGGTCATTCCATTTTCTTAAACAGATCACCAATGAAGCTTCCGCCAGACTGTCTCTCTGCCTTCTCAGCGTTTGCATAATAAACTCGCGATCAGCGGCCTCGTGTCATTCCAATGTGACTCTGTAGATCAACTTTCTGGGAGAGTGTTGTCGACCTGCGGTGCGTAATCTGGTAGCTTTTGGCACTTTGGGCCTTCCAACTGTCATACCGTTCAACGGGCCTATGAGACTGTCGTAGGTAGATAGGAAAGAGATTCTGGAGAGGAAGACCGGAGAGGACCAGCTGTCTGCAGGGGAAATGGGACGGAGAGGAGAGGGGAAGGGGGGGTATATGATGGTATTAATAGAATGGGCAGCCATAACCATCATATTTGGAGGGTTGAGCGCCAGAAACAGTGCGCTCCAGCTGGGCGACTGGGCGAATGGGCGAATGAATGATTGGGACAGGTGAGCGATTCGCGAGCAGTCGCGCGAGCAGAAGATGAGGCCATGGATGTGACCGAGGACGTAAATAGGCTCCCAAAAACCGGCGATTTATGGCTTCTACTTGGGTATAATGTTGATTAGTGTGGGTGCAAATCCGCGGTGCACGAGCGGTCGAGAGCAGCCCGAACGCCTTCCACTTTCGGCCGTCATGCCCTCAAAGATCGATTCTGCTGTTATTTTCGTCTCCCTAAATTTTCGCCAGGCAGATGAAACTGGAGTCTTGATGACAAGTGACAACAATCCTGGCAAAACGATTTCAACGGCAAGCAACTTGTATCAGAATTCAAAGAGGGCGTTCCATGGCTCTCTATCCTGCGAAGCAGTGTGGTGTTAAGATATCGGAGTCGCATAGTCAGTCCTATGAACTCATCAACTTGCAAATAAGTTGAAATCATCGATTTGAAGGGAGATAGAACCACAAGGGAACCGGGGGGGGAATTGTCAATTAGACCACCCACTTCGCCACAGAATCGTTTCTCATTCCCATTATTAAATTCCTTTGCGGGTGGAGGGTGGGACCAAAATGACGTGAAACCCACTGTATGAGTATTCATATATTGAAAGGGCCGAACACTTAATCATTCCACTTGCATATGCAGTTTTCAATCAACATTACCAGGAATTACATATCTTCGGTTGTTCTCGTCCGCGAAGTATGAGGGTCAAGAGCACTGGAGGCGCTATATGGGACCTCTTTATTCAAGCAAGATCTTTCACCTTGTCGATGACCTAGTTCAACGGCAGGTATCCCTAGCAGGGAGAGTAAGCTGCAATGCAATCTATGCACTTCTCAATATCTATGCATGAACGTGAGGTTCATGCATGCACGGGGCAAATTTCCAAACATCTCACCAGATTTTCCACTGGTAAAACCGTAGATGCTAACCATAAAAGCACGGTTGGCCATCTTTCTGATAAGTTCCAGCCATCTCAGGAGAACCGCGGAATGGTATTTGGAAGCGAAACAAGATCAAGTGTATCATATCTACTAACACGTGGTCCCAATTGAGTGTTGACTGGTCAGTATTTCGCCGATAAAACGTATCCCGTTTCTATTCGCACCCCAAGATTTACGCAGGCATTTTAAATAGCGCACATTGTGACAAATTGGCCCAATAATCATATTCTCTCGTGGTTATGACAAGACATCAGACAAATACTTTGAGCGGGTAAGAAAATCAGAGAGTAATACAATCAAGGGATTATTCAGCGCATCCCTCGCTACGCTTGGTATCATGATAGATAAACCCAAATATATATGTATATACATATATATTCAATCCAAACGCGGGTAAATTCCATCGCCAGATACAAAAAAGACACCTTGCCTTCAAAAAACAATAAACGGCCAAGGAAAAGTTGGTTGAGCGAGGGACCAAAACGTCTGGGTGAAACAAGCAAGATAAAAAGATATAAAAAACGAGGTAAAGCGTGCATCGAATGTTGAAAAATTGAAGTTGAGGATTTGTTGGACTAAAGGAAAGATATCAAAAAAAGAATATGAAGGAAAATAAAGAACAAAAGATGCACAAAACTTATATAAAGAGAATCCAAGAAAACCCAAACCCCTTTGATTTCCCACGTTGATACGCCATTTTATACATTCCCAACCCAGGTTTCTGGGGTCATTACTCCTCATCAATCGTTAAGGTGTTCCGTAATTCTTCCAAAATGATAAAAATTCCAGGAACGCAGGATAATGCGGGGAGCAGTTGTGCATTAGAAGTTTTTATAATGTTTCACTTTTTTGTTTCCTTCTTAAGCAAAAACAGTCCTCACAAATCCAAAGAGAAGAAAAGATAACCCATAAAAATTCAGGCGGGTTGCCTAGAATAAATTTCACGGCTTAACTTCATTCCGGTCATCAAAAGGGCTCATGCTCCTCTCGAGAGACGAGTTGGAATCTGGCTGTGTTCTTTGTTCATGTAAAGGGTATGAATCTTGGTGGTCGTGGCTTGAGACGGATGTGAGGCTTTCCCTCTCCTCTGGAATGGTAGGAGGGCTTGATCTCTGTTGGGGATCATCAAAGGGGCTTTGCTTGGTGGCAGGAGAATCGTCGATATCAGTTATGGTGACAGATTCGTCAGATTGGCGATTTTTACTGTTATTATTACTGGACGCGACAAGGACTTTTCCGGATCCCAGTCCATCTTGCGACTCGCCATCCAATTCGTAATTTGCTTGTGAGACGATGATCTTAGGGTTGGACGTTCCATCGACTTCGGAGATTGCATTGGGTTTGCTTCGATGCGACTTCGTGAGGTTGATGGGGCGTGCAACCATAGAGCGGGCAACGATTGAACCAGAGTATTTGTTTTCCTTCTTGTCTATGTTGTTGATATTATTTACTGTTTTGGCTGCCACGGCTTTGGCCTTGACTATCTGGGAAGCAGTAATTGGAGGAACAGCAGGGGTCGAAGAACGAGAAGTATCGGAGGGACTGCTAGTGCCAGGTTTGACACTGACAACAGCGGCTTTCGCACGAAGAGCCTGTTGAGCGGGAACGGGGCTGACGATGGCATTGTTGCGGTAGATGGTGGTAGCAACGCTGCTGCGTGCGAGACTAGGACTGATGCTCTTGCAGTCATCCTCTGTCATCTCAGACCAAACTGAGTCGCGGATATCCCCGGGGATGAAGAAGTGCTGATCTTGGCTAGAGGTGCTGCTTCCAGCGGCAGTGGGGAGTGGAGGAACAGGAGGAACAAGAATACCCGGGGTATCTGGTGGAGAGCGGTTGGTGACACCTGGAATATAGGCAATCTGGATGACATTGGATGCGCGGGTGAGGACGGTGGAGGCAATGGAACCCGCAGCAGACTGTCGAGCCCTGCTATTCATGAAAAATCCATCTGGCTGCTTCTCGTAGCCCTCAGGCTCCCATTGCTGGCTTTGCGCAGCACTCCTCCGTTTCTTCCGAATGTAGAACCACGCCAGGAACACCACGGTGATCACTGCCAGACCACCAAGGACTCCACCAGCAATGGCGCCTGTATCTGATTTTGAATTGGACTTTTCGATCCCCTTGCCGCCGCCAACAGAGGCAACGGAGATACAGACAGTGCTCTGGCAGGCGTTACAGGACTGGGAGATCAAGGAGCAGGTTTCACCTTTGCCGCACTCGGGACAGGGAGGCGACTCTGCAGGGCAATTGAGGACGCATCGACGGAAGAAGTTATTGAGGGAGCGTCCGTAGACTGTAGCAAATGAATTAATATACGTATTGTCTATGGAAATAAACGCAAAATGGGGGGTTTGGATTGGAGTGATGCAGCATGCTTACTGAGCTGTGGATGAGGACCTGCCATGGCGACGGATTATAGATAAATGTCTCAATAGCTGGACGAGAAAAACAGACGGTGAAAAGGTCTAATAAAACCAGTTTATAAAACCAGAGCAAACGACCCAAATATGAATATCCAGCGCCAGCTAATTGATAACTGCTCAGCAGAAAATGTATAGCTGAGTTCTTTGGGCGGTTGGCAATACGAAGAAGAGAGGTGGTGCTCTGGGTGTTTATCGATGGATTTGGAAATATGTTTTGGGTTGGTGCCAATCAACGGCGGTAGGGTAGGCGGGAAGGACCAAGAAAAAAAAACGAGCACAAAAGACAGGCAACGGACGAAACGTTGGGGAACAAAGAAAAGAAGTGAACGAATGTGTGCAACCGCCAGGCCAGAGGCATATATATTCAGGAGCAGTTGAAGCCGGAGGAGAAGCCAGCCACACTCATCTCATGATTGGCAACCCAGAGGCAGATGATGTTGCATGAGGTGGATTTGGATTCCGGTTCTGGCGGTGATCAAAAAGTTTATATCCCAGGAGCCTGGACGGTGTCTGAAGTAAAAAGCACAAGGCAGATGGATGAAAGAGAGCATGCAACGAGGAAGAAGATGAAGATGAACAAACGGCTGGAAGAGGAAGAAGAGGAGAGATGAGCAGAAGCGGAAGAAGGCAGGAGCGAAAAGGAAGCCAGAGAAGATGAAGACGGGAAGGGAAGGAAGGGGGTGCAGGCAAGGAGTCACTGGGGGGGCCAGGCCCTTTAAGCGACAAGGGAGTGACCAGGTAGTGACCAGGTGGTGACCAGGTGGTGTCCAGGTAGTAGTGGCCAGGCAGTGGCCAGGCAGTGGCCAGGGAGTGGTCGGGTAGTGGTCAGGTAGTGTCCAGGTAGTGTTCAGGTAGTGTGGTCAGGTAGTGTGACCTGAGAGCAACTTGTGCCTCCGGGGGTATTGTGTGGCAATGCAGGGTATGGGATATGTACCCCCCGGGTCGCATCGCCGGCTCGTTTGCGACAAGGGGCTGTGCTGACTGGGGCGGACGCTCGCGGCTGATGCCACACACACACCCCGGGCTTATGACCACACCCCAACCCCCCCCCGGCCACCGCGCCCGGAGTTGCCTGGAGTTGCCTGGGAAGCCTAACGGGAACCCCGCTGAAGGGCCTTGTCCCGTCACATCTGGCCGTGGCCGGTGGGCTAATAAATGAATGGTCTTGGCAGTGGAGATTGACACTCCACCCCGGCCAGCCAATCAGCGCCCGGTCACCCCCAGCGCGGCTTAAGAAGGGGACGGGGAAAACCCCCTTCTGACAGCCAAATCTTCGCACTGCATCCAGCCCTATCGATTTCAAGAGAGAGTCCCGGCTTCTACCTCTATCCTCATGGTATAAATGTATGGCATAAGAAGCCTATGTTGTAGGCTCGTTAACTGTTAAGCAAATTCGAACCATGATGATGATGATGATGATATTCGCCTTGCTCTGTGGAATATTTCCCCTGCTTCGATATATGCCCCGTTTCCAGGCGTATTTTATCATCTAACTATTCATCTGCACAAGTCATCGCAGTCCAGACGTCAATCCAAAAGTCAACCAGATCTACGACGTACCCCTGTGCAAATCAATGGATTAAACGCCCTCATTTACTCCTCTCTAAAAGGAGCGTCAAGACCACCTTCATATTCCCTCCTTTTCCTTCCTGCCTGCTGTCCTTCATTTGTTGCCTGACTGGGACTGCTGCTCCCCATCTGATATCATCGGAGCACATAATTTGTGTCCTAAAATCAAATCATAACGCCAGAGATACACCTACCTGATATGCGATGTGATGATGCCTTAGGAACTGAAGGATGAGATTCACCACCTAGATTCTTCATTTCTTCATTCAAACCGATATTCTCAATCAAAAACACCAATCATATCAAGAAAATACTGGAAGCAGCCTAGACTCTCTATTTATTCATGCCATAAATCATCGACAAGCCCAGACTCGGAAACATACGGGCTGCGGTTCCCTCAGACATTGTCGTGAGCTGCATCCCAGTTTACTCTGGGCTCCCGTGTTGCCCAGTTTTCAACAGGGAAGAACGAGGAGCCAGAGAACCAGCGCAGTTTTGTGATGCAAAAAACCGAAAGCCTCTACAAGCTGGTAAGGCTGGAGCCCGTAAACGAATCAGTCAGTTATTAATCGTTAGATCCCCCAGCATCCTGCTGTCGTGCGTTGGAGAGTCAACGCCCATCCAGTTTAAGATGGAACTTTGGGAACAATCCTTTGGAAAAGCCAATAACTCACAGCTACTACCTAACTAACTAATTAGTTATTGGCCAGATGACGCAGCCTCACCGAGGGTCAGATCTAGCTGAATCATTCCTATTCCCCTAAACTAACTAGCTAAAATTGCCTCTAACAAGATCCCCCAATCTCAAACTTTCCTCCAAGGTCCAAGGGGCACCACATTGGCGCTTCAGTCCAAACAAACAACCCAGTCTGAGATCCGGCATTCCCGGTCTTTACTCTGGAACCTCTCCTAAACACCAAATCTCTGAGCCGGATGCAATGATCAAAAGTCGTCCACGGCAGCTTCTGTCATTAACTACTGTTCTAGAAGGTTATTATGTTTATTATGTATGATATGCTCAGACTCACCGTCTGCTTCTGCCCAGTCAGGACACGCTGTATAACTAACATTTATCCGCATCAGCGGATGCTGGCTTCCATTTGTTGGGGCTGTGCCGGCAAGAAGCCACTCTGTGTTTCAACGACCAGACAACGTGACGGTTCAAGAAGCTGTCGTTAGCAAGCTATTATGATCCAGAGGACATCCTGGGATGGTTGTTTTAATCTATCTTCATGGCGTAGGGGGCAGAGGTGGAACCGAAGCCTCACGGTACACCTTGTCATCTTTACGATCGTGTTCGGAAGATGGCCCAGTTGTTACAGAGAAAAGCAAGCTTCAGTCATGTCGTCGTCATCGAGTGACAGCAAGCAGCTGGAGAGCGGAATTGGTTGGGGGTAAACCTTCAAGCTCATGGGATTAGCTGGGAATTCTCCCTTTGAAGCATGGAGAGTCTGCTGAAGAACATGGAGCACAGCACCTCTTGTAGCACAGCACCTCTTGGAGCACATGAGAATACAATTCAAATGTTAAGCAATTAGGGCTCAATGATGACATTCAATTCTGCTTCGTCGTTCGGAACAAAACAAAAAAACTCTCTCTGTTAAACAAAGATGCCCAGCTATCCATTCCAGCCGATTAAGCCCCACAGCCAACCATAGTGAACCACAGTGACTGAAACTCAACCTCCGCATTTAGCGGGTGGCTCAATCTTCCCACCATCAATAATTCTGGACCATTACTCACTGGCCTTGTCGATTTCCCTCCCGTGGGATAAGAAGGATTAATCTTAATCCTTCGTGGTCAACTCTTTAAACCGATCCTCAGCCGCCTGTACATCGGCACCCAAGTCATAGAACCAGATCAACGGACAGCCTTTTGTTGGCGAAGTTTGTAAGTTTCTGTATACCGTGGCTGAAATCAGGATGTACCAGAAAATAAGCAAAGAGAACTTCCTGACTCTCTTGGTCCACAGCCTGGGCCCGTGGTTGGCGGATGGAATTGTGCAACTTGGAAGGCAATTTCAAGTTGGTCCGGACTCGTTACCAGACCGAGGAGCTTGGATAAGATCAACGCATCCTCCAGTCCTTGTTCCAGCGCCCGCTGCCTGACTAGGACTTGAGGCAAGCGCTGAAACCCCGAGGAGACAAACACGGCCGTTGTAGTAGATCGAGGTATTTGGATGATGGAGTATGGACCATCTTTAAGGTTTGGTGTTCTGTGTATTACCGATTAGCCTCTAGATAATGATTCCATTTCTTGGGCACGAGAGAGACGTCGCAAATGTCAACGTGATGCCCCAAGAGAAAGAAGGAGAACTCACATCCAACAGCGTCATGAGTCTTTGATCGAAACTATCTAAATCGGACAGCATTTCTTCTCTTGAAACTTGCACCGTTATTCTGCTCTCCCAGCAGGGATTCTCGTCCTTGATGAAAACAACGATGTTGACCTCCTCTCCCTTTGAGATAGGATACATCACGCATCCTCGCCCTTCGCGCATATACCATTTTGCGTTTTCAACCAGAGACCCGATCATTCGTTCCGCCTCTCCTATGGGACAGATATTTCTGTACACATAGGTATTGCAGCATTTCGCATCGACTTCCTCTGAGTATCTTTCCTCCAAAAACCACTCTCCTGGTAATACTCTTGATGCCATCACAACTAATGGCAGCATCCACCGATATAGTTTTGGCAGTCAGAAAACGTCAAATGTCCTTGTTTGACTTCTATGTATTCAACCCCGTGTCACTCGCTTATTAAACTCCACTGTGCCCTGTGGGATAAGGAAATTCAATCACTTCTAGAAGAGCTTTCCAATGTGCACTGCTCCTTTCGAAATTTGGGTGTGAAACCAATCCATTATACCAACCATTTCCAGCTCCAAATCCCTGTTTGGCGCTCAAGATCTCAAACTGCTCATGCAGCTTCTCTGGGTATGCATTCCCGACCATCATACATCCGTGAAAAAATCCCTGCCCATGAGCTCCATCGCCTCCAACGCATTCGGATCCATCCCAATGCCCTACGCCAACAGCATCGAATCGTGGGCCCGCTTCATAGATTTTGCAAGGCACATTCTGTTTTCGGAGACCGATGCCCAGTGCGAGGCCACCAATGCCCGCGCCAATGATGGCAACAGATAATGGAGCTATGATCGAATATTAGAGTCCTCAGACAAAGGATTAAAAGATTTGATAGCGGTTGAGCATATAAACAATTTAGCAACTTGAGGCGCTCCACCGTTCCTATTTCTCTAACCTCGGACTTCACTAGCCAAGGCAGTCACAGCTTTTGCTCTCGAGTCGAGTATTCGACTAGATCATTGCGGTTCAATCGCTAGCAAGCTTTAGATATCATTTTTCTCGAATCTGCTGTGGTGGACCAAAAACGTCGCAAATTGGGTCGGTGAGTGAGGTACTCAACGTTACAGGATAGAGGCACTGTTTTGTTGACATGGCGCTCCCCTGCTAGCCGGATGCATGTGTCCGGAAGCGCGTTAGGGGAGTGAACTATTTCATCGTTGTGAAGAAACAAGTCATGCTTTGCTTAGTAGCACGGGCTAAAAACAATGTGGTTAACTAGTCGCGGTGTCGCGCTTGGTGTAAGTCTCATTACCTACACTGCGTGCCAACCCATTATTTACTTTATCCCACAAGATTCTGGACTTGGGATCCGGAAACATGCGGTTCAAGTATATGTGACGACCGCTACGAGGTCTGTGCGGATGCTCCGTGAGGGAGACATGAACAAAGCTATTCCAAGGGAAAGTGAGAGAAGGGCCCGCTTAATGACACAGCAAACATTGAGAGCTGCGGTAGCTAGTTTTGAATCTAAAAGAATTTCCGGCTTTGCGACCAAAAAGAAGCCATTAGAAGAAAAAAACGTTGAAAAGAAAATCAGCAATAAATGGTTGTCAAATAAAGAACCCAAGAACCACGAATTTTTACTATATTTTAATCCCTTTGCTAGACGGTGACGTGCAGCTTAACGAGCAGACCGATCTTCCCAGGAGAAATTTGTAACAAATTCAATGTTCGTCCACATCATTAACAGCATGCAGCCTAAATCGCTTTGCGTAAAGGCGATTCGGAAAATAATTGCGGGTCGAACGTTTCATCCCGCGCCTTATAGCAACGTTCACAACCCATGTGTAAGTTAAAATTAATCTCCTGATATTTCCCGGCGGACTGACAGGAATCGAGAATTCCAGACCCACTTGCGTCATGAGTATTGATTATCGCCTTAATATGCCCCTGCTCTGCACTCAGCGCCCCAGAATTTGTCTTCCATACACAAGGCGAATGTAGCAGACGCTCTTTGTACATCAATCTCTTGAGGTGGCGGTGTTCTTCTTGGTGTGCCGTGCAGAATTCGTGGCGAATTAGCCTACCAATGCTCCGGAGCCGGGGTCAAGGTTCGCCAGTAAAATGAATCAGTCAGAAGTGTCATGATAAGGCTTGAAGAGGTCAAGTCAGAGGTTAATATATTAATAAAATTTGGGCTATTTGCAACTTACCTTGGACATATATGCCAACCTTCATGGGGCAACTTTCCCGCCATTTCTCGAGGCTCCTTTTTCCTAGTTTTAGCCAATGGATTAACGATCGGCTACAGACATCCGCTATATAACTGGGATGCTAATGGGTAATGTTATCGATGTCTCAAAGGAAGACAGAACATTAGCAACCGAAAGACAAGAATATGACACGGCGATGTAAGTTTGAAATCAAACCATGGGCTTATTTACTTGACCACATCTTGTCGTTCAATCTGGAAGCAACTGGGGCAAATGTAAGGTTGAAATCATCGGAAGTGATGGGCTCAGTTGGACTAGTTCCTATTGGGTTTTTCGGAAATGTGTATGGACTGCCTGCGTCGGATAGATGCCAATTCCCAAAACCCTCACTCGAGCCAATACAAGATTGAGTTATAGATCCAAACTTATCCGTTATCGAGCTAAGGTCGGCCACTACTATAGCCCACGTCCGCATAGTGCCAGGCATCCTTGGGTTCTGGAGTTGTCTGGTTACAAGTTCCGCCAATTCTCGAAGGAGAATTTGCGAATCGGGAGAAGAGCGAGATCCATGTTTCTTGACACTACAGAGAATGTCTAAAACTAGGACCATTGAACTTATCAACGTATAGAAAATATCCCACCAGGTCAAGGCGTTAAACTGGCTGAAGGCTTCCAACTTTCGCATCAGCCGGCCCAAGGTTCGTGCGGAGTCAACGCATGTTTCTGATACCGTGTGTAAATTCTGAGGAAATGTTTCCTTGTAATCTCTGGATAAGAGCACGGCTCTACGCCATAGTGCGGGTTTGGAGATCAGGACAACTATATAATTAAATTGCGCGTGAAGTAGAAGAACCGGTCTTTGATAGGATGGTGCAAGCGAATCAGCAACATCGAGGCGCAAGTGCTGTGGCAGGCTTTCTTTCCACCGACTAAGGTCCCGTAAAATGCCAGCTTCTGGGGAGAGGGGCCTGCTGTAGGCTTCTTCACCCGACATGATTCCTGTTCCTGCTTTGTTCAACGCCTTGCATGTTGACGCTAACAGTACGGCCAACTGTTGCGACCATTTCATGAAGTCTTGCGGGTAGTGTCCAGCAAATCCTATAATTCTTTCATTGGGATGGCTCGTAGATATGGCAACATCCCCAATGGCGCTGGGCCGATCGTAAGACGAGACTTGCATTTGCTCAAAGGTATACAGAGTCCACCAAAGCTGCTTCCCAAGTTCCCTTCGAAGAGGGCCTTGCAGGTGCTTAACCTCGTCACGATGAAGACCAACGGCAAAGGCGACACGAACTGCTATTCCGGTAAGGTTCCAACAAGCATCTCGATGATTTGTATTGTGTAGATGTAAAGCAGATAGCATCAGCGCCTGAATAGTAGAAAGATTTGTTGTAAACAACACGGCAGGAAGCAGTGCTTGTACATATCGCCACCACCTCATCTCTACATCTTCCGGTACTACGATAGCAATAACACGACGAGACAAAATGAGGGCACACAATAAGCCGCAAAGCCAGGCGGGATCTGTGGTGGAACCTGTTGCTGACCAAATTTCATATGCCTCTCGAAATGAAGCTTCGTGCAGCACTGGGAAATCAGAGTGGATGATATCAAAGTAGGTGTCTACCAACGCATCCAAAACTGGTCCATCATGCTTCCTTACAAGGTTTGAAAGTGAGCTGCAATCGTTTAGTACGTTGCCCAATTCTCCATTTCCTCGTCGATCTTTCCCACTGCCCGTTTGACCGATGGCTGACGTCTCGGATATAGTGGACTGGTCTGCCGCATTGCGGCCGAACATGGTAAACTCGAAGTTTACATAGCTGCCTAACAGCATGCGCAGCTTCCGATGGAATTCAAAAGAGCTCGATGGGCCAATGTATTGAATTTGGCCCTGTTGATCCGGAAACAAGGAAAGGGAATATTCGTCCTCTTGTGCAACGGAAGTCTCATGCTTTGCTTCCGCGTCAGTAGCGGTCTCATCAATAGGGAGCGGTATCCCTAGGGATTTGCCCAACTTCACCATTTCATCGTTGCTTGACAAATTGGCATCTGGGACAAGGCCCTTGACTAGGGATTCCAGAAGAGTGAGTCTGTTTCGGAGGGTCTCATCGCTGCCGTATAGTCGTTGCTTGCGAGGCTTTGTGGTGCTGCACAAGATTCCATGTGTTTGACAATAACGACACTGCGGTTCACCCAAAACTCTGTTGCATTTTTGTTTCCTTGATTTACACTTGTCACAGCTGATCTCCGTTCGTTTCCGTTTATCCAAGGGAACCCGTCTCTTGTTTAACTCCATTGTGTTGGGAGGGTTGAAGGGTCGAAGGGAATTCGGATCGATTACCGTTCTTTCCGGTCTCCAAAGGACCCAGGAGTTTCCTCCACTATCATCGCGAAATATCCCGCCCAAGACAACCTGCGCTTGGTGGATGATTGGAAAATAAAATCAAGCTGTCAAACGAGCAACTCTCCAGTTTCCAAGAGGAATCCACATGAAACGATCAAGTGTTGATATTCCAGATGTCATCAACAGACAAGAATTCTTCACAGTTTGAAATCAGTTATGAGACTTCAGCCGAGGAGGCTATGACAGCCACTCCGGCGAAAAAGCATGCAAGTGGAATTCTCAACCCGGAGAACGATGGCTGGGGGAAACTAGCCAACAACGCGAGGCGGTGGCTATTTAGCTTGCGACCTAATTTAAGTCGACGGTTGCCAGCCCACTTACTTGAGACCCGACGGTCTGAGGCCAGTGAGGAGTCAGGACGGTCCCACTGCTCGTGAGTCGTGAGCTGCGAGAACAAGGACGGGGAAATACGGAGAATTCACTCACAAGGTCCTATTCGAAAGCCGCAGTTATGGGGTTTGACCTCTGTAAATTGGATGTGACTGCTATATAACTAGTTATTTGTTCTGCCCGGTAAAACCCGCTGAGACAATGTTCACCTTATCCATATCTCATCTCGATGGATATCAAGCGTCACATTGGCTCTTGCTCGCCGTGCCAGTGTCGCCATCCGGCTGGCATATGCCGGTAACTATATGAGCATCCGCTAGATACGCGGAGCAGCTGCTAACCAAATATCGGACGACTCGGCCACTTGTCTGCTTTGTTTGGAATTCTGAGCTTCAGTGTGCATTTGTTAGTAAATAAGTAATTGTGCAGCAGAAGGATTGGACCATAGAAGACGCGTATCCATTTATTCACTTGAATGTCTTCACTGAAACTGTGGCGATGAATTCGTAAAGAGACGAATTACGACGAAAACACCACGACCCCTCCTCTGATATTATGGTAAGAGGCATCCACTAACGAACGCTGGATGCCCTTGACGCGACCAACATAGATACTTGCATTGCCCAGCAGCAGATCATTTGAATCATGACCAGTTATCGTCCACCCGTCGGAGAAGCCTGTTGGAGTCAACCAATAAAACCCGGGCCCATCCATGCAGCTCGATATGTCCTGCTCTCTTGAATCACTGGCCCCAAGTCAATAATATGGCATTTCCATGTGTTGGACTTTATATTCGTCTGACTAAAAGTGACTGTTGCTTAACTAGTTAACTAGTTAATTATGAAAAATGCATGCATCAACCTTTGGTTGGTCGCAGAGAAGTAAGATTCACCCTTTGGGGAGCGGCATCAGGTGCTGGTTCTATATGTAGTCAGTCTCAAGGCAAATGCTTAAAGGGATTCATCACCCAACAAAAGTATGCTTTTTGCATTTTAATCAACCCCACTCACTAACTAACCACCCATCAGTGAAGAGTGAAGAGATAGTTAGGATTGAGTTATATTGATGTGGTGGTTCAGAGGTCAACAGGAGAGGCAACATCAACGTACTGTCGGAATCTCACCCATAACTCCTGAAGAACGACGCGTTCTATGCATATCAACCGGTTTGCCGATTGTGGCTTCTTCGCTGTGATGCCTCAAATCCTACGAAATTTCGTGCTTGAGATGACTAAAATGACAGTATAAATAACTGGGTGTCTTCTGTGAACGCCATTAAGAACAAGTTAAAAAAGCGTAACTTTATCTTCCGTGCTCTGCATCAAAAGAGGATGCAGGCGGATAACAGCCACCATTTTGACCACTTCTTTACCATCGTTATTTTATTTTATTTTATTTATTTATTTTCTTCTTTTTCGTGTTCAATTCCATGAGATTTTGACTGACATCCATCGAATAGCTGCAGGAGAATATCACACAGTGTAATATTCTGCCCGAGAACTCCTATAATTTCGACGAAAAAGGCCACCTTCTTGGCCTGGCTACTGTTATTGCACCGGCTCTCATATCCCGTGGGAATTCCAGGGACATGCAAGATACCTGGCTGACCGGTTTTGACCCTAAGAGAGACCAGGCCTTCTTCACTGCTTCAGCGAATGGATGTAGCAATGATGAATACAGCCAAGTTTGGCTTAGAGAAAGGTGTTTGACGTCCATACAAACGAAGAAGGCTGGGCGGTGCTGCCGACTGCTGATATTAAATAGACAGCCATTCATGTCATATAATATGGCCTTCATCAACTACGCCGACTAGAATCAAATTTTGCTTGCAGTCCTTTCTCCCCTCTCTACACACCATCTAAAGCATCTACAGCCCTAAGTGTTGGGATATTTGGACCGTTGGCAAAGGCCTATTCAGAGCAGCTAGATTCTCATGCACAGACTGGCTACAGCTGGATGCGCTCTAGGAAACGAGGTTTCTGACAGTTTTCCCGCTCTTCATGGGAGGCCTCTACTGCACCAGAAAATGTTAGATCCCCTTCCCCGGGGCCTCCTTCCATTAAATCCAACCGTTGTTCTCAAAACGATTCAAACCCCCCCCCCCCCCCCCCCCCGAGGTGGTCCAGCAGCGTACTACTACGTCTATACAAGCTTTACGAGGCAACATGAAGCGGGTAAACCAGCGCCACCATCAGCTTTTAGTTGTGTTTAGGAAATTCTTCGTACCAGGGAGAATTTTGCTCTGAATCAAGAGATTCTCTTAATAGAGAATAAAAATCTCTTCTCATCTCTAATAAAATCAAAGGAGGCGAAGGAAACGCAGTAAATGTATACAATTAGTTGATCCATCAAATCCTCTGCTGGCGCAGTTCTTCTCACCTACTGGTGTACGCCGCGAGAGCAAGCTGACGCAGATAAAACTGCAAAAATCGAAATGGTCATGCTCATATAAAGAAGAGGCCAAGCTTCAACATGCTATTCTCGGGGGAGAAGCAGTTAGAACTCGCTGAATGGAAGGTGCAACATGAGGCGGACTCTATAGAAGCTGCCACAACACCAGGAGAAGGCGAAAACAGCTGCAGCTGCTAAACAGCTTGTGGAGAACGAACAGAGAGAGCAACAAAAGATCCAACAACAACAAGAGAAGGAATCGCGTGCAGCTATACGAGATTAGCGAACCAGGAGCGGGCACAGGCGCCAAAGAGCCTAGGAAGAAGACGATGGCGATATCAAACACCCATCAGCCCTATAATCACAGCCTGCCCAAAGCGGTAATCAGACCCGCATGCAGTTATCTCTTGCGGAATTAATTGATATTTCCCTTCCAAGCTCTTCCACACCCGCGGCTAATTGAAATGTTTGAAAATCGCGAGATGAGTCTTCAAGACGTTTTTCCTTTACTCTGACACACGCAGCTATGTATATTGACATATACATGGACTGGACAGCAAAGAAACTTGGTGGCTAACCATGTCGAAGACTCCGGACGAAGCACTTCTTCGCAGGTTGAGCGCATCTGAATAACCCAGGCTGACATCGTTGAACTCGATGCGACATGGGGTTCCACCTAACGATGCGTGCATACATACCAGTGTGCATCAATGGATGGAAGGAGAGCCGAAGAGCGCAAACCTCTTCATCACGATAGATAGTCAGCTTGGCACTTTTGAGATGGGACAGCTAAGGCAGCCGAAACAATTTGGAGCCGGTGGAAAAGCCGCAGGGAAGAAGCATCAAAAAGATGAGTGTAGGGCAAATGTTAAGTATTTACCACATTGATCAAGTCAGTCAGTCCACTGTCACTGCCCTGATGTATGGCTGCGTCCAGAGTGAATCATTAATCAAATCCCATATGGTGTAGTGGCTAACATCAGCGTCTCTCACACGCTAGCCGGGGGTTCGATTCCCCCTATGGGAGAACTACTCTATTTTTGGCCAACAACCCATCTGATGGGATCCTCTTGATGGAGTGCTATTAGCATGGCTTCTCTTCTCATTCTCCAGTTCCATCCCGTCACCATATTCTACTTTTTCTTTGGCTGATCTTATGTTACGAAGCCCCGCCCGCGCCTTTGACGGTCCATATTATTTCGGTTTAGACCAATGCGATCGGTTGGAACAGGCAGCGCCCCCTTAATAATGTATTCGGAGTCGCTGTACTCCGTAGGAGGCACCGTATTTCCCCATTCCAGATATTTTAGTACCGTGGATTGTGGACATGTCGTTTCGGACGATGTGTTTTAAACATGGTTGACATCAATTGTGTGAGAGAATAAATAATGAGTGGTTTATTTGGAATCCATTTGCAAGCCGCGGAGGCGGAATTCTTCCAGTTTTAGATACTTGGATAAAGCCACAGTTTTGTTATGTAATCCACCACTGAGCGGGTCATTCCAATCCTCTCTAACTATATCCAGAATATTATTCAAAAATACACCAGCCACCTCTAGCAAAGAAGTTTCCAATCAAGAGGGGATTTCTTTTATTGGCTAATTATTAGAGCCTATAACACCAAGCAAATTCTATCTATTCGAGCCGCTGCTAAGACGTACGATACTCCTTCGTCCGCTCTAGTCTATGGTTAACCTACGCGGTCGAATGTGACGCGCGAATTCGCAACCAAAGCGTCAAAAATTTACCTCTACAGAAAGAAGAATCTCTAGTTCAATGTATGGTATCCGAGAATGAGAGAGGACAGCCTTCCTGAATTGCGATTGTACGAGAGATGGCCAATCTACTACTGGCAGAGCCCGGATCCCGTACTTCTAGTTCTGTAGGAATCAACTGGTCAATAGATTTATAAAACGGCACTCTGAACTAGAGACTAGATTCTCACGCAAATACGACTATCAGGGAGATTTATGCGAGGATTCAAAGCTCTTGCGTGAGTGGTTTAGATTGGTGGTTAATGCTATAAAAAAGTATGGGCATTGTGGCCGGAGGATATGTACAACTTTGATGAGGTCGGCTTTCTATTGGGAGTCGTCTCAACAGCTCTAGTAGTGACCAGAACTGAGAGAGAGGGAAGCCAGCTCTTCTTGTACAGCCAGGGAATAGAGAATGGGCAACTGTGATTGAGGCAGTCAATGTTGCGGGATGGGGCTGCTCTGCCTCCCATGATTATGCTGAAGGACAAAGCCTCATCAAAGCTCATGGTATGAGCAGCAGCTGCTAGCAGAGGGGGTAATTGCTGTTTAGCGACAAGGGCTGGACTACGGATGAGCTTGGCTTAACATGGCTGCAGGAGATGCCTCCTCATTCTTCTCATCTACTGTAACTAGCTCACTAGATGTGAGCTGCCTTCCTTCATAAAAGAGAATGCATGGCAGGAAGGTGAAGCAAAGCATGAGATTAGGGGTCAATCATATTGACAAGGAGGTAAAGGATAACTTCTATAAGAAACGGATTCAAAGTCAGAGAAGCCTAGTGCAATACAATCCAGATGAGATTCTTACTCGACTACATACCCAATTCCATACTCCTTACCCTCCCCCCAGGGTCAGCTCATGGATCCCAGTAAATCTGGACCCTCAAGACTCCTGGCAATGTGACTCAGTTGGAACGGCAGAGCAGCAAGATTAAATGTCGTAACAGATGTTCTTTCTAGTCAATCAAGCTCTCGACCAAATCAGCTTGTTGAGGGGTCGGTTGAGGATTCAAATCCCCTGAGAGACTCGAAAGCGAGCACCAGCACGCTCTAGTAAATGTTGCAGTGCAGGTCATAGAGAGCTCCTGGCTGCTCACAGGCCCAAGCGTAATATTATCCCTAGTGGTTGTTGCTTAATTTGAAAATTTGTCGAGCTTGGAGGGGGGAGGGGAGTGATCTGCTCAGTGGTGGCTTAACTACGTTACCATGGGCAAATAAGGTAGGTAACAAACTATGAAACATGCCACCAATTTGCCAATCTATCCACTTGGCACGTCGGAGTGCTACCAATTCTCAATGGAAATAAAAATAAAAGCTCTCCAGAATTAGAGAGAAATGAGATTGCAATTACTACCTTGAAAACAAACAAAAAAAAAAGAAAAAGAAAAAGAGATATTACTTCTATCCTCGAAGCAGCAAGGCTGTGGTGATAACTAATATTCCATACTCTCTGCTCTTGCCTCTATACCGATTGAATGGACATTCTTGACGTACGATCTTACCCGCAAATTCACACCAGTTGACTGAAGCTGAAGAGGAAATCCTTATTCAATGGGTGCTAGGCCTGGCCAAGCGGGGATTGCCCCCTAGACTTTGTTTCCATTGAGAATATGGCAAATCATCTCCTTGCCGTACGAGATCCTATCTTCCTCCACCAGGTCCTGGGTTGCAAGCCCTGGGTTTCATATCTCATCAAGCGTTATACAGAACTTCGGAACCGATCCTCAAGATTCAGCTTCATACATCAATCTCTCTAAGAGGCTAATTCAGCAACTCGCAGTCATCTTAAGTTCTGCAAACATCTAAGATTACTTATCAATTGCAAAGACAAGCAAGAAAAGTTATACAACTATTTGATCAAGATTGTTGGAACTCTATCTGAACCAATTTAAAACAAGATTTAATCAAATTTTTAAAACTATCAAGTATGAAATGGTAATTGCTTCAGATGCAAGAAGTAATGTCAGAATAAAACTACTACTTTAAATGAGAAGAAGAAGAAGAAGAAGAAGAAGAAGAAACATTCGAGATTCAGAAAACTAGTTCAACATAAAAAAGGTCTTACATGAGAGGAAGCTCAAAGACCTACTTCTCCCCCCCCGCACAAACTAGTTATCTGTTAAATGAAAGCATGATTGTAATTGAAAAAACTTGAAGCTCCCATCTCACAATCACACAATTACAAGCCTCACAGAGTTGCAGCAACTGTGGTCACCATTGAACATACAAGAATAAGATGTTCTAAACCTAATAGTCTAATTTTTAATAAACATGGTTTGTTCCTATTGATAACTACAGTTAAAATTGAACACTTTGAACTATATATAATAGATGTATCTGGTGATATTGCATTATCCCACCCGGCGAGCACAATAATAGTAAGCCTACCTAGATCAGATAACGGAAGCTCTCCCGTAACTAAACACTGAACGGAATGTCAGACCTAGTCGAATCGTGCAGGTAGGTATCTCTCATGGCTTTTCTGCGTTTATTTTCGTCTAGATCCTGACAAATATATATATATGCGCTGAGACACCGTTTTTCATTCCCAACTGCCATTTCTATATTTAGTGAAACATGCTGATACGCAGCTCTGGCTTGATCTGGAAGTGGACATTAATCGATCATTTCTACAGCCAATATGCATTGTTATGGCCTTGATTGTAAATTTTCCCCGCCTTTCGTCGCGCAAGAGGGAGGTCAGAATAATATACTGATATTAGTTGGGTTAGCACCAGCGGTTTCTTCCGTGTTGGGAAGGGAGCCGTGTTGACAACATTGAATGTAAATAAATCCATTGCTCTAGAGCAAACTGATGAACATTATCATGCCAGAGTTACATCCAAGCAGGCAACACAGCAGGTACCCTAATCACGTGCCACCCTATATATAGTTCAGATCTTCGGCTGGCAGTTATTAGGCGCATCTACTCATATGACTCTTGCATTCACACCAACGTTAACTCCCTTCCGTGAGATGACGCCCCAAGGTTGAGTCAGCACAAACATGCCATGTAGTTAACGTTATAGTCTCTCCCAAACTCTATTAGGTTGCCTCATTAAAATTTAGCTACGATAACAACAAAGGGTGAATCCATGGATGTGCGTTATGTGCAGTACCGTACATGCCACGCAGAGTTGAACAGGGCCAACATGAGGCCCTCCAAGTCTTGCCTATAGCCCGCCATCAGTGTTGAAAATTCTTTGTCTGCTTGACCCTGGCTGGTTAAAGGCGATCGGGATTCCCGTTGGGCCATATCCGCCTCGACCGCAAGTATGTACTGACATACACACATCCAAATTGGAATCCCTCTCTGGCGTTGGCCGTTAACCTTGCGGGCCACACAGCCACTTGTTGAGCAAATTCTCCTACGCCCCGCTCGAGCCGCAATCTCCTCTGATGCCCGGCCAAGAACCCAGCAAAATTTGCTGCTGTGCCCCCAAGGTCCTCGTGGGGGGTGTTGGTTCTCTGCTCCCAGGTTAGATTATTGTTGTAGGGAATCCCTAGGAGATACAATTAGGAACCGTCTCTTTTCATCCTAGGGCTGGCGATGACAGATATAAATGTCCTTTGCGTCCCCTGCGGGTTCATGGGTTCCTTTCTTTGATATACCCCCGCTGTACAAGAAGGTGTTTGTTGCTCTCCCTTGTTACCTACCTTGGTGATTCCGATATTTAATTTTTTCCCTATAAGAGTTGTGTGCTTTTATTATATTTCTATATAACAATTCTATACAAATCTTTCATTTTAGACTTCTTTTTCCAAGAACCATATATATATTTCTGAGGCGAATCAGTTGCGTGGTTCGTATTTAAGAATTGGGATTCTTAACGACCTGAATTCCAAGGAAACTTCGCCCCCAAAATACCATATTATTTCTCCTTTGAGTGCGCTGGGGGAGCAAGATGGTCTCCGCCGGTGTAGCCCTAGGCGTCAGTCTATTGTTGTCAAGCAGTTTGCTGGCTTCTTCACAATCTCTCTCGAGCTGCCATACCCATGGGAGCACATTGTGCGCTGACCCCTTTCTGAATTCAGCTGCCCTTACATATCTCTAATGCCAAATTCCGCGCTTAGGTTTTGTGTTGGACCGGATGGGACGGAGGTCCCCGTCTCTACATCAATGACCTCTATGACTCCACAAACAAGCCAGTCCAACATAACCACCACCACCGGTGCTCCTCAAACAACGGCAATTACTAGTTGCCATACGCATGGACCAAAAACGTAGGTTTTCTTGTCTCCCCAAGTTTAGACGCCCCATAACAAATATCGAAATAACATAATGGAAAACGAAAAGAAGGATTGTGAGACTCAATAGCTAATTTTTCTGCCAGATTTTGTGTTGAGGGTAATGGGGATGAGGTTGAGGTCTCAGCTCTCGGAACTCCTACTTCACCAGTACCTTCACAATATACAAATTGTCATACGCACGGACCTGATAGGTTCGTAGTTCTCTATGACCCCCAGATCCAATATTTGCATGTACAGTGCTAAGTCCAATTGCAGATTCTGCGTAGGTGCCAGCGGCGATGAGGTTAAAGTACTTATGCCTTCTCAAACATCGGGCGCGGGCCAGCATGGAGGACATGGTCAGGGAATGCAGCAATCGTGCCATTTCCATGGCGGTGTAGAGTACGTGCTATGAACACAGACAACTCAGATTCATTCATTGACGTATTTTAGGCATTGCAACGGTGACGCCGATAGCTCAGCCCCAGTATCGTGTGAACGAAGAGATCGGAACTATAATGTACCTCTTCGAATTGGATCTCTATTCGCTATCCTAGCTACTAGCGGCATAGCCGTCTTTGGCCCGATTCTATGGGCTCGATTTTTCAATTCGAGTTTGAATGGAGTGGTTTTCACTATCATTAAACAGTTTGGCACTGGCATCATGGTGGCCACTGCGTTTGTTCATGTATGTTTCTGTGTCGAGATGTTATTCTTCCATATTGATAGGACTACACGCTCACAACAAAACCTTCCAGCTGCTTACCCATGCACAACTCCTATTCCAAAATCGATGCTTGAGGGGTTTGAACTACGAAGCAACCACAGCTGCAATCGTGATGGCTGGTATCTTCTTGTCGTTTCTGGTCGAGTACATTGGAAACCGAATAATTCTTGCCAGGACACCAGACTCCAAGCCGCATGCACATGGTGATGCAGAGTTGGAGCCAAATAGCGAAGTTCAATCGAAGATCCCGCAAGCAAAATCCCCCAATGGTAGTGACAGCGAACCACCCTCAACCACGTTGACGAACCTTGGCCACCAGCATACCCTTGTTCAACCAGATGACAAACTAAGCGTGATGGTAATGGAGGCCGGCATCATCTTCCACTCTATCAGTAAGTAGATGTTGACCTCTTTTGCACTTTTACATCCCCCAGTCTCCCAATCCAGACGACTCATGAAATCTTCCAGTAATCGGCCTTACCCTTGTCCTCGCCGGTGATTCCGGGTACATCAGCCTCTTCATCGTTATTATCTTCCATCAAATGTTCGAGGGCCTGGCCTTGGGCGCACGAATCGCCAACCTGAAAACAACCGTGACCGCATCCAAGCTTACCATGGCGCTTATGTTTGCACTCATCACACCGGTGGGTATGGCCATTGGCTTGGGCGTGCTGCATAGATTCAACGGCAACGACCGGTCCACCATCATTGCCATTGGAACACTGGATGCGTTGTCGGCCGGTATTTTGGCATGGGTGGCTCTGATTGATATGTGGAGTCACGACTGGTTGTATGGTGATTTGCGAAATTCGGGATTCGTTAAGTCCGCTGTTGGGTTCTTTGGGTTGATTGCAGGAATGGTTTTGATGGGATTGCTGGGTAAATGGGCTTGAACTTTTCATCCTCGAGGCCTAGCTCTTTTCATCCCTTTCCCTCTCTCTGCTCCCTTATTTTTCTGCCTAGAAATTTCGTCATTAAAATTTGATATGGCTGGTTTCTGATGCTTCTTGAATATTTTGCGTAATATGTAGATAACGTTTAAGCAAGATCTAACTATAGATAAAAGTCCCCGGTTTCATTTTCTTTTCTTTTCTTTTCTTTTCCTTTTTATTTATTTATTTATTTATTTATTTATTTATTTATTTTTTATTTTTATTATTTTTTTTGGTAATGTTGCTTCTTTGTAGTTAACTACTCATTGAGTAGATAACTAGCTGTCCTCCCAGATGGTTTTGTTCCAATCCAATCCATCCATATAGAAACATGGCGAGAACCTCGAGGACCTCACACCCCACAGCTGCGGAACTCTTGCCACCCCTACAGCTAGATGAAAGATAACCCGGAGTGGAGACTGACGGAGGTATGGACTATGCTCGCCAAGGATATGGGGGAAATGTGAGAGCTTCGGGGGGAGATAAACGGGTTCCACACCCCCGGAGGTTAGAGGGGATACGTTATATATATATATATATATATGTATGTATGTATTGTATGTTGCTGATCCTACAGATATCAGAAGTATTCTCTGACTGTCGCCCACAGCCTCCTTCTCTCCCCCTTTTCGTAGAACCACGTGATGAGATTGGTCATTGCTCTGCTTCTAATTCTGCTGCTTGTCCTTAACCCAATCAGGACTAGAACCTAAATGGGTGGTGCAACAGCAGAGGAAAAAAAAAAAGGGCTTCAAATTCTCCCCGATCAAACCAACATCGAACGGACACCCGATGCTGAATAGACACCCCCCCACCTCCCCCAGACTCTGGAATCATCACCCTCCTCCCCACAGTCTGGATATCCCTCTTACCTCTGTCATTGCATTACCTCATTCTCTCCCTGCCACCCTGCTCTTCTTGTGGGAGTGTTTCCATTCTAGGGTTTGAGATACCTGATTGCTCATCTGTCGGATATTAATACCTGTTTTTCCTAGCTTCTCTGTTTGTCTATTTTACCTCATTTTTAATTGTTATTTTATCTTGTTCCCATAACCGATTATTCCAATTGCCATAAGGTATCCCTTTCTCCCAGGTGCTGTAACCATTCAATTTCCTTCCCCCCCCCCCCTCTGGCTCTCCCCCCTAAAAAAAAAAAAAAATAAGATCCGATAATGTCGACAAATAAGGTCGTGCCACCAGCCCATGTCATCCCGGCAAACGCTGCCGCTGCCGCATTGAACAGGTCTTCCCTTCCCGCGGAGTCGTCGCCCGCGGTTTGGGACCGCATTTCCACGTGGGCTTCCGAGAATAAAGCGCTCTTGTACACCATTGCTGGGGTTGCCGTAGTCGTCACAAGCGCTGGCGTAGTCTATTATTTAACATCAGACTCCGGCCGATCTACAGGTTCGACGCAGCCCACGGAGAAGAAGAAGAGCAAAAAGGAGAGGCGGCGTGAGAAAAAGAAGGCGGAAGAGGAGAAAAAGGCTGAAGTTACCCCTCCGTCTAGTAAGCTATACCCATTGTCCTAATAAAACACAAAATATCCCCCGCTGAGGGAAGCCCTCTAGCACAGTGCAATGCTCATAAAAATATTTCTTACAGACGCTACCCAGAAGAAGCCAGAGGAAGCGCTGGAAATACCGGAATTCGATGAATCTACCATTGATAGTCTGTCAGCTGAGGTATAATGCGGGCCTTCAAACACCCAAGAACAGGTCGTTTAGATTTGCTAATACGAACTTCCTTCAGGTCCGTGCCTCATACGCTGCAAAGCTGAAAGCCGCCGGAAACAGAGCCTTTGGATCTCTTGATTACAACCGAGCGATTGAACTCTACGGGAAAGCTATCCTTTGCAAACCTGATCCCGTATACTACTCGAACCGTGCTGCCTGTTATAATGCGCTCAGTGAATGGGACAAGGTGGTGGAGGACACTTCTGCCGCTCTCTCCATGGATGATGAATATGTAAAAGCTATGAACCGACGAGCAAACGCATACGAGAAGCTAGGGAAATTCAGTGAAGCTCTGTTGGATTACACCGCCAGCTGCATTATCGATGGATTCGCTAAGGAATCTAGCAAGCAGGCTGTGGAGAGGCTGTTGAAGAAAGTTGCGGAACAAAAGGGACATGCCATCCTGGAAGCGAAGGGGAAGAAACTCCCCAGCGCTACATTCGTGTCCAATTACCTTCAGAGCTTCCGCCAAAGGCCCCTACCAGACGGTCTGGGTGAGGATGTCGAATTGGACGAGGAGAGCAGTAAAGGACAACTCCGTAAGGGCTTGCTTGCCATGTCCAAGCCAACAAGTGATGGGTATGAGGAGGCTGCGAGAGCTTTTGAGAAAGCACTTGAGTTGGGAGACCTAGACGAGTTTGAAGCCCTTGCGCTGAACATGCGTGCTACATTCACGTACTTGGCTGGCGATGCGCAAGCAGCCCTACAAGATTTGAACAAGAGTGTCGAACTTAGTCCATCGTTAGTTCAGAGTTACATCAAACGGGCGAGCCTACATCTTGAGCTTGGTAAGTTGCTACGATTTTATCCACCTATTTTGTTGCCTTTATGTGATATTGAACACAACTTAACCCCTGTACGTAGGAAACCGAGAAGCTGCCGCAGATGATTTCGACCTCGCCGTAGCCCAGAACAAAGACGACCCGGACATCTACTACCATCGCGCCCAGCTGCACTTTATCCTTGGTGAGCTCCCAGAGGCAGCGAAAGACTATCAAAAATCAATCGACCTAGACCGGGACTTTATCTATTCGCACATCCAATTGGGTGTGACGCAGTACAAGATGGGTTCCGTCGTTTCCGCAATGGCCACATTCCGCCGCTCCGTCAAGAACTTCGAGAAAGTATCAGACGTGTATAACTACTACGGCGAGTTACTGCTCGACCAGCAGAAACACGCAGAGGCAATTGAGAAGTTCGACAAGGCTGTTGAGCTGGAGAAAACCAACAAGCCTTGGGGCATCAATGTGCTACCCTTGATCAACAAGGCCTTGGCCCTGTTCCAGTGGAAGCACGATTTTACCGAAGCCGAGAATCTATGCCAGAAGGCTCTGATCAGTATGTCCCTCAAACCCAAACACTCACACACCCACTGCACAACTGACAACATTATCAACGTTATTTTGCTAACTCAATCTATCCTTCCCCCCCCCAGTTGATCCCGAATGCGACATCGCCGTCGCCACACTCGCCCAACTCCTTCTGCAGCAAGGCAAAGTATCCCAGGCACTGAAATACTTCGAGCGAGCCGGCGAGCTAGCCCGAACAGAGGCAGAAGTCATCAACGCCGTGTCATACGCTGAAGCCACCCGTGCACAACTGGAGGTGCAGGAGAGATATCCTAAGCTTGCGGCGCGACTGCAGCAGGTGGCCGGCGCGGCTGCGATGGGGGTGCCTCCGTCGTAAGGACATAAGACCACATCGACACAAACTCCAAAAAACTCATATCGAATTGGATTTGAAATTAATTGAAAGAGTATTTTGCTCTGTCTCTGCCTGCGACAACTGCCTGTATTATGCAATATTGTGTCTCCGGGGGCCCAACGCAAACGCGAACGGAAAATTAAAAGCACCTGCCATTTTCACTTCTGAAAGCTATGACTACCGGACTCGCCGGCTGAATTCCTTCTTGTTTCATTTATCTACATGAAATTACAAAACCCTTTATCTGTCCAGAGAAATCGGATTCGATTCATGCATCAGAGACTCGAAAGTTTTCTTCTCTCTACTCCTGTCTTCTTCCTTTCCACTTTCCCTTGTATCCTAGTGTATCATCGTTGGGCTTTTCCCTCTCCCTGGTATGTCTGTGTTCCTAACTTTGATAGTCGATATTTTTGTGTTATCATTTAGTTTGAAGCTTAAGACTGGTTTTGCCCCTTCGGACTGTCGGCATCCCAAACCTCTTTTTTGTGTTTCCTTTTTATTTCTCCTGAACTAACCTAGGTGTCATCACATATATATGGTGGTGGTTTATATGGGAGCCGGGCCTTAAAATGTGTAATTACGAGGGTACTTTTTTTTTTTTTTTTTTAATTCCTGTTGTTGGGCATGTCAGAGTAATCATATATATTTTGTCTCTTTTTTCCATCTTGTCTACTACGTAACTCCCATCCGTCGTTAATCCCGAAACTCCCAACCTTAAACTTCGAATGGGAACTAAAGCAGCCATCAGATGACCTCACTTTGATATCATCAAATTTCCCGTCAGCAGATAGGGTTCCTAACGGTAGGGTGTGAGTTCAGCTGAAGGTGGCTTTTCAAAAAGGTGAACATGGAATAAAAATCCCAGTAAGAAAACATACGAACCTTTTATATCTGACATTCTCTATCGAAGCCAACAACCTCCACTAATCACATGGGATGTAAGCGGTGAAATAGCGTCAAGAACATGGGTTCTGCCTAGATCGGGTACGCCAAGTCCTTGTAACTTTTGGTATGTGTGGTATGGCCGGAGCAGCAATACACGTCATCCCACATCTTCCCTCCCCGTACCCGCGACCTGAGCTTGTCAGAGTTTCCCCGCCGAGTTGCTGGTATCCAGTACCCGCCTCACCGGCGTTTGTCTTATGGGCCTGACAGTACGAGTATGAGTGTGTATTGCATTGTCAAACTGCCGATCCGAGCCCCCCTGTATCCTTCTGGCCTTTCCCCTCACTCGCGCTGCCTCAACTTCATCCTCAACCTCATCCTCATCCTCAACCTCAACCTCAACCTCAACCTCAACCTTAACCTCAACCTCACCCCGCTGCCTCTCTACCTTACATATATACCAATGGTATCTGCCACTGCCATATACTACGCACGCTGTTGACTTTGTTCCTCTTCCTCTTCCCCTTTCTCTCCTGCCCGGTGTGGTTGCTTCCTAGCTCTGTTAACTGCCTTTTCTCCCAACTCTCCAGCCCATCCGCCTATTCCTCATCCGTCGTCCTCGTTCCTCATTACTCATCCCTCGTTCTGCCTATCTTCAACCTCAGCCTCAACCACCGACTTCAACGCTACTCCTCTCCTTCAGTAGTCTTTTCCATCCTCCCTCTCCATCCAATATCTCAGCACTCTTCAGTCGTATCGGCGATATATCTGGTTCATCCAGCTTGGCTACCTCATCTCTTCCATCTCTCCGCCCCACTATCCGCCATCCCCTTCCTACATTCCCCACATCTCCATCCGAATCCTTGACTCCGATCTTTCTCCGGCGGCCCCGCACTATACAGCTCCGTCAGACCACTCAAGCGTGTGGACAGAGCGACTTTTGCGACTGCGTCATAGGTTGGGAACAGCTTCTCCCTCAGCAAATGCTGTATCAGCTTCCCCTCCTTCACTAGCAGCTCTCTGTACTTGAGCAATTGTTCACAAATACAAACTTCACTCTCAACCAGATCTACGATTCAGTGTTTGTTACAGACACTATTTTGGACACTACTTTTAACATATGTGATTACTCGTCTTCCAAGCTATTTAACTGAGCATTCTTCCCACTACCAACATCAAATCACGAGATTCCAATTGTTTAGTCCTTGTAGCCGGTGCCATCCCAGATGCGGAGAGGGCATCATGGAGTCTAGCAAGTGTACAGTTCCTCCGTTATCTCGCTGCTATCGAAGTGTTGCAATTCATCAAGTTTCTTCTTAACTAACATCAACATTACTTCTCCGTCCTAGTTGCCGTGACCCTCACTCTCCTAAATTCCAAATGCTCTGTCGGACCTCGAGTCTTGACTCTGTCTTCAGATACAGAGAAAATCGTCATCGGTCGATCCTCCAGGGCGACTAACAAGGAACTCGTCCCAGCACAGAACAATGCCTGGTTCGATTCTCGTGTCATGTCCCGTGCCCACGCCACTATTACCATTTGTTTACAGAAACAGGTAAAAATATAAACCCCGTGGTCTTGTTGACTTATCTTCGGAGAATAGCTAATTGTTTTTGGTTTCGTGATCTCCAGCAAGCTTCCATCACGGATACCGACTCTATGCATGGCACCTGGTTGAACGGCACTAAGCTTGTCAGCAACAGTAAGACACCGCTCACGAATCGCGATATCCTGACATTTGGAGCCAAGATTACTCGTGGAGCAGGTAGGTAGCCCGTTACCGCTTTCCACGTTAGCATCTTCTATGTACATAATCTTTCTCTTAACTTATCTTGTTTTTACAGAAACCTTTGAACCCCTGAGAGTTCGCCTGGCCTTGTTATGGACAAAGGAACCGTATGTCTTGCATAATCTTAGCCAAGTTCTTGGCCGTTATTTTTGCTTACCATCCTTAGGACTTTTGCCAAGGTGGAGATTCCAAAACCTATTAAACGCCACTCAGAGAATACCTTCGTAGTGCCAGATGATGACGATGACGATGACGAAGATAGAGAAGATCATGATTTCGATGATCCAAAGGCAGAAGCTATTGTCGAAACTACTTCTGATGCTGAAGGGCTGACTCGTAAACGCTCTGTTGAAGCCAATTCGGATGTCATCTCCGTTTGCTCCTCTGGCGAAGACGATGGACAGGAAAAGTCTTCCTCTACTTCATCCCCACTAAGCAAACCCGAAGACCATTCTACATCGAAGCCCAGACACGAAGAACACCCAGCTGTCCCTCCATCCTCCAGTCCAAAACTCAATCCCTACATTAATCTGGTGGACGAAACGGTTACAAAAAAATCCGGTCCGCAACAGTTCCCCGCTGCTGATGCTTGCCCTGACTCAACGGGATTGGCCAAGGAATATCCCACGGTTACGGATGTTCTAACCGAAGATGACAGTGACATCAATGCAGAATCGGGAGATGAATTTAACCAATTTTCAGATGATGAGGAGCACCACTCCGTTTCTGACTGGGAAACAGAGAATCTTACATTTGGGACCGAAGCCGCAGCTGACTCAGATGCTATCAAACCTCGGACCAGCAGCTCAGAAAAATTAACTAAGGCTGCTATTCCCTCCACCCCAGAATCTCTAAAAACCACATCCAAGTCAGACGGTGAATCTGGAAAGCCTGACAGGCATCCTAACCATGCTGATAATATGAGCCCATCCGCGTTTCTGACGCCCGCCCTTTCTAGTGCCTCTAAACCTGGTGATAACGACAGTCACATCTCCTGCAGAGCTATGAGCACCCATGTGTCACGGGAGCATTCGAGCACTGTGCATCCCTCAGTTTTGGCCTACAAACCTAGTCCTCTCGAAACGAGGGTGACCGGGAACCGGGACCGGAAGTTTGCTCTCGGCCTACAAAGAACGCCCAGTCCCTCCGATAAGGCCCTTGCTAGACCAATAATCGGTGACTCGCACGAGTCCGTTGCCGAAGACATATACCAAGGGTGGGCTTTTCCCCCTAAGCCCAAAGCGCAAAGATTATGCGAAATCGCTCCCTGCGAATTCCCTCGCTCCCTAGAGCAAGAATCATCAACGCAGGGTGGCGGTACATCTGCAGTTACTGGCAGTTATGATTTTCCTCAACTTCCCCCTTTGCGCCCGCCGTATTCTGAAGGCCCCTTTGCCACTTCAAACCAGGAAGAAGCTTGGTTAATGGGAAAGTACGTTATAAATTTATCCTCCCGTTCATGATTTGTACTAACTGATGGCGGGAGCAGTACGCGCAATCATGCCATTGCCGAGAACGTCAAAGATATCTATCAATGTGGCACGTTTGCACCAGCCCGGGCTTGTAGCAACACATATAGGATAGGATCATCGCCACCATATTCAAGTCCATTACACCGGCCTCAGTGGCAGACAGTCACCGACGGTCCGCATAACGCATCCCTTAGGACACCAACAGCACAATACCCGACCAAACCAGCCAGCAGTTCTGTGCCAGGGCATTCCAGAAAAGCAACATCCATCCCAATCGCCAACATCATCGATGAGGAGAATTACATCCCCGAACTCTGCCGACCAAATCACCCTCTAAAGCGAAAGGCAAAGGAAATGTCAATACCAGAGGTCCATGTCCCCGGAGACCACGATGGAGATGAATACCTACCCGACGCGCAGCCGCAGCATATCATCCCACCTCCATCTACCTTAACCTCAGCGTCAAACTCTCAATCGACTCACTCAGTCGTCGATAAACAGGAGGGCCAGGACCCCCCTTCCGCTACGGAGCAGAGTGAAATAACCCCTCCACAGAAGAAGGTGAAGACAGAGCCGTCTCCTGACCGCGGGAGCAATTTTGCCCGCTATGCCGCCAGCGCGCTGGTGGGCGCTGCGGTTGGTGGTATTGGTGTTGTTGCTGCTCTAGCGGCTCTGCCGCCGGATTTTTTTGCCTAATCTAATGTGCGGGAAAACTATCTTGGTTCATGAGCAGTTATTTGGTGTCCGATTACCTTTTGCGAAATTCAAGTTCCTAGTGGATTGGACCGGACGTAGTAAAGATGTGGATACTGCTTCTTACATTTGTATGTAGCCTTCTGCGTGTTTTCTGTTTTTGTACCCCTTTTTAGAAACATGGGCAATATCCCCCCGAGTTTAATATTTTACATCCGGGGCGTGGTCTTTGGCTCAATGGAAAACCTCACAGGTGGACGAAGTGCCAAGCAGCAATTCCTGTCAATCCGTTAATGATCAGCGAGACGCTAACAGCAGGTAGAAAGTGGACAGGTAATTTTGCTGAGTGAGAGTGTCGTTATTCGGGCCAAGTCCTCTTTTCCTTTTTTTTTTTAACTTGATTTTATTTACGGTGGTGGATGGGTGTATGTCAACTTTATCACCTTGCGTTTCGAGTGACAGATTTTCTTTCCCTGCTTAGCTGAGCTTATTTACCCCCTTTTCTTCCGATTAACCCAATTTTCTAATGTTTCCTCACGACACATCGCAAAACGACGGGATCCGATTGTATTCCCCCCCTCCCCCCCCAAAAAAAAAACCATCTCTTCCCTTCTATTTCCTTTGTGAATATTTTTCTTTCTCATTTTCTTATACACCCTCTCAATCACGAAAGGAATCAAATTTAAGTAGGTAGTTTAATTGCAACTTTATTGTCTTAATTTCTATAAGATGTCAGTCATATGTCAACAGTGCCATTGAGCCAGGAGTGAAAAAGTACTCGTATCTTTAAAAGAACTTCATTTAACTTGGTTACAGGGCTGGAATGTGAAAACGTTGAGAGAAATAATTAGTTATTTTTTATTTACTTTTAAAGAGCAAAGTTGCTTTTGGTGAAAGGAGAAAAGCATGAGTATGTTTGTCCCGTTGACGGATATAAGGAGTACATTCATTTGAGAGTTTATTAATGACAGTGGCAACAGATGAACATATAAATGAAGTTGAAGCAAAATATAAATACCTAGTCAGCTACTTGATTTATGAAAAAAATAGATCGATTAATCATGTGCATTCAAATATTTTTTTAAAAAAAAAACTATATATATATATTTAGAGTTCTGCCAGGGCTCTTCGCTGCTTCGTATTTCAATTACAGACATGAATGAAGAGAGAAAAAGCATAGTTAGCAGAGTTCCTGTTGCGTGGAAGCTTCTTATCAAAGAATAGAACTCGATTGCTTGGAGCTCACCTGCAGGCCTGCAATAAATATGCAATGAATACCTGCCTAACACAGAAACTACCTCTGAAAATACACAGATGGACAGGCATGTAATGAATATACCATATAAGAGATGCGGATTTGAAAGACAACTGCGGCCGTTATGTAAAGATATAGGGTTGGCAAGGCGTCGGCCTGCGATAGTCCCCTCCTGAAGATTATTTGATTTCCTTTTTACACATCTCTTCCCTGACTATCCAATTCGAAAGGCATATTTAAATCACCAACTACATATTGTTGAAGTTAAGGATTTATTATTTCTTATCGAGAAAAAACACAAATGTATTCAGTGTGTTTGCACACGCGGGGTGTAACCAGTCAATGGAAAACAACTGAGCCCCCCCCCCCGGGGCCTTTCTCACCATTCCTTCCTTACTCTATTTCTTACAGTATACAGAATGTGTAAAGTAAAAACAGACCAAAGGCCCAAGCCAAAACAAAGTCCCCACAAGAAAGACGAAGAAAAGAGATTCTGTAGGATCTGATATACCAGAAAACACAGTGTGGGTATGGGGAAAGTGTAATATAAAATGTTAGAGCGTTTTGTGGATGGTGCATTGTATATCTGTATAGAAGGGCCGTGCTTGGGTTATGGGATAGGAGATTAGGCATAGAACGGTTGAGCGGGGTTATGTTGCTGAATTCGACATGTTGACTAGGTCGGGCATGTGGGGAATGGAACAGCGGAGATATAGTACAGAGATATTTGCAGAGAAGATGAGGTTAAGTGAGATGAAGTATGTGCAGGTGGATTCGTGCGGGTGAAAAAGGAAGAATCAAAATGTGCTGGTATCTTCAATAGCTGTTCTAGCTAGAAATTACGCTGTGTGCCAATGCTGGAACCGGGGGAGGGAAAGAAAATGTAAAATTAAAAGACGTAGTAAGCGGGTAGCAAGAGATACGTGTGTTAAAAATAACACCAGATCAAGAAACACCGCTGCGTTCTGCAGCAAAAAATAAAACAAACGAGCATACGGATGGTGGAAAAGAGGTCCAAACAACAACTTTCACGTGAAGGGTGCATATATTTGGAAAATATTGTCAAGTATCGAGAGATGTATTCAACAAATATCCATGCAGCGACGGGTAGAGGGCGGATATTGGGTATATAGTAAGGCTAGAATTAAAGGCGATATCAACTGCTCAAAACTCAATCGAGAGGATCGTGGCGGAATGTGCAGTCGTCGCCCTTGAGACATTTTCCTTCCTTCCAATATCGACACGGGACAAGGCCTGCCTTGGGCTACGAGCGGGAGATTGAATCGTTAGCTAGGTACTTCTGAAATTCATTTAAGTCCATAGACATGAGAGAAACTTACATGTTTCTTATGTTTGAAGTCGCCATTTGCCCTAGCCCGCTTGTTGTGACCATGACCGTGGCCATGACCATGGCCTCCGTCCTCAAAATTGTCATATCCACCATGCTTATTATGGCCATGGCCATGGCCATGCCCTTCGCGCATCCGCTTCCTATCAGAGTCCTCATAAATGTTACCTTGCTGCTGTTTTTTCTGCTGATTTTGATTCTGATTATATCCAAATGACTGAGAAGATGGTTGTTGCTGCTGTTGCTGCTGTTGGGGTGTTGCAACATTTTGGAACTGGGATAGGACAGCAGCAAGGTTCGGGGTTTGGGTTGACGAAACCTGGCTTTGAGCCTGAGGGAATGATGGGGGGTTTGCTTGCTGAAGCTGCTTCTGCGCATTCATGACAGCAAGCAGTGCTTGAATATCAAGACCGCCTTGCATTGCGGGTGTTTGTGTAGGCGGTTGAATATGGGGTATTTGAGGTATCGACGGGACGGTGGGTTGGACCTGGCTGCCAGAGAATTGCCCAAAAGTTTTTTCGACATCGAATAAAGGGTTTGATGGCTGGGGTTGTTGCCCTTGTTGGGGGGTTTGCTGGATGATCTTGAGTAGGGAAGCGATATCCACCGTGCTGGAATTCTGGGTTATCGTAACCGGTTGTAGGGGTGGGGGTGGTGGGGCTCGTGCAGCAAAGTATTTTGCAGATCGCGCCTGTTTAATTGATAATGTTAGGCGGCTAGAATTGAAATAACAGTCCTGTTTAAAACTAAATACCTTTATTCTATCTTCTGGCTCGCCAAAGGGGACTTCTGGGTTATATGGTTCATCCGGATCCGGCAGGGGTGGTTCCTTAGGAGAAATGGGGATATCGGCAGGAGACGTGTAGAAGACACTCAGTGTATTCGCTTCGCGCAGCTCCTGGGCCCGTTTTTCGTTGCTATCGGGATTCTGTGTGCCTCCTCTCTTGATGAAATTCCGGCTCCGTTCCCCTGGATCAAGTTCAGAGAAGTTGATTCCTAATTTACACAGGAGTTAGGAACTAGCCAATACTTAATTAAAAAGTTAATCTTGATCATACCTATTGGTGTAGTGTAGGGACGAATAATCTCTTCTCGAGATTCAGGATCATCATCGTCCTCCAGATCGTCTAAATCACGATGGAGTTTCAGGGTTCTTCCCTCGCCGCTTACATCAGCAACGTCACGGATCATGCTGTCGTCGTGGCCAACTTCTTCCTCGGGGTCATGAGTGAAGAGACGGATTTCAGTCAATTCTTCATCCGGTTTCCAGCTCACACGTAGCTTACGACGTTCTTCTTTTCGGAGACGTTTCTTGCGTTCTTCCTCTGTTTCCAGGGGGAGATCCTCGGCTGGTTTGCTAGAAGCTAATTCTTTTGGCTTATTCAAATCAGCCATGGTCTCAGAGAATGAGAAGGCTGGCTTTGGCGCCGCAGCTGAAGACGGGGTGGGCTTGAGCTCTGGTGCGGAACTGTTTCTTGCAATCAGTTTAGTCTTCCACGGCAACAGAGGAGATTGTGTCCGACATACTTCGCTTTTTCCTTGGCAGCAGCAGCACGGGCAGCATTGGAGGTTCCAGGTTTTTTAGAAGCAGACATTAAGCTGCTAAAGAGGTTTGGGGTGGGTTTTGGAACCACTATATTGGCCTTGGGTTTAGCGGCAACTGCACTCTCGCTTGTAGCTACGGGCTTGACTTCTTGAGCGGTGGCTGTAGCGCGTTTCGTCGGGGCTGCAGCAACAGGTTTAGCAACAGGCTTGCCGTTGGCAGCAGTTACAGTTCGCTTTGGCGACGGAGCACCACCTGCTTCAGGCTCACGGGGCCTCTTGGTCCCGGGAGTGAGTTCAGCGGGGTTCTGAATGATTATTTCAGGTTGCATATGCACTAGCTCATGTTCATTGAGGGTGCTCTCCGTTTTATTGGAAGCAGCTTTTGCGAGTTCGGCCTTCCTCTTTGTCAACTCTGCGGCATTAGATAGAATTGTTTGTGCTAGCTGTTTAATGACATCACCCCCTTTTTTGACAAATCGGGTAAGGATTTTGTCATTTTTGGTTTTCTCAAGCATCGCTTGATCCATTGTCACGAATTTCGCCATGAGCTATTATCATCAGAGTTAGCCAATGTGTGCGTAGCAGACTTGGAAAGAAGATGATAGAGGTTACCTTCAATATATTTACTGTTAAAGGTCCGTCACTGTCTGCTGCGGTATGTCGATCAAGCAAAAATGAATACAGCGCAGACACAATAATTGGATGTTCACCGAACCTAACATACGTATAAGCATATTTCTCATTAAAGTGATTGTCTTCCTTTTCTTTTAATAAAACGGGGGAAAATAGGAGGAAAAAGGGAAGCGAGAATAGAGGGTCATTCAAAGTATGCGGGGGGCAGAGTTGTCAAGCGGGAGATTCTTCCATGAATTTCGAACAGATATTTGATTTGCTCGCGAAGCTGAACAGATGATGCCTGGATCACACATTTAAGTGGTGACTGATGATGGGATAGACGTTGGTACAATTAGCTGCAGCGAAATATAGAGGCTGGCGCATTGATTGTACAGGCCATTTAAGCTTTATACATTCGCAGCACTTTAACTTCTCCCTCGGAAACTCTAAGGATTAGATGTAATAACGCTTGCTTCTAGCCTTGAAATGGGGCACAGATGCTGATTGTTCGCACATGGCATTATTATTTAAAATATATCTCGATTTTTTCTCGTTCCATTTCTTTCCTCTCTTATCTCTGCCCAAACAGCTACAAATGGGTTGATAATAAATGATAATTAAGGTGTGCAGAAATGGGAAAAGAAAGTTGGACATACCTTTGGATGATGGCTGGGTGCCCACCTTCCAGAGCAGTAGTGACTATAAGATCTATGAGACGGCGTTGCAATAAAACTTCCTTCTTGATTCCAGGGATTTTGTCTTCATGGTTTTGATTCTCAGCTGCTTTTAGTAATTCGCTTTTCGATTTCCAAGTGTCGCGAACTCCCTTGACAAGTTCAGAGAAAAGCGTCAACGCATTTCGTATTGTTGATATTGGCGGTTGCTTATTCCTTGGCGACCAAACCGCTTTCAACGTGTCGTACTTGGAGCCACCCTCGACATCCTGAGGCCGTACAGGAGGAAGAGGAGAGGGCTCTGGGGCGACCTCGAGATCCGAAGAACCGTCGGAGCCATCACTATCAGAACTGGCTGAGACATCCGATGGTCGTGGACTCCGTTTGACCATAGCCTTAATGGCTGCAGCTTGTGGACGATCCTGAACCTTTTCTGTTTCATCTTTTTTCTTGCGCTTTGTTGGTGGTTTATCGGCTTTTGTTGTCGCTAGTCTCAGTTAGCGAAGTGTCATACAATGATAGAAATCATACTGCACTTCTTGCGAAACTATTAGGCTTACCTTTTTTTGGCTTTTTCACGGTTGTTGTGACAGGAGGAATTGGCTGTATGTGACTTATATTTGGTTGATTTGAACCAATCAAGCGGGGAGCAATCTCTGCACTGTATGTTTGATACAGACTACTTCAAGTTAGCCACCTATACACGGGAAAAGGAATAAACAGAAAGTAAACTGGGAGACTGACTCTGGGGTAGGCCGATTGTCAAGGTCCGCTGGATTAATGACAAAGAATTCATTTTGAGAGGAGCTAGGTTGAATCATCGAATGTTGAGACGCAGAAAGAAACTGCGGATCAATAGTATTGTGGTAAGCAGATCCCGGGTGAGACTGCTGGAAGCCATTTGAAAGGTTAATGTTATCATTCTAGGGGGAGTTTATTAGCTATGAGAGTCATACAAAAGGAGAAGCTGTCAGCAGTCACTTACTTGTATATCCCTTTGTAAAGTTCCTGATCTTTCATAAGACGGCATAGGACCCCTGGCTGGTGATGGAGCGATCTGTGACGAATGATTCACTATTTGCAGATCAACTGGAGGTTGTTGACGAAAGCCATTTTGAGGCGCGGCGGGAGAGTTGGTATAAAAGTTCAGGGGATCAAATGTATACTGTCGATAGGAAGTTGGGTTTGGTTGGGTTGTCTCATATGTCGGATTTGAAGACTGAAACTGGTTGAGTTGGTACTGGGCGGGTAAAGCATAATTCTGCTGTGGCTCTTGTACCATCTGGGGTTGCAACTGAGGCTGCAACTGAGGCTGCAATTGAGGCTGCAATTGGGGTTGCTGCCATTGCTGCGAGGGGTGTGAATAAATATCCTGAGGTTGCTGGTGAGATCGCTGGGGATTGGGTGCAGCTGTTCGGAAGACAGGATGATCCCATCCTATACCAAAAGGCTGGCCTTCAGGCTGATTGGAACTGTACAGATGGTTTATTCCACCCCAGAATTCTCCAGAATAGCCACCAGTTGCGGGTTCTGACACAGACGAGGGATTGGAATTCGACGAAGAGTCCATGATCAGACTTCCCCCCAGACCTCCTTAATACCTGACCGATATATTATGCAGATCAGTCAGGGTTACAGCGGTCACGTGGACACCCGAAGACCCAAAAAATGGGGGTGCCCGATTTGGAGTGGGGTGTTGCCGCTTTTAGGATTCTTTGTCGGGAGATGCAACTGGTCTAACCGTATGCGTACTAGCGTATAACGATAAAGGTAAGAGGGGGGCAGCCTCTTTAGGAATGGCGCGACGCTGTTTCTCAACAAGGCGAAGTTTGATACTCAGCCTCCCCTTGCTGGCTGCTTCTAAAGGGTTCGGGTGGGCAATAAATATCTGACCAGTAGTTGGCAGTGTGTTTTGCTGCCAGTTGGGGCTGTCCTTTGCTGGCCTAGGTTTGAGTTGAGATTTGTTCTTTTGGGGGGATTCTTTGTTAGGTGTTTGTTAAAGCCCAGAAGGGTGTGTTAGATGTTAAAAAAAGAAAATATAAATAGAAAAGCAAAAATGTGCGTGTGCAGTAGGATCAAATAGGCTTACTTTGCCCTCCTGAACGTCAGTCTGACCGTAAGTTTTTTGAGGTTCTTGCCGGTTTTAATAAGGGGAAAATTCTGCAGCAAAATAAACACCAACAGCAATACACCACAAGTCACAAAAGTACAAGGCAAAGTTTCCACTGCAGGAGCCGTTCAACTCCCATATATTTCCACAGTTGTATTGTTCTGTCCTTCCCTCCCAAACGTGTATCTCAAACTATTCCTCGATCCTCGATCCTGCGCAGAATTCTTCTCCAGGGCCCCTAAATCACCGACGGCCTTGCCAGCCTTTCCACTTGCCTTAATCCACGGAGCAAGGTCTCATACAACGAGCCAGTTCTTCAGGTTTTCAGCTTAGTAGCATAGTGAATGCCTTTACGATGAGAATTCAGCAGTTGAGAGGGATATGTGGGGATGAGTGAAGCGGGAGAGTCGGGTTGTCGAGGAGAGAAGAAACTGTCTGGGCACGACGTCGACGTTAACTTCGTGTTGTTTTGTCACCTGCGCCACCGGCCCGTGTCTCCTTCCGAGATCACGTGTGATCGTTGCGGAAGAACAATGTCGCCGGCAACCCTGTTAATGCCCAGTCATTCTTCTTTCAGACCCTGGCCTGTAGTTTGGGGAAGTTGAATTGATATTGAGATCTGGCGACAACGACAACATGCCACTTACGTATATCTGCTTTTGCGCCCGTTAATTGATTGAGCTTTGTCCTGATTTCCCAGCTTGAATGGCTTTCTGCCCTTCTTTTTGGATCCACAAATAATTATTAATAAATAATTAATCCCTACAAATCAGGAATTCCGAGTCTTCAGCTCTGCAAAGCCTGCTCAATAGGCCGCAGCTATCTCCCAGCTTCCATGGCTTCACATCCGCCGTCTCTTCGGCAGAGGCAGATTGGTATGTATTGCGCTTTGCTGTATCTGGACTGGATTCAGCTAAATAGACCCTCCAAACAGCTTCCATCGAGAAAATTCTCAACCTAAATCATGACGCGCCTCACCACCCAGATTTCCAAGGCGACTCTGCCGGCCCAGGTGGCCTAATCCACTCCACCCCGATACTGAACGAAGATGGCGATCCTATATGGAAGGTGCTTGTATTTGATAACTTAGGTCGCGATGTCATAAGCAGTGTTCTACGAGTAAACGATCTTCGAACATGGGGGGTCACCATCCACCTGTACGAACATCCTTTAAAATTGTCCATAAAGCGGGTTTTTTTTTTTTTTTGTTGTTAATTCATGGGAATAGGAATATCAACACCACACGATACCCGATACCAGATGTCCCTGTGCTTTACTTCGTTGAGCCAACTCCGGCGAACATACAACTTATAACTTCAGATTTGTCCCGGGATATCTACTCTCCCGCATACATAAATTTTATATCTTCCATTCCACGACCCCTGCTAGAGGACTTTGCATCTCAAATAGCTGCCACGGGCACATCAGAAAAGGTGGCCCAGGTTTACGATCAATATTTAAACTTCATTGTTTCAGAACCAGATTTGTTTAGTTTAGGGATGGGAAAAGACCTGTTCTGGAAACTAAATAGCCTCCAAACGACGGACGAGGAGTTGGATAAGATGATAGACAGAATTGTCAGTGGTTTGTTTAGCGTCAGTGTCACCATGGGTATGTTTCTCCCTGTACACGACTTCCTAGTATTGCCTCTCACTGACGCTACCAAAGGCTCCATTCCAATAATACGATGTCCGAAAGGAGGACCATCGGAGCTGATTGCTACTAAGCTTGATCGTAAGCTAAGGGATCACATATTGAATTCAAAAGATAACTTATTCTCCACTGCAAACCAACGGCAGGGTGTCAACGTCCCACCCATTCGCCCTGTTCTAATCATCGTCGATCGTATTGTGGACTTAGTACCCATGCTCTCTCATTCCTGGACGTACCAATCATTGGTTCACGATGTTTTAAAAATGCATCTCAACCGTATCACTGTGGAAGTACCGATCGACGATATTAACCCTGCAAAGGGGACAACAAAAAGATCATATGATTTGAGTGTGAATGATTTCTTCTGGAACCGTAACGCAGGCGTTCCGTTCCCACAGGTTGCTGAGGACATTGACGCAGAACTTACACGGTACAAAGAAGATGCAACCGATATCACAAGAAAAACTGGCGCTTCTTCTATCGAAGACCTTCAAAATGATACAAGCGCATCTGCTCAACACCTCAAAGCAGCCATCACGCTTTTACCAGAGTTGCGTGAACGTAAAGCACTCCTTGATATGCACATGAACATCGCAACTGCCCTCCTGAAGGGTATTAAGGATCGACAATTAGATAATTTCTTTCAACTCGAGGAAAATATCACCAAACAGAATAAATCGCAAATCCTGGAAATATTGTGTAACCCGGATGGGGGCACGAATCCATTGGATAAGCTACGACTCTTTTTAATTTGGTTTCTTAGCACAGAAACAGATTTTTCGAAAGCGGAACTGAACCGTTTTGAAGATGCCCTCACGCAAGCCGGATGCACCGACCTCAGCGCTGTTGCATACGTGAAAAAGGTACGAGAAATTACACGAATGACAATGATGACAACATCCGCAACGGCACCCCAGCAACCTTCCTCCGACCTCTTCCGTGGCTTCTCTTCCCTCTCCAACCGACTGACAGACCGCATCACTTCCGGCGCACTTGGAGCAAATTTCGACTCTCTAATATCCAGCGTCAAGAATTTCCTCCCCGCCAATAAAGACCTTACCTTAACTAAAATCACCGAATCAATCATGGATCCCGCGGGCGCATCAAGCTCTGCAATCGCCATGACAGAAAACTACCTCTACTTTGACCCTCGCAGCGCAAATGCAAGAGGCGCCATACCCCCAGGAGCCTCGACCCGTAACCAACCAGGTGGCATGCCCGGGTCCCTTGGCACGACCGGCCCTGGCATCAGTGCCAGCTTCGGCCAACGACGACAAGGTTTTAGCGAGGCAATCGTCTTCACAGTTGGCGGGGGAACAATGGATGAATATGGGAACCTTCAGGACTGGGCGCGTCGGACGGGAGGTGGGCTGTCGGCGAGTGGCGTTGGGGTGGGCGGATCTTCGGGTGCGATTGGTGGATCGAGTACTGGAGGATCCGGGACGTCTGGCGCGGGATCTCGACGGGTTGTATACGGGAGCACAGATCTAGTAAATGCGACGGAGTTCTTGACGGAGGCACTAGGGAAGCTTGGGAAGGAGATCTGATTTGTTAAGTGGATTTCCCCTGATGTTTTCCTTCGCTTTTAATGCAACTTTGAGTTCTATACTTCGCTGCATAGGCTTCATCTCCATATCCGGGGAGGATGTTTTAATATTTAGTAACATGGCATCTGCTCTGATGTATATCGGATAGGACAAAGTTGGCCTACCACATGTAATAATGAATGCCATTGGGAAGTATTATGTAGAAAATGATACCTCAACTTCATGTTAATGTCCGGATCGGTACTTCCCTGCAGCCATACCTCTTACTGTTTGTTGCTTGGGTGTTTGCGGGTGAAAAGAGGAACAAGTTTCATCCACGGGTGCACCCTCAGATGTAGAGATCGGCATCACGTGATAGTTAACTACAGTGTAGTTTATACGGATTAAAAACATTTCGTTACTTTCCGTTGATGTCAATTGTCGATTTCATGCCCTCCGGTAGACTTAAGTTTCAACGTATATCTCTCTCCAAATATTCAATAATAGTTAGCTATCTCCTTATAGGTGCTGCTGTCATCGATCACAACGGTCAAGATGTTTGGTTTGTTATCTCCTCGTAAGAGGGGGAATCAATGTGTTGTCTGTGGACGCCCAAGTCTGAGCTCATTCTCCAAGTGTCCTTCAGCACTTATCCTCATTAGGTTCCTGACATGAGTCGTTCATGCATCTCCTCTTTTCCTAGCACACGACGCTCAACTATTCAGTCTGCGTACGGGGAATTATACAGAAATGATATATCAACCACCTCTAAAGGTAACTACGTCCTGTCAACTGACCAAAATAGAACTTCCAGCTGACTGAGGGTCAGAAAGAGAAAGCTTCTTCAACTCTTTAATTTTAAACATAAAAATTCAGCACCCAAATGCAGTTCTTGCTCGGACACCCTGCTCGCCGTCGTGCCCTCGCACATCCAGGAGGCGACGACCCAATTCTAAGCTTCGACAGTAATTCATATGTTATCGTTATATGAAGCTATCACCAGAGGAGCTAAAGAAACGAGGCTGCTCTTATGTTTTGCAGCCAACGACCTTCGGCTTTCAGCAACTTATGAAGCGGCTTCCTGGCTCAGACCAACACGCTCTGCTATCTGAAAAACGTGCTACATCTTCCGGGTCTGGGTGTTCTCCCGAGCAAGGTTCAGGTGGAAGGAAATCAGGATGACGTTACTATGAATTGAATTTGTTTCAGTTCTGTCAGCCCTCCAAAGAATGTGCGTGCATCGTACACCAATCATCTTTGATTTTGGGGTTCCTTGCTGATCGGGTATTTTGTTTTATTTTGAAATAATGATCAGTACTCGATATTTTTCTGGAATGATATCCGGAGAGTTTCAGGCTATGTGTCTTTGTCTCTTGTTTGACTCGTTTCCGTCTATTTTGTGTAGCCTGCAGCTGCCGGGGGGATACTGGAGGCACCGTGTTTACAACTCGAAAATGCTTGCAAGCTTGGGGCCTATAAAGCAGCGGTGCGAGATCAAAGATACAAGGGTTTAGCTTACCTAATGTAGAGGTGTATTTCTATCATAAAAGTTAAATGTAGTTATTGTTAATAGTTAGCCGCGGTCTCGCATCGTAGTAACCAGAGGACTCGAGGCCACTTCCCCTCATACCACCTCAGTCAATTCTTAAGATATTCGAAAGTTGGTTTGCGTGGTTGGTATGTAATTTTGTCTGCTGGGATCAAGTTACTAGCTAAATAGTTTGCGCTACGTTGACTAGTCAAAAACTATCCGGGAAATATTATAAGCGACAAATCTTATTGTGACGACATTCAACATGCAACAACAACACGGGGCTATCCCGTTGAACAACATCGATGATGCAACCCAATGACGAATTCTCATTCTCGTTTCTAAAATAATCTCAACGTGGGACTTAGCGGTTCCTGAGTTAATATCCCCATTGAGCAAGTCTTCCGCCACCGTCTCGGTAACATGTCTCCATTCTCAATCCAGCAATAGTTCTAGCCTGGCTCAGGTGTCAGCATCGCAGCATCTGAGCAGTAACCACGCCTCTGTCAAGCCGCTGTTGCTGCAATCAACCCTTTCAGCAAATATCAACACAGAGGTTTTATGTTTCTTCGTTTTAAAAAGGCCAAGCTCCGAGTCATGCCATTGGCCAGTTGGCTGCCACCGAGCTGTCCATGAAACCTCAATGATTCGACATCCAACTGCACATGTACAGTGTTCAGCTTTCTCGCCCGCTTTCGCGTGTGTGTTCCCTGAACTTGCTTGATGTGCGGTATCGCCTGCGTCTGCAGAAAATGCTTCGCTGGAAACGTGGATTGTTTTTTTGATGATTTGACTGGGCCGATTCTGACCGTTGAATGCTCCTTTGAATTGTGTTGGCGGCTGTTCACTAACAATCAGGCTCCTCTTTTGGTTTTGAAACTGTCCTCTTAGATTAACTATCTCTGTGCTGTTTAACCTCCTTTACTTGCATATATACTCTGTTTCAGATTATATGACGAACATGCCGTCTTGGCTTGTGTCTGTCTCCGATTCACCAGGGCACGGCTGGGTCCATTCGTCTCGTCTCCAGGGGGTTAAATAAGTTACGGCGTTTCAAGCTGTTCGGCGGATTTACCCCGCAGACTCAGTGCGCTAAAGGTTTAATGCTGGTCTACAGAGTACTTCTGTTAACCTGTTTAACCACTACAAGTCATCGAACACCCTCTGCTCCGTTTTAGACCGGATGCGTTTTTACATTGCGGAAGTGGGGCAGCCGAGCTCTTGTGGCCAATGGTCATGAATTGAAATTTTTACCAGCTCCCTGTAGTTTGAAGGAGGGAATTAGCTATGCATGAATCAGTTCTAGGAAAGCCTGCTGTGCGACTGAAAACATAGCTGCCTGGGCGGTCTGGCTCACCCTAATTAGTTGGCTTGCAGATTCGTTACGACTGGATCGCTTCCCGAATTTTCACCTTTACTTTTTGGGGATCAACTTCGGCGGACCCAATCCAACTTTTGGTGGCTAGACTCAAGGAACATCTACCGCTCAATGTCAGATTTGATGCCATTTGTTTTTGATCAGTTAAACCGAGGTGCTTTTACAAAATAGGTCCAAAACTTCCACGACAACTGCAACGCTCACCCTGTGGCCCTGTCACATCCTGTCACATGGGAGTTAGTTATGTGCTAGCGTTCTCCTCCTTTCACACGCCGCCATCGACGAGAAGGGATAACTCAAGTACAGCATATACGAAGTGGACAGAGCTGGCATTCAAGGGGGCAATTGCGTTGATAACTTACGAAATGCCGTTCTTACTCTAACCCAGAATTTACAGTTCCAGCTTGCCTCACAGCTTTCCGGAGACAACAATGTGCCGCCGTCATTCCGTCTATTCCGAATTTATTATCTACCCAGAACTAATTCGTGAGAAACGCTTCTCAGCTTGGGATCTCCTAGGTCATTTGTCCTCCCCCACTCTAACCTGTCGCTTTGTTCTTTTTTGATATGCTATTGTCTGTTTCCACTTCGTTCTTGTCATAACACCTTTTCTTGTGCTCCCTGTGCTCTCCATACCGCGATATGACTATCTGACATATGACCCCATGATTTCATACTCCTGGAAGTTTGGACTTCTTGTCGTAGGGCTTCCGCAACCCAGCCCTGAAGACGGTTCATATTTGGGTTAAATCGTTTAAAAAAAAAAAAAAAAAAAAAAAAAAAACCTGCGGGAGTGTGTTTCTTGCTTATAATTCGACTGCGTAATAACTGCACCGTTATTTCACATGTTGAGTCCAAATATCTCTCCCGGACCAGGCGCGAAAGAGCGAGCAGCAAATCGATAGACATGATACGGCTTCTGAAAATCGCTAGTGCTCCCTCTTTCTGGTGCTATGTATGCGATTGTTCTTATTCTTGTCGAAACCACCAGCCATGTTTCCATGGGTTGAATTGTCGACGCTTTTTCTTTTCGTTCAATTACATGACTTCCAACTCTCAACCCCAACCTCCTCCAATCCCTCTGAAATTTCTCTCTTAGCTTTCAGACGTGATTAACCCTACCTGACACGTGGATATTATTCTGTGCATGTGAAAGCTTACTAGTGCTACTGGGGTTGAGTCGGTGAAAAACGCAAGCTTGCTGAAAATATGCTTTGTCATTGACCGGTCGGTATTTTGATAACCCCGTCCTTTTGTCATATTCTTAATACGGTCACCTAATTCCTGTTCTCATTGTTACCACCTTTTCAACTCTCCGTTCGGAGGAATCCCTGAACATTTTTGATGCTACTCTCTGCCTGGCATCAGTCATTTGAAAACTTTCCAGAGATTGGGCACTTCTTCCCCATCCCTGTTAATAGTTCAGCCTCCAAGCTAGGTGAGCTGACGGGGGCGGAGAGAATCCATTGTCGGAATTCCGGATTTCCAGTGTTGGAGGAGAGATCATCATTTCTGTCCTCCTGATCTAATTGCCCTCCAACGAAGCCTTGCCATGAATTGTCAAATATTATCACAGCCTATCGTATTGTCTTCGGTGGCACGGCAGGTTCATGGCATTAACATTATCGGATCCTCCCAAAGTTACCTCGCGAAGAGAACCCATTTCCCCTATAGGGCGGATATGTTTTCTTTTTTTTTTTTTTTTTTTTTCCTTCTTTCTTTTTTGTGCGATCAACGGAGGAATGTAATGGCAGCGGATGAAGCTATAAAATAGTGCGATCCACCCTCTCTGCTTATCTTCATCTTGACTCCAATGCCAGAGCAGACTCCGAACTGCACTGAGATATCCCAGCCGAGCAATTTCATTTATCAGAAAACCTTTGACGAAGTTCTTATTTTGTGCTTCGATACAAGAAAGTATTTTGGACAAAGCTCGACAATTCGAGTGATAGTGGCCTCGTACTCCTGCACATCGTTGCACTTGCCGAAGGTCCCTACCCTCCAGTTCCGACAGGCATCCAATATCACCTATCAACAAATATCAATGTCATCTACTTCCGCCTTAGAGACCCGTCCTCAGGGAACAACCGCCAAAGCGTCGACCATTGGCATAGAAGACACCAGGTCATTCCAGATCGATCCTCATCACAACCGCTGCTTAGGCCCCTATAGAGAGGTAGTCGAACGATGCCCAGTGTGCGCCGGCCATCCGACACGGTAAGCTACAACAATCCGATCGTAACCCCATAACCAAACCATCATCCATTTCATGTCTCCACGAATCAGTTTTATACTTACTTTTTTCAAATATTCTAACCATCTCTCTCAACAAGGTATGCTTGCGCACATTGCAACTGCACCGGTATTGTCAGATATATTTGCGTCCATTGCCGAGAGTCCGACGCTATAAAAGAAGCCATTGCCCTTGCTTCCTCCACAGCAAATACGCCTAAAGACCGGGTGCAAGAACTCAGGTAAACCCGCCTTTTGGAGCAACCAGGTTCGAATTGCGGCAGCGTAGGTAGCCAAAACTCGCAGACTCCACAGTGCAGCTACGTTGTTCTTACCTAGGTATCTGTTTCATAGCCTATTGATGCGCATTTTCTTTAAACATAATCATATCTCCAAAATCTACTTTGATATGCGACAATTCGACATATTCCGAACCCGATTCAATTGTCTAGCCAATGAAAGTAATACTGTAGATCCTTCTTCCGGCTATAGCTGACCTTTCACCAAAATCCCCATTGCTAGCACGCGGCCAGATGGTCGCTCTGAAGCTCGGCCTAGCTATCATCATATAATGGTTCTTTTTTTTTAAGCTTCGCTCTCCCCTTGCACCTTGTATCCTCTTCAACTTCTTCACTGAAGATCCTTCGCTACCTTTCCCCGGGCTCCCCCTGACGCACACATAGACATAGAGCTCCACCACACACGACACCTACATTGCCTGTGAGCAGGAAAGACAACATAAAACCGGAACAAGGCGCAATGGGGTTGGTATATCCATATTTCCTCAGCATACGGTTATACATTTTCCTCTTCTTTCCTATTTCCGTGTAGGAGTCGGTTAATACTCAGGATTGGGTAACGGGGACCAGCGACCGGCTACTGAGGTTTGTCGGATGGCGATTGCAACATATATGGGACCAGCGACAGGAGTGGGATTGAAACGCTGATGGTTGTTGTTTCGATTCTTGACCCAATATACTTTTTGTATCTTAAACCCCGGATGGGGTCGACTTTAGGGAGTCTTTTGTGTCAATCTGTTTCACTTGCGTTTACCAAGTAGGTACCTATTTAATTTGAATATGTAATAGATAGGAATGGATATGATTTCCAAGGTTCCCATTACCCTGATTCAGACCGATATGGTCTGCCACAAAGAAATATCATAGCGGTGACTTAGGTTTCCCCAAGTATCCTATACCGATTGGAGTAGCCGCTGGAGCAAATTCAACTCACTGCCTCGATTAGACAAGGAATTGGACTGCAATTGAAATTTATAGCCAATAAGCGGTCCTAAGGCCGGAGAAGTAAAATGGACATTTGGAATTGCACCGCCACCAGAAGGGGCCGACACAAACCCAGGGATCTGTATGGCTACGATTCATGCAGTTCTCGGCAGTCGAAAGCCGAATACCCAAGATACCTCCTTATGCGCCAAGATACGCATGCCAACAATGTCACCCAGCAAGGACCTCAAAACATTTACTGTCATTCAATAGAGCGAAGGGCCCAAAAATGGGATTGGGATGGCGGGAACTAAAAAGCCGGCAGTAGAAGCTCACACGGTCAGCCAAGACGTCGGCTATTGAAAAGAATATGTCGTGGGTATAAGAAGGAAATGGTGGAAGGTATTTCACTATGATAATGCCGGTTGAATGAAATAAAAACAGGATCTCAGGGAGGGAGGAAATTGTCAGGTAGGAAGAGAGTCCCTCCTGCATTTGACTTGGATAATCTGGTGAGGTAATCATAATAGCAATAAAATATCGTAAATCAAACATCACATATCATTTACGTCATAAGATGGCTTAACCGTTCCAAAAGCTCCCAATTCCGCTATACTTTGACCCGATAAATAAACACCAATTTCCCTTGCCCCTCCAGAAAGGGTCGCATTCTCACCCTCTCCCCTGAAAAAGGGATGGAATTTCCCCCATGATACAACTGTCACTTAATCAGCAAGCCTACATAAAATAAAAATAAAAAGTAAGTTAGAAAATTGCTAGACTGAACAAAGCAAACCAGGAACTACTAAATAAATGAGTAGCAAAGATACGAACCTGTAGCTAACCAGCGTATCCACGCGATGGTTGCTCGTACTAAAGCTTCTAAGCTGCACTTTTTCCCCATTCTTGATCTCCTTCGCATCGCTATCGCCCCATTCCATGGGAACTTCGGAATCAGCGTCCGCATATACGAGCACGTTGAAGGTGCAGTTACCATCCAGAACGGGCAGGAACGTGACGGATGCTGTGATTTGGCGGAAGATAGCCTGAATTTCTTCTTGGATTTCTTTCTCAGATTTCTCGGGCGGAGGGGATGTCGGAGTAGGGGACTCCGTTGTGCTGAATTTTGAGATTTTCAGGTTAGCTAGGCCCTGAAATAGCGAGTCATGCGGTATACATTCCAGCAAAGGAGGAATATAGTCGGAGGATACGTACATTGGAGTATTCTCGTTATCAGGTGACGCTTTATGCCCGGAGCAGCTTCGAGGAGACTTCCCCTTATTGAATATTTGGACCTGCAGTTCCAAACGCAGATATATCAGTTTAAGGAATGACATTCCGTCTGGTTTTCTCTCCATTAAATGCGGGGGATGGATTGAGTGATATTCCATACGTCGAACTGCCACCTCTCGACATGCTCCCCAGATTCCTTGTTAGTGATAACAATGACAAGTTTGGATATTTTGCCGCCAATCATCCACTTGTTCAGCTGCGACATGATCTTTTTAATATACGCCTTGACTTGATCGTCGGAAGATACTAGATAAGACTCATTAGCAAAGGCCAATGGATGGAAAGTAACGGTTCTCCTACCAAGCATATTCAGGCCATATTTCTTGACACTGAAAGTCTGTCAGCCACAGTGTTTCCTGTCCATTGGAGAAATGCCCTCGTGTGGCCTCACGCTGTAAAATCGTCCGCTGGATATACCCCTCGTTGAAACCTGGAGGACAGTCCAATTAGCCTCATCGTCCATTGCCCTGGCCTGCCCGAGCCAGTTGGTTCCGGTTCAGTTCCATACGTACAAAATGGAATGGATGGAATATTCAAACTGAGGAGATCAGCAACAGTCCACCGGCTCACTGGCAAGCCCACTCACAAATTCTGCTACCAGTTTCGAAGATCCTAAATCGGAAATGTTAGAGCTTGAATTCATTTTTAAAATGCAGGGTGATTGGGCTGTTCAGACAGACTCACCCTTCAACGATAACTTGTGCACTTTTGACTTATCTTTTTGCGTAGACATTTTGACCAGATAGGTATTCCGTATGTATATCAGAGAGATTGAATCCACAGATATCTATGCAGTTCCTCATGCTGTTGAGCTGTTCATAAGACGAATGTAAGAGTCTTCTCGAGTTGTTGAACTTTACCTTGTTTACATTTTAGCATGTCGCTGCGGCAATGGCGGACACGTGACTTGAGTCTCGGCCCGCGATTCTCGAGTCCAAGAAACGGAAATTGTCCAACGACACACACAATTTAATTCAAACCAGTTCAACTCTACGTCCAGCATACAACTTATTACTCCCCTACAGGCTGCGGAGGATACTGAAGTCTGACACCGATACCCCCGACGCCAATGCAGATATCCCAATGCGAGGATGTCTGCAGACAGTCAGATGGCTGACTTCAGCATGGCAGCGGCCGCGGTCGTATTCCCCGCTATCTAGAGCTGCTCCATGTCGGTTCTTCAACGTCTCTATTCCCCGCAATGCGCAAAGCAGGAAGCCAGTCTCAGAGCTGGAACGGCGCATCGCAGCCATTTCCATCGACCGGTTCCGAAACTTCTGCATCGTTGCGCACGTTGACCACGGCAAGAGCACTCTGTCTGACCGACTCCTCGAACTTACAGGCACCATCCAACCTGGGGGAAATAAGCAAGTTCTAGATAAGTTGGATGTCGAACGAGAGCGGGGTATTACCGTCAAGGCTCAAACTTGCACCATGCTTTACAATTACAGGGGCGAAGACTACCTGCTACATCTAGTCGATACTCCTGGTCATGTTGATTTCCGGGCTGAGGTGTCCCGGAGTTATGCAAGTTGCGGAGGGGCGCTGCTCCTCGTAGATGCCAGCCAGGGTGTCCAAGCTCAGACGGTAGCGAACTTTTATCTTGCCTTTGCTGAGGGCCTCAAGTTAGTGCCGGTCATAAACAAGGTGGATTTGCCATCCGCAGACCCGGATCGTGCCTTAGAGCAAATGGCAAACACTTTCGAGTTGGACCCCAAATCTGCAGTGCTTGTATCGGCAAAAACCGGTCTAAATGTAGAACAGCTTTTACCGACTGTTGTCGAACAGATTCCTGCGTGCGTTCTTTACTTTTAAACCCAATCTTGTAAATCGTTCTCGTGTGCTGACAATGTGTTAGGCCTGTCGGGGACCATACGAAACCACTGAGAATGCTTCTTGTTGACTCATGGTACTCGACCTACAAAGGAGTGATTCTCCTTGTTCGTATATTTGATGGGGAGGTAAGAGCAGGGGATCACGTTGGATCATTGGCGACCGGGCTGAAGTATCATGTTGGCGAAGTTGGCATCATGTACCCCGGACAAACTGCTCAATCGGTCCTCCGGGCTGGGCAAGTTGGATATATTTACTTCAATCCCGCCATGAAGCGCAGTCAGGAAGCTAAAGTGGGTGACACCTATACAAAAGTTGGCTCAGAGAAACTAATCGAACCACTCCCGGGATTCGAAGAGCCCAAATCTATGGTGTTCGTCGCTGCATACCCTGTAGATGCTAGCGATTTCCCTCACCTTGAAGATAGCATTAATCAACTGCTCTTGAACGATCGCAGCATCACATTACAGAAAGAGTCATCCGAAGCATTGGGCGCGGGCTTTCGACTTGGCTTTCTTGGGACTCTCCATTGCTCCGTTTTCGAAGATCGCCTAAGGCAGGAACATGGCGCGAGTATCATTATCACACCACCCACTGTTCCCTTTAAAGTTATATGGAAAGATGGAAAGGAAGAAATCATCACAAATCCCGCCCTTTTCCCAGAAGAAGACGCACTTCGTGCAAAAGTTGTTGAATTGCAGGAACCTTTCGTTCTTGCCACCCTCACATTCCCTGAAGAATACCTCGGAAGAGTCATCGAACTCTGCGAGTCTAATCGAGGGGAGCAAAAGAGCCTTGAATTCTTCACTGCAACCCAGGTGATTCTTAAATACGAATTACCCCTTGCTCAGCTAGTCGATGATTTCTTTGGCAAGCTCAAAGGATCCACCAAGGGCTACGCCAGCCTGGACTATGAGGAATCCGGCTGGCGACGCAGCAGTATTGCCAAGCTCCAACTGCTTGTTAACAAAGTACCTGTTGACGCAGTGTCCCGGGTTGTGCATTCCAGTCAGGCGCAGAAACTTGGGCGACTGTGGGTCAGCAAGTTCAAGGAGCACGTTGACCGACAAATGTTTGAAGTGGTGATCCAGGCCGCTGTAGGGCGGAACATTGTTGCGAGAGAGACGATTAAGCCATTTAGAAAGGACGTGTTGCAGAAGCTGCATGCTGCCGATGTTACGCGACGGAGGAAACTTTTGGAGAAGCAAAAGGAGGGAAGAAAGAAGCTCAAGGCTGTTGGCAACGTGGTGATTGAACATAAGGCATTCCAGGCCTTTTTGGCCAAATGACTGTTTTTTTTTTATTATCTTCTGCGATGTACGATAGCTAGGGATCTAGATACACTCTATATTGCCCATTCTGTGTAGACCATTTCTGGGATTTATAGTTTGATTTGGTTACTATATTCCACCAAGAAATTACCGGGGCTATCTTTGATATATCCTGCTTGATTTGATTAAAAAAAACAATCTGAAATTACATATTGATTTCAAGAATTCAAGACAAATTATATAGGTCTTCAATTGGAGGTGTTTGATTGATTAATACTTCAAAGTTATCCCGGGCCTGAAATAAGGAGGGTTTTCGTCGCCAACCCCGCTATCGACGAAATGTTTTAAGGCGAATCCATGGATGACTTCAACTCGACTCAACGTCACTCAATAAAATCAGTCATGACAAACCAACACACTTCTCCCGCTCTAACCACACCCGAAAAATAACTTGTTCTACCATCATCCGACTCATCGAGCACAAATCCGTCGTATCGAAGTTTTAACATTTATTATAAGTTATCCATTGCGCCGTTTTCGAGCGGAGCTTCCGTCCCTCTAGTTCCACCATCACGCTTCATCTTCTCAGAAAGCGACCATGAAAACTTCGTGATACCAGGGCCATGCAGTCCGCAGAGGCTGCACAGATCGACCTGGGTAAAGCCCAGGTCATGGATCGCATACCAAAAATTATCAAGGAGATCAAATTTGGAGTTCTGTAAGTGCGCCTCTTATTGGAACTACAGGAAAGATAAAAAGTTACACGGGAGGGCAAGAGAAGGGCGTGAAAGAGGAGAAAAGTAGAAAATATTTTAAAAACAAAGAGTATGACTGCTAAACACATCATTCCAATTCCAACAGCTCAACCCAGGATATCGTGAGCCAAGCCGTTGTCGAAGTTTCGGATAGGAAGCTCTTCGATCTCGAAAAAGACCGTGCCATCGTACCCCACGGTCCTCTCGATGGCCGCATGGGGATCTCCAGCAAATCGGGCACTTGCGATACTTGTGGCGGAGGGCTGCAAATATGCAGCGGACATTTTGGGCATGTGAGGTTGGTCTTGCCAGCTTTTCATGTGGGCTACTTCAAACTGGTTATTAGCATTCTTCAGGAGATATGCAAGGTCAGTGGTTGTTTTGGATGTTTCATGTAATTGTTTTATGATGTATATTATTTTATTTTCGATTGGAGATATTTTGTTTTGACTAATACCTGCTTCTTCTCTGCCCGCATTAGGATTGCTCGCATATCCTCCTACCCGAACCAGAGCGGCGGTCGTTTCTAAAAGAACTTCGCAGACCTGGAATCGATAACCTCCGACGCATGCAGATTGTGAAAAAGATCAACGAGAGATGCCGAAAGACACGGACATGCTACAACTGCAATGCCATCAACGGCGTGGTGAAGAAAGCTGGAACCAGCGCTTTGAAAATCTCACACGAGAAATTCAGGGCCTTCAACACATCAACGTCGGTGAAGAAGGTACCCCCACCTAGCAAAATTTTCTTCGATAAGTCGTTTGAGGAAGCGAAGAAGAGCAATCCGGAGATCGAGAAACATTTTAAAAAGGCGCATGATGATCTCCATCCGCTCCGTGTGCTGAAGCTGTTCCGTCGCATTTCGAACGAAGATTGCGAGCTACTCGGTCTGAACCCTGCGGAAGCTAGACCTGAGGTGTTTCTGTGGCAATATATTCCCGCTCCGCCTGTGTGCATTAGGCCGTCGGTAGGACAGGAGGCTGCTAGCACTGAAGACGATCTGACTGCAAAACTGGGGGATATTATTCAGAGCAATATGAATCTGAAAAACGCGTTGAACAAAGGCGCCCCTGTTCAAACCATCATCGAATGCTGGGATCACATGCAGTTACAGCTTGCAGTGTACATCAATAGTGACGTTCCGGGTCTGCAAAAGGCCGATTTTGGAAAGCCGATTCGAGGTTTTTGTCAACGACTTAAAGGAAAACAGGGGCGATTCCGTGGAAACCTCTCGGGGAAACGTGTTGATTTTTCTAGCAGAACTGTCATATCTCCCGATCCCAATCTCCGGATCGATGAGGTTGCAGTGCCCATTCTAGTTGCTATGAACATGACTTACCCGGAGCAGGTTACGAGGTATAACAAGGACAAACTGCGACAGTGTGTTCGCAACGGTACAAAGACCTGGCCAGGTGCGAATTATGTTCTCAAGAAGAGCCAAAATTTTAAAATGAACCTGAAGTTCGGTAACCCAAACCTGATTGCGAATGAGCTGGAGGAGGGAGATATTGTCGAACGCCATATTGAGGACGGAGATATTGTTTTGTTCAACCGACAACCTTCTCTGCATAAGCTCAGTATTTTATCACATTTTGTCAAAGTCAGACCACACAGGACATTTCGTCTTAACGAGTGCGTATGCAACCCTTACAACGCAGATTTTGACGGAGACGAAATGAACCTACACGTGCCGCAGACAGAAGAGGCGAGGGCGGAAGCGATGGAGTTAATGGGAGTGAAGAATAACCTGGTTACCCCCAAAAACGGCGAACCCATCATTTCTGCTATTCAGGATTTCATCACTGCTGCCTACATGCTAAGCAGTAAGAATGTTTTCTACGATCGCAAAACCTTCACGCAAGTTTGCCTGTACATGCTGTTACCTGGCACCAGATTTGACCTCCCTCCTCCTTCAATCCTGAAGCCTCAGATGTTATGGACGGGAAAACAAGTTTTCAACATATTGATGCGACCCAATAAGGATTCTCCAGTCCTAGTCAATTTAGACGCCGCCTGTCGAGAATTCAAAGCTCCCAAAGGAACACCTCGCGACCTAGATGCTAATGATCGCTGGCTCTGCATTCGGAACTCAGAAGTCATGTGTGGTGTCATGGATAAATATACGATTGGGTCCGGCAAAAAGGATTCCGTATTTTACGTCATGCTTCGAGATTACGGACCTGCTATTGCGGCTGAGGGGATGAACCGTCTCTCAAGGCTATGTGCCAGATGGATCACGGACCTCGGTTTCTCGATCGGAATCACTGACGTATATCCAGGCGACCGACTATTGGAAGAGAAGAAAGAACTGGTAGAGCATGCATATGTGCAGTGCGATGAGGTGATTCAAAAATTCAAATCTGGAAATCTTGAAAAGGCCCCAGGGTGCGACGAGCAGATGACTATGGAGAACATAATATCAGGTATTCTCAGTAAAGTTCGTCAGCAAGCTGGTGACCTCTGTATTTCGGAACTAAGCAGATGGAACACTCCCTTGATAATGGCCACTTCTGGATCCAAGGGTTCGAACATCAACGTCGCCCAGATGGTTGCGCTCGTCGGTCAGCAGATTATTGGAGGTCAGCGAGTTCAGGATGGATTTCAAGATCGAACGCTGCCTCACTTTCCCAAGCATGCTCGCCAGCCTCCGGCGAAAGGTTTCGTGCAGAACAGCTTCTTTTCTGGCTTGAGTCCGACAGAGTTTCTCTTCCATGCTATTTCTGGAAGAGAAGGTCTCGTTGATACAGCCGTTAAGACTGCAGAGACTGGTTACATGTCCCGTCGGTTAATGAAATCACTTGAGGATCTGTCAACGCGATACGACGGAACTGTCAGAAACTCGTCTTCGAGCATCGTTCAGTTCCAATACGGTGATGATAAATTAGATCCCGTTGATATGGAGGGCAACGCTAGGCCAGTTAACTTTGACCGGACTTTTACTCACTCCGAAGTGACTACTTTCGATAACTCTGACAAGGGCCTTCTTCCGGATGAAATCATGACGCTATGCCAAAGCCTGCTTGCCAAAGAACGGGCTAGACTTAATAGATATGACTTGATGGGCAATCGTTTAGATTATATGGATCGAAGCGATAATGGCATTGACCAGCTGGAAAGTGCCCGAGATTATCTTCAGTCCATTGAGGATTATATAAGTTCCAAGGCTGAAAAGCTGAGGTCGATTGACGGAGGAAACAATGGCCAGGGAAGAGGAAGAGGTATCAATCACACAGCCAAAATATCGGCCAGGACACTCGCCGCGTTCATCACCTCGTGTCTGGTCAAGTATAAGAAGGCTCAAGTTGAACCTGGCCATGCTGTTGGTGCTGTTGGTGCACAGTCGATTGGAGAGCCAGGAACGCAGATGACCCTGAAAACTTTCCATTTCGCTGGTGTTGCCGGTATGAGCATCACTCAGGGTGTACCTCGTATCAAGGAAATCATCAACGCCTCCAAGGAAATCAGTACACCAGTCATCACCTGTCAGCTTGTGAATAAAGGGGATCTTCGCGCTGCACAGATTGTCAAAGGTCGAGTTGAGAAGACATTTATGCGAGATGTCATTTATTATATCGAGGAAGATTGGACGGGGAACGACGCATATATCAACATCAAAATTGACTTCTCTACCATTCAAAACCTACAGCTCGAACTGGGTCTACAAGATATCCTCGCAGCCATAAAGAAACACAAACGATTCAAATCCGCTGATCTAAAATTCCGGTCGTTCGGCTCGCACATCCACATCTTTGTCGATCAGCAAGCCACCCGAACCGCCCTCTCCAAATCCGAAGAGGCCGCTACTGGTGCTGATCCCTACATTCGCCTCAAGCACCTCAAACGCCTCATCCCCACCATCCAGGTTCTCGGGCACCCCCAGTGCTCCCGAGCTATTATCCGCACGGACGAAACATGCACCACCAACACACTCCTTGTCGAAGGCTACGGCCTGCGTGACTGCATGACCACCGACGGCATAGACGGCCGTAACACCCGCACCAACAACATCATGGAAACCCGTTTGGTTCTCGGCATCGAGGCAGCGCGAACGACCATCGTCGAAGAAATCGGCGAAGTCATGAAAGACATGGCTATCGACCCGCGGCACATGCAACTGCTCGCAGACGTCATGACCTACAAGGGTGAGGTGCTGGGCATTACGCGCTTCGGGCTTGCCAAGATGCGGGACTCCGTGCTGCAACTTGCCAGTTTCGAAAAGACGGCAGATCACCTGTTCGACGCTGGTGGGGCGGGGAGGACGGATCTTATTGAGGGTGTGTCAGAATGTATTATTGTAGGAAAGGGCATCTCGCTGGGAACGGGGTCGATGGAAGTGATTCGGGCGCTGAATTTCAGTGAGGGCCAGATTGGACCACGGAAGACGGTGTTCGAGGATGCGTGGGGGGAGCTTTGTGAGGGGCGGCGGTCCGGTGCTAACGCAGGGGCCGGGAAGGGAGCGCAGGCGAGCGCGGGGAAGAGAAAAAGGGAAGAATAAGTATGGAGAATGGAAATAACCCGCTGTGCGTTGCGAGGACAAGCAAATTTTTTATGTGTCATATACCAAACACCATCTCTGGCAAAACAATGATTTATTTGCATTTTGATATTACAGGTGTATATATATATTCGATGCTCGAAAGACGGGAGAAATGTTGCGAAAGAAACCATTCTTAATTCTGGGATTCTTTGACCAGGTCCCGGAGCTCCTGCGTTGGTTGTCCTGACTCGAGCTTTTCGACTGCAATCTCTGTTGACAAAAGAACACATCCTGCCGCTGTTCTCGAAGTCAGAAGCAGCTGCAGGGCGAGTCTGACCACGCATCTAGATACAGCTGAACATTCGTATAGTTTTAACTAGTTACTTGCCGCGCCACATAGGTTTTACGCCCAATAGAAGTGGTTCCTTTCCATATCAGACGTCAACTACAGTGGTGACAACCCAATCCACAACGTGCCACCAGCATCAAACAGAGACTGGATCTGTGTAGACGAGCTCCTCAGGTTACAGGATGCGGAATCCAACAGCGTAGGAGCCAGTCAGTTTATACGCAACAAACCACCCGCAGATGCCTCGGCTCAACGGGACGCTGAGCCCAAGCAACGCGCAGATGCAGATAACTACTCAGGAACCGACTCCATTCCGACGGGGTGAGCGGGCCATTCGGGGGAAACGAACCGATGGGCGCATTCCACAGGATGCCTAAACCTTGGTTCAGAAATCGTGACATCGTAAATCCATCAAATTGCAGCATCTGGTGTGGCTACGACTGACCGTTAGGCTGTCGCCAGTGCGGATAGAGCCCGAATGGCTCCAGTAAGAAGTTAGTTACCTGGACCGAGAGCTTATAAAAGCAATGTGCAATAACTAGTTATAAAAGGACCAGCTCTGGCCGCTGTATTAAATGTCGCCTCTCTCTTCACCATCAACTAACGAGTTACTGCTTCATATATTACCAACTTGTTGCCCGTCCGATAGTTGTTCTATTACGGCAGCCTATAGTGACATTTGGGTCAAATGGGTTTTTTTGTGTTTTTCCACTGTAATTACTTAATTCCACTTATAAACACTCACCAATAGAGATTTATATGAGGATTTGTCTGTTGCAGAAACATCTCATTTCATTCTGATTAAGCTAAGAAAAAAATCAAATCAAAAAAACAATCAAAAAACAATCATTTTCCTGGATATCATCAAAAAATCAAAATGAAAAATCAAAAAAAGTGAAAAAAGTGAAAACTACTAATAACCATTTCCACGTCCTGGGATGCGACTGCCTGTCATGATTTGTCGCAACCTCTGCACCAATTTCATATCCCTTTCCTGGATGGTAACACGTTTGGCATGGATGGCGCATAGATTTGTCACTAACATCTCATTGATTAGTATAATGATTAGTAGATTAGCTTGTAAAATCCAGTCATTTCTTACTTGTGAATTCATCAATCAAAACCGCCTCTGCAGCCTCCTGCAAAGCCAGAATTGCAGATGCTTGAAATCGAAGATCACCATATATATCTGCTGCAATTTCACGGACAAGACGCTGGAATGGGAGCTTGTGAATAAGAAGCTCAACATCACGCTGATAACGGCGGATTTCACGGAGAGCAGTGGCTAAAATAATTAAATTAGATATTCAAATTCAAAAAATCTATGAATATACTTTTACTTACTGCCAGCTTTTCGACGATAGCGACGTCGAGGTTTCACATGAGCCACATGCTGTCCCGGAGGATGCTTTCCCCCCTTTCTTGCCTTGCTGGCTATATTTTTTTTTGCCCCTCTCTGTTGAACACATTTTCTTGCAGTCATTTTGGTACGAGCCATTTTTGCGTGGATTTGATGATTCTAGCTGCTTATTTACTGATTAGTATAATAACTAGTATAAAAATGAACTGTAGCTCACTTACATTGCTGAAACAAGAAGATAATTTAAAAAATTTCTGCAGGGGGGGGGGGGGGGGGAGGCGTGTAGAATGAGATGGATGAAAAGATTAAAAGATTGGAAAAGAAAAAGAGCAAAAAGATAAGATCTTTGAAGTGAGAGTGCGGTTATGTGTGCAGTTATGTGCAGTTGATGAATAACACAACAACACAAGCACGCTCAAATAGGCAATCAAGTGAACACAACAACACATCACAAAGAATATCAACATTGATTTTCAATTCTTTCAATTCTTCTTTCTCCTGTCTCACTACTTCTGCTCTGCTGCCTGCCTGCCTTTTTATTCTATCAATCATTGTATCAATCAACTATTTCCTGCGCCAGATTCTTTGTTTCCCACTTCCAAGATCAGTTTTTTTCTCATCCTATCAAAATGACACGCCGCGGACCAAAGCCTGGAGCCACAGCTGGCCAGAAACGAAAAGCTGAAGAAGAAATGTCGATTAACCCTCACACAAAAAGAGCAATGAAACGAAGGGAAAAAATGAATGAGGAGGAGGCCACTATTGAACAGGCGAAGAATGCAGATCGTGCAGCAGTAAATTATCATATTCGACAGCTGAAAAATACCGATGCATTCAGAGAGGCAAATACTGAGGATCAAAAGAAGATGATTGAGGATAAAAGAACAGAGATCATGAATAAAAGGTAGTTAACAAATCTTGAAATCTTGTTAATATAAATATTAATAGAATATAGACTTAGCACCGGGATTACAGCATCGATGCTGGAGCAGAGACAGGAAGATATCTCAAAACCAAGTGAAAAGTAAGTTCTATATTCTACTAATCATTATATTAATCATTCTAATGATTTATCACAGGCTTGCCGCATGGAATCATTTGTTAGATTCTGAGGACACCATGCAAGAAGTGAAATGGCGGCTGGAAGATGAAAAACGGTTTGGTAAAGAAAATATGCCAACTGAGGAAGATTCCCGGGCTGCGTATGAGGAAGGGGTGAAACTGATGAAAAAAGGAGGAAGTCTTGCTGCTGTTTTATACAAGCAGTGGATTCTCTCATGGAAAGATATCAGCAATTCTCTTTTTCAAAAATTCCGACATCATTCTTTCAACAATACTGCCAGTCATCATCGATTTTTAAAAAAAATTTCAAATCAGGAGCTTTCTGTTTTGAAAATGCTGCTTTGTGCAGAACAAATTGACTCAAATTTGGCAAAGAGATGGTGGAGTGAGCAAAAGACTGAAGATTCAGAAAAGGATATTGATGCTCGTAAACAGGCTCATAGAGCCTTGAAAGAGGAAATGACTCCAGAGGAATTTATGCAAATGAGATGGAGCCCGGATGAGTGCATGCTTTTTAAGTCTGAAAGTTGATTTTTTTTTTTTTTGTTTTTATGATTATAGCAATCATTCTACTAATCTGTTTTTTGTTGAAAATTTTTTTTATATTAAAGCAAGCTAACTTAGTTAGTTTAGTACATTATCTGTTTGTTTTGATTTTCTTATTTACTTTTTTTATGATGTTATAATATTATCAATTTTTCATTCATTCATTCATTCTTTCTTTCTTTCTTTATTTCTTTATTTTAGAATGATGAATACTTTTTCTTTCACTTTCTTTTAAAATGCCTCCATCTGGTTATTCATATCTTCTTTCTCACAAAGATCTTATTATTAATCTTCATCAACACAATCTAACTCAACAAGATATTATCTCTCAATTGAAACGAGATCATAATCTTGAAGTTAGTCGATCAACTCTTGTTCGTTGTCTTCGAAAATGGAATGTTAGAAAAACCAAGAAATGGGAAGCTGATGAATCAATTCACAATCTTATTCAAGAATTGTTTTCACGAGGCTTGCAGGATGCTGATATTCTATCAGTTATTCAACAAAAGCATCCTGAGTCTCAACTCTCTATACGTGAGCTTCGTCAAATTCGGCAGCAATTGAAACTTCATCAGCGAAGAGATGACTATGAGAGTGATGAGATGCAGAAAGAGCTTATATCTACTGTACAGAAAGAGCTTGACAGTGGATTTATTCAGGGTTTTGGAAGAGGACATCTGTACACCCATTTTAGGCAGCAGGGGCATAGCATTTCACGGTATGTTTTGATTAATATAATGATTAGTATAATACTAATAAAATCAGAGATCGTCTATTCAAAACAGTTCGGCTTCTCGATCCAGATGGAATTACACGTCGGCTAAATGATCTCCAACGTCACCGAGGATCCTACATTGTTCCCGGACCAAATTATCTTTGGTCTATTGATGGTTATTGCAAGCTTCAACATTGGGGAATCGAAATCTATGCAGCAATTGATGCATATTCTCGATATATAGTGTGGATATATATTGGAATCACAAACCGTACTGCTGTTTCTGTTCTTCGACAATTTCTTGATGTTCTACAAGCAACCGATACTTTTCCTCAGGTTATTCGTTCAGATAGAGGAACCGAAACTTCAATGATTGCAGCTGCACAACTCAAACTACATCAAGCAACTGATTCAAATACTTCTTTGAATGAGTGCTATCGATTTGGAACAAGTACACTAAATCAACGAATTGAATCTTGGTGGGGACAACTTGCAAAACAGTTGGCAAATTACTGGAGAGTATGAAATTCCATATTCTTTCTACTAATTATTATACTAATCTTTATGCTAATCTTCTCTCAGCGCTATTTTCTGAATCTCAGTCATACAGGTCTATATCACACCAATAAATTATCTGATCGTATTGCCTTTCTCGCTGTATATATGCCAATTATTCGACAAGAGATGACAAACTATGTGAGAGTCTGGAATAATCATCGAATTCGAGCTCAACGTAAACGACCTGATGGGGTATATGGACAGCCCTGGAAGCTCTATTATCATCCTGATAATGCATTACAGCATGGCTTAAAACCAGATTCACAAGTGCTTTCAGAACTTCACATGCACTTTGAAAACTGGGGTATGTAATATCTTCATTACTAATATCTCTGTTGATCTAATATTATAGAGATACTAATACTTGACAGATATTAATGAGTATCTACCACTGGAGACAAAGAATTGGTGTCAGAATCAGATTTCAAAATTGGGATTTTCTTCTGGAAGAGTCACTGCTGCAGCTGTCAATGAACAGGGTGAACGTATACATAAGATAATATATCTTCAGCTGCGAAAACTTGTACATGATCATATAAGATTTCAACAAGTTCCTATTCTACAGGAATCTGAAAAGCCAACTGGTGCTTGGGACTGGCTGACAGAGCGATTGCAGGAGCATGAGATGAATTTTGATAATGTGATGGAAATGAAAATCTATGATGAGAATAGTGAGAATAGTGAAGATATCAAGCCTGATATCTCTGATGAGAACAGTGAGGATGTTAAGCCAGATGTATCACAGATGTAATTAGATTGAATATGAATAAGTATTCTACTAAGTATTCTACTAATATTCTCAAGAATATACTTTTTAAGTTTGTTACTATAACAATTATTCTATAAATTTTATATTGTAGTGCTACATGAATTTTGAACTAGATATATATATATATATATATATATATACAATGTATGTACACCGGACACACAGAATATATGTATTCATATACTCAAACACTCTATAACTTGAAAATTATAATCATATATAGTTATATATTCCAATCTAAAGTTATTGACAGTATTAAAATATATATCAATAAACAATTTTCTTAATTGATACAGAAATATTCTGTAGTGTGTACACTGTAACTAACTCTTTGAAGATATTTTATAATATTACTCATCATGTCTAACACTCCCAAAGCAGTTAGCTATTATACTAATCATTATACTAATCAGGTTACCGAAATCCACACACACACACACACACAATCTCTCACTCTCTTACCCTCAAAAACAGATATATATATACACACACTCAAATTTTCCTGTTCTTCTCTTTGTTGTTTATTATCATCTTGATTTACTTCACTATGTGGACACCATTCTGCCCCAATCGTCCTGGATTTTCTCATGAAGCACACTGTAATAGTGAAGCTGCCTGTCCTTATTGTGGCAAAGCCAATCCATCCACACCAAAATCCTCCATCATCTCTTCAATAAATGATGAAATCATTGTCATTGAAGATAGTCCCAGTCCTCCAGCTCTGACACCGTCACTCTCTGCCACAATTCTTGATCCTGGACCTCCTCAACGAGCACGTCAACTGGCCATTCAAAAAACACAAAAAGTTCAACAAATGACCCCCAATGCTGGTACACCAGTTCAACGTACATCACCTATAAAAGAACCTGCGATCAAACCTGAGCTGAATCAACTATCCTCCTTGCAAAAATCCTACAAAATTCTTATTCATATTTGGAAGTGTGAATACAATGATGCCAAACTACAAACACACTATAACTGGGAGTCAATTCGAAAAATTCAAAATGAAATCTACTCAGATTGTGTGTTTTTCACAATGGAGGATTTTCTAGAAATCATCACTGCCAGACTTGATACAGCCTGGAAGAATATTCTTACAGTTGTTTCTCCAGTTGATGTATTCATTTCTGCCTCAGTTACAGGAAAGGATGGTGCAGTTATGCTCACTCCTGATGTTTGGATGTTGGATTTGGAAAAGTTATTGAGTTCATTTAAGAAAGTGCACTCATCAACCTCAACAACTACAATTATTCACATTTGTCTTGTTACCTATGATGAGTCCAATCACCCCATCGAACAACTGTCGGAACCAAAGAATATCAAAGTCAAATCACCAGATATCAAAGTCAAAGAAGAGAATACCTCCGTATCAGTGATCAAACGCGAACGTGCTTTCTCAGTTGATTTACCCATTCTAAATCTTATCCAACGAAGACGGCCGTCCCCAATCCCTACAAAATCTGAAGACAAAGTTAATGAATTGAAGACAATGAAGCTTGAAAAGGATCTATTGTTCAAGTGGGAGAAGCTGGAATCAGAGACAGAGGAGGAAAATATAAAGAAGGAGATGGAAAACACTGTGACAGAGATGGAAAAGAGTCATTCTGATGAAATTGAAACACAATCAAACTATCTTGACCCACCTGCAAATGGGACAAGATTTCGGCATCAGCGTCGAGAGTGATTGATAGAATGATTGATAGATTCTTTTGACCTCAGAGTTGAGGGTGATTAGTAGAATGTTTGATAGATTTTAGTATGCGCTGTAAAGATTGATACTAATGTGAAGAATTATTTTGCTAGCTATTATTCTCATAATAAGTCTTATTTCTCACAGATCTATTCTTGCCCCTATTCTTACCCCTATTCTTACCCCTATTCTCACCCCTATTCTTGTCACTCATGTAATCAATAGAGTTAGTGTGCCTTGATCACAAAATTTTCTTACACAGAGGAGCTATAATCAACAAGCTCTATTTGATTACAAATTAAATGAATATGATTGGTGCGTGTTCATGGTAACACTAGTATAAAAACCATCAAAAAAACCCATTTGACCCAAATGTCACTATAGGCTGCCGTATCTATCCAACCCCCCGCAGTCGACTGTAGATAGAGAGACACCTGAACCATGGCCCCCGACATCCCCTCCTACCAGTACTTCAACGTCGCTTTCCCGCAGGAATATGTCGCCCACGTCGAAACCAACAGGCCGAAGAAGTTGAACGCCTATTTTGAGCCGTATTCCCTCCCCCGTTCCCCTCCCCTCTTCTCCCCTCTTCTCCGCTCTTCTCCGCCCCTCCCCTGTACCACAGCCCTCAATTAACCCTACGCAAAAATGACAGCATGTGGCTCGAACTGCGCACCATCATAAACACCCTCTCCACCTCCCCCGACGTCCGCTCCATCATCTTCACCGGCGCCGGCCCAGCCTTCACCGCAGGGCTGGACGTAAAAGCCGCCTCGGAGGGCATGCTCGGTCCCAAGGCTGCAGACAAGGGCGTCGACCCGGCCCGCACCGCCACCCGTCTCCGGCGCCACATCGCCGAATTCCAAGACTGCATCTCCGCCCTCGAACGCTGCGAGAAGCCCGTCGTCATAATCCTGCACGGCATCTCCTACGGGCTCGCCGTGGACATGGCCGCGGCGGCAGACGTGCGCCTCTGCTCCGCCGACACCAAGATCGCCGTCAAGGAGGTTGATATCGGGCTTGCGGCGGATATCGGGACGCTGTCGCGGCTTGGCAAAATTGTGGGCGCGTTCGGGTGGGTGAAGGAGGTGTGCATGACGGCGCGGGTGTTTGGGGCCGAGGAGGCGCGGCGCGTCGGGTTTGTGAACGAGGTGTTTGAGACGAAGGAGGCGGCGGTCAAGGCTGGGGTGGAGATGGCCGGGCTGATGGCGCGCAAGAGCCCCGTGGCGGTGCAGGGGACGAAGGAGATGCTGAATTGGTCGCGGGACCATTCCGTGCAGGACGGTAGGTTCATGAATTAGATGTGGTGGTGTGGATAATGAGGTGGTTGGGTTTTGAGGACGCGAACGTGCTAACGTCGGGCGTCTCGATAGGCCTGCGATATACCGGCGTGTGGAACAGCGCTTCCCTGCAGACGAGCGATATCCAGCGGGCTCTGCTCTCCGGACTGGAGAAGCGCACCCCGACATTCGAGAAGCTGTGAGTCCAGGTCGGGACGGCTGTGTAGCTTCCGACGTATATATATTCCACATCTACGCTTTTATGTCTGTATATATATATATACTTCGGATCGCAGATGCATTCCTCAGTTAACTGGGTTGAACTGGAAGGCATCCATCTCTATATACATCTTGCTGGAATAGTTGCATGCAGATCCCCACCCACGGATCATGTATGTAAATGCACTGAACGTGCATGCATGGGTGAGTCGTGAAAAGGCACAAAGTACTTCCTCACATGTATATAACTTACGACATCCGTACATAATTTAAAACTTTCACAATCCCATATATGTCCAAATTAGAACCTGTATACCCATATCCAAAAGCAAAAAAAGGCAGGTCCATGAGGTGACATTAATAGAGCGCGTCTTACTACGCGGAAAAGTTTGAAAAATTCAAAACCACCACAAGAGACAAACTAAAAACAACCGAGAAATCAAAACACAAGAGACGTATATGTAGTCATTCATCCCACCGTTTCATGATATATAGGTATGCATAGCTATCATTCCATTCCCTATGCGCCACTTTGATGCCAGACAAAGATTCTTTTCAGGGGAAGAAAAATAGTGAAAAAGGGTCAATTCTCAATGCGTCGATGGGAAAACTGGGCGGAAAAGTTGGACCTCCCTAAACACAATTCAATGAATCATCACACCATCACCATCAATTCAGAAATTGCAAAGCAGCCAAAAAGATAAAGGAAAGAAAAAGAAAAGACAAATATCATAACCCTAGACACCCCTCTTCAACACCCCTCCTCCTACCCCGCCCTCTCCCTCTCCTTCTCCCGAGCCACCTCCTCCAAAACCGCCCTAACACAGCCCCTCCTCCCAACCCTCTGATAGTAGCCCATCAGCGCCGGAAACCGGCTCTCATCCAACATCCCAACCTCCATAATAATATCCCTAACAACCGGCCAGAGCGCGCAATCCTCAATCCCAAAGAACTGGCCCGCATAAAACGCCTTGTGGCGCAGAATAACCTCAAAGCCGTCCATCTGGCGCAGGACACTGTGCGGGGTTTTCAGCTTCTGGAACCGGCGCCAGGAGCGGAGCAAGTCGTCCGTTTCACGCAGTTTGTCATGCAGGGATGGGGCCTGTTTGTGCTCTGGTTTCTGCTGCTGCTGCTTCTGCTGCTGTCGCTGCTGTCGTTGCGACTGCTTCTTTTCGACGCGCGCTTTGCCAGCGCCAGGACTCGGACGCGGACTCGGACTCGGACTCGGACTCGGACTCGGACTCGGGCTCGGGCTCGGACTCTTCGACTGCCTCTGCTCCTCAGTCTTCTCCAAGCCCTTCAACCTCGCCACATGAAGCAAAATACTCTCATCACCCGCAATGCACGTCGCGCCGTCGACATCCATATAAACCGGCCTCGCCCCGCGACTCTCACTCCGATGCGGGAGCGACAGCGTCCCCCTCAACGCCGCCGGAAACTCGTCAACACCCACAACCTCAAAGCGCACCCCATTCTCCACAAAGCACAACCGCACCCTCAGGTCCGCCACCTCATCCCCGCAGCGCAACAGCTTCCCCACCAACACCGTGGAGAAGTTGACAACATCAAACCCGCGCCCATAATGGCCCTCCCAATCGAAGTCGCTCTGCTGGTTCTCCTGCCCAAATGCCCTGATCATCCGTTCCGTCTCCGCAGCCTCGCCATGCACGATTTGGCCGGCCGATTGCTTGGTTTTGGAAATCGCCCCCTGGCCCCAGATGGTGTCTGCGTCCGGGTTGATGAAGGTGGCGATGTGGCGGAAGGTGAGGGAGATGCGCTCGCCGCCGAAGGCGAGTTCTTCTGGCAGCTTTGCGGCGGCGGGCCGTTTGTCGGCGCGGATGGCGTGGAGCCAGCGCATGTTTGTCTTCTCGCCGAGGATGAAGAGGGAGTTGTGTGGCAAGGGGACCTTTTGGGTTCGGCGGGTTGATGCCCCGGAGGTTCCTTTGCCCTTTGAAGCTCTACCGCCAGCGTCAGTATCCGCATCCGCATCCGCGTCCGTATCAGCACCAGCACCAGCACCAGCTCCAGCTCCAGCATCAGCAACAGCAACAGCAGCTCCACCCCTCGCATTCGCCGAAGGTTTAGTCCGCAGCGTCATCGTCCTCTGCGCCCCGAGGCTGACATTGCAGATATAAGAGCCCCGCTGAATATCGAGCGTTTTATCCGAATGTTCCGAAATCCGATCCTGGCCATCCCGATACAGCTGAATGAGAACATGATTAAGCGGGTGCCCAAGCAGCTTCTCGACGACCCGTCGCACCGCATTGACAGTTTTCGAGAACGGCAAGAGGGCCGGCGACTCGTCTGCCGGGTGCCTGTAGACGGGGACCGAATTGTCCAGCTGCATTGCGCCCTGGACGCCTACCAGCCGCGGCACCTGGCCGGACATATGGTACATTTTCTGCCAGTTAACCTCGTCGCGGAGCAGGTCGAAGGTTTTGGGGGGTAGAGGTAGATCGTAGAGGATGCGGGAGTCGCCCTCGCCTATTCTGTCATTGGGGCCGAGGAGGGTGTTTTGGGCTCGTGTGCTTCTTCTAGGCCGTGTTATACCACGGGAAGAAGGATCGGCTGGCGAGGTGGTGGTGTCGAGCGGTTGCCTCCGCGACCGAAGCTGGGATTGGGATTGGGATTGGGGTTGGGGTTGCGATTGGGATTGCGGTTGGTCGGTGGACTGATTTGTCTCATCGTGGGAGACTGACCTTCGGGGCCTTCTCATGCGCGCACGATTGGGTTTCAGTCTGAGAGCCGCAGGGGTAGACGCGGCGGCACAGGGGTGGGAAGAATCCTGGGATCGGGATGCGGCCCGCCGTATATGAGGCCTTCGTAAATGATCGTCTTCAACCGTTTCGTCTTCAGACTCCAGGGTAGTGACGCGCGCATCAGCCAGGGAGGCGGAGGGGGTGTGCCCTCTGCCACCCCTGGGCGTCGACCGGGTGGATTGCCGGGGAGATTTGACCGCGAGGATATCCATGTCCGCCTCGATTCCCACGGGGGTGGAGGGGGTGGATTGCTCCGGCCACTGCTCCGGAGGCGCAGCTGCCTCCTCCCAATCCTGCTCCTCGGTCAACTCCTTGCTCGTAATGCCATTGGCTCCCATCATGTCTGCCATGCGCCTCATGGCCTCTTCATGGCGCGAAAAGCTTCTAAAGCCCAGACAGTCCTCGACAAGCGTAACGTCCAAGCCATGCGAAACCGCATCGAGCGCCGTGGCGTAAACCGAGACATTAGACAGCGAGCCGCAGATGTAGAGTTCCCTGATGAACTGCGTGCGGAAGGAGAGGAGGAGGTCATCCGATTGGAAAGCAGAGTAATCGGATTTTACCAGCACGGTGTCCCGCTCGTGGTCGATGGCCGAGAGGATGGGTGCGGGGAACTGGCAGCCGACCGACTTTGGCAGACAGCAGCGGCGCGGGCCGCCACCGCCGCCGTCTCCGGTCTTATTAATAATAGCGGGGAGGGACAGAAAGGCCTCCGGATCCTCCGAGTACAGCGAAGGCTGCTCACGGCGCGAATTCGCCGCCGTCTTCTTCCCCCGTATCCTCCGCAGAACAGGACTTTTCGCAGCCGGCCGACCATTTACCGCACCATTGGCACCGCCATCGTTGCCATCGCCGCCATCATCCAGTGCACCCTCACTGCTGCTGCTGCTGCTGCTGCTGCTGCTGCTACTACTATTGCCATCACCAGCGGGCGGCGGCATTTTATCCACGACGACCATCTCCCCGCCGCGGTCCGGGTTGAAGACGGGGCGTCTCTGCTCGAACTGCGTCTGGACCCAGACGACATTGCCTGTTTCGCGGAAGCGCTGGGCAAGCAGGGTGACGGTGTCGAGGAAGTCCGGGACATTGCGGACGAAGAGGGCGCCGTCTGGTTTGACGAAGTCGTTTTGGAGGTCGAGGATCATGAGGGCCTTGCGGCTGGGGAGGTTGGGGAGGAATTGGGTTAGGAAGGTTGAGGGGAACATGGAGGGCGGTTGGGGGGGTGGCATCTTGGGGTGTGTGGGTGTGTGTGTGTCCAGATGGGGGTTCTTTTCCAGTGAAGGGGGATGGATTCTTTTTTTTTATTATTATTATTATTATTTTTTATTATTATTATTTTTTTTATTTTTATTTTTTTATTTATTTATTTATTTATTTGTTTTTTTTTTTTTTTTTTTAAAAAAAAAAAAAAAAAAAAATCTGTTTTTGGCTTCTATGGGTCTTGGATGGGCAGCCAGCAGCCCGTATGCATGGTTGGTGGTGGTATATTGGCTTTGCGTCAATCAGCTGTACTGCGTACTGGCGATAAGCGTAGGTATTATATGTAGTTCGCAGGCTCTCCAGCAGCCCGGCCGAGGGGGAGCTTCGCGATGTGTCGAAAAGCACGAGAGCAAAGAGTGGAGCAGCGCAGAGAAGAGCTCCAGCGAGGCCGGTCTCAATATATAGACATGAGAGGAGTAACCGGGTCTGAGGAGTAACCGGGTCTGAGGCTGTCACAATAGACGATACGGTGTGGAGGGATGGACGGGCGGGATCGATGAAAGGCCCCGAGCAGTGGCCAGCAGCAGTATTTATCCAGTCGACCTGTCGGTTTTCTTTCCCTTCCGCTGCTGCTGCGTCTTGGGAGCGAGAAAAAGAAACGAAAACGGGGGCTTGCTTAGCATAATCTCATCCTAACCAGGTCCTGCGGGGGTTGGAGTCAGTCAGTAATTCGGCCAGCAATCCAGCAATCCAGCACTTCAGCACTTCAGCAATAGCAATTCGATCAGCAATTCGATCAGCAATTCGATCAGTAATCCGGCCAGTAATCCGGCCAGTAATTCAGTAATCCAGTAATCAGCATCGTCGTGTGGAGGGCCTCACGTCCACCCCAGGGTGTTACACCCAACCCCCCCGCTAAGCCCAGTAACAGGCCGAAACGGGTGTTCAATGGGCGGTTGGTGGTATTTGGGGCTGGCCAAAGTCTAAGCGGGATTGGGTTGGACCACGGCAGCGCCAGACAAAGAAAAGAAGAGCGAACGCAGAGAGAGGGGGGGAGAGGGACAGAGGTGGAGAGAGGTGGAGAGAGAGGGGGAGAGAGAGAGAGAGAGGGAGAGACACGGTAGAGACACGGTAGAGACACGGTAGAGGTGGAGGTGGCAGACAGAAAAGACAAAAGTAGACAGAGGCAGACAGATGCAGCCAAGGTGGACAAGGGAGAGAGACAGGGTAGAGGAACAGGAAGCAAAAGCAAAGGCGCGGGATAGCTCTCAATCGCCGGTTGCAGCCAGGTAGGTTCAATGCTATTGATGCAATGCAGCAGTTCTATCATCAGCGTCTTGTCTGTCTGTCTGTATGTCTGTATGTATGTCTGTATGTATGTCTGTCTGTATGTCTGTATGTATGTATGTCTGTCTGTCTGTCTGTCTGTCTGTATGTAACCAGACGTGGAACTGGATATATACATGTCCCTTCCAGCACATATCCTACTACCAGTCTTACAGGCATCCTGGGTTGACTGCCGGAAAGCCCTTCTGCACGCCCTGGATCAACGGCAACAGCCATAACTGCACACACAACGACATCATCCCCCCCCCCCCCCCCCCCCCCCAAAATAAATTGTAGAATACAAAAGACAATCCAAGAAACTAAACTGGGATTAGGTTTTCTCGCCGCCCGCCATCGGATTCCCAAATGTCAGCCTGGGCCCGTCACTGGCTGCCAGGCCGGGTGGCGGTATGGCGGTATGCCACTTGGGCCTCCGTGCGCGCGGGGGTCGGCTGGAGTCACTCTGCTGCCTCCCAGCCTGCAGGTGCTGCGCTGTAGGGATTTGCATGATCAGCACAGGGTCTAGCACGAAGAAGAAGAAGAAGAAGAAGAAGAAGAAGAAGAAGAAGAAGAAGAAGAAGAAGAATCTCCTAACATGTTTGCAGCAGAGGTTCATTTCGGTATGTTCTGTTCTCAATAGAGCATCAGCAGGTATGTTTGTATGCTCAAATGGTATGGAATGAGAAAGTTGAACCGACTGGAAACTCAGATCAGGGCACTTGTCATTCAGATAATTGTAAAGTATTTCAACTTCTTAGGACCAGTTAGAAATTGTAAATTCTTCACGCAAGTTCTGCTTCTCATTCTAAGCATCTTATGATTGCCGGGAGTTTCCTGTACAGATCTTATCATCGACTTGGCAGATATTCTTTCCAGACATAAAGACACAAGATCACACTTCCTTGTCATTTACCGCATGAGAGCTTCATCGGTCATCTACCAGACGAGTCAGTCTCTACGACTACAGTTTCAGTCAGGGTCATAGGTTGCAGCTGTGAACATCGTCTTGAGCTAGGAATACACTGCAGATTAAGCTGAAAGATCTTTCAAGAATGAATCATTGCATATTGACATAGTCCACTATCTATCATGGTCTCCATATTATACAGGCCATCTATCTATGTATTGCATTACCAGTCTCTTTTCCTCAAAAGTTCTGCAGTCCTTCTGCGTTAACTCCCATCAGTGATCCTGGGGTGAGAGTTACTATTTTTCCCTGCTTTGAACAGACACCTTCAATTCCTTCTTCTCCTTTTGAGGCTGGCTTAGCGCGAACATGGCGCTTGACAGGGACAAATGTGCTAGTGCAGCGTGAGCGCGATGTGTCCAGGCCTCGCGCAGTTGATGCACACACCCTGAGCACGCCTTTCCGCAGCGTCAGCACCGGAGATCCCAGAGACTCTGAATGGCTTCGCGGCAGTGGTGACTGTCCCATGGAATGCAAGATATGCCGCGCTGGGCTGCCAGTCCACGGCATCAGCAGACACAGCAGTGGTAGTGGTACGGGGAGTAGTTGGGATGACCCTCTGACCACAGCTCTGAATGGCCTTCACCTGGAGAAGCCTACTCTCAATCATACGGAGGCTGGTGCAGCATTCCACGTGGTTATCCGTGTCAGCCTGTGAAACCGTCTCCCTTAGGAGCTCCAGCTTGAGAGCGTTCTGGAGCATGCTTGATCTTGATTCTGTCATCCCAAAACTGTCCCTTGGCTTCCAGGATCTTCCAACCTTCCTTCCAATCTTCTGGTCGAAGATTGGAAGGAAGGTTGGAAGGGAAACCCTGCGTTGGTCTCAAGCGGAGGGAGGGAGCTTCTCCTTCGGAAGTTTCTACTCAGGGTGGAGGGAAGCTCTGTTAGATGGTTGAGTAGTGCTGGTAGCAGCAGCCAGCTGAGCTCTTAGGTCTCGAAGCTCAGTTTGAAAGGCTTCTTCGCGTGAAGCCTGCTGTTGGAGGAGTTCTTGAAGCCACACAGGTGCACCTGCTGAGGCATCTTCATGTCCCATACCGAGTTCCTTGATCGAGTCGTAGAATTCTTCGTCAATAGCGGTAGAGACGTCGGCGGTAAATCGCATAAACCGAGGTGGCCAGGGTCTTCAGACCTTTCGCTGGCGCGGCACCTCCTGTGGCTGTATTGTAGAGATGCGTTGGATCTCTTCGTCCGTGAGCAGCCCTATACCGTGTGGAGGGCTTCGGTGGAGCTAGCGCCCGAAGTCTCGGATCACTGTTGTCCTCTCCTATGACTGGAGGAATGGATGAATTCAGCGATTCCTAATGTAACGGGCTGGTCGCTGAGAACAGCTGATAACTAACGCGTATGAAAACAGAAAGGAAATCGTCAAGGAAGGAAAATGTAGGGATCAGGCTTCCTTTGTAAAGGGCGGAGCTTCAGTAGCAAGGGGCTTATGCGAGGATGATTGAGCCACCGCCTCGGTAGTTAGGGGTTGATACGACGAAGGTGGAGGCGCTGCTTCGATAGCGCCGTCTCGAGAGCGCCACTTCGATCGTACGAAGTATCATGAGGGTTAGGGCGTAGCCTTTATATGTCTACTATCGAGTGAATACAAGATTTCTGACATAAAGAAGTATCTGAGATCCTTTACTTCAGATGAAGCAGAGAGAAGTAAAGCATACATAAGAAAAGACTTTTGGAAAAGACGAGTAAATGTAGCTATTCAGAGTTTCTGAATGATGATGATAATATCACAATTTCTCTCATCTACAAGTGAGAGAGAGTGATGTTATGAAACTTGACTGTTTTTCAATATTGGCTTAAAACGTAGTATGAAAAATTGCTACCCTCTTCATAATGCAAAGATCACCCTAATTTCTCTTCATGTTAAAAGTTATATGACATTTCGTTCCGGACAGAACGTTTGATGATTTCTTAATATCATGTTGATTATCAGATGACTAAATAAATACAGTTTATTTGAAAGATGAGCTTCTTAAGATTTTTTTACTTCAACTCTTCATGAAGATTGAAATCTAAGAACTAATTTGTCTATTGCATCATATGAATTAGAGTCTAACAAGTCATATTTTGAATGTCAAGAGAGAAGCATCTCTTCTGAAATTAGAACTGTTGTGACTCTTTCTCCATCAAAGCTGTGTGTGGTCTTCTTGATTGAGCTGACTTTTTAAAAGGTGGTTCAAGACATCTGCTGTTCAAATGTGACAGTCCGACAGCAACTTTTAAGCTGCTCTGCATGTTCGAGTATGAACGCTGCCTTGGCCAGAAATAATACAGCTAAGATGATCTTTGATGAGCAGTGTTAGGGATCAGTGATCCAGGTTGAGTCTGGGATGAGAGCCTGCATCCACTCATAAATGGCCTGAGGGTCTGGGTCCCGGGCTGGATGAGTTGCTGAAAGCCTGATCATAACCTGTCGGTCTTCAGTTCCTTTGTGTGTGGGATGAGAGGCTTGTTGAACATGTCTCTTGTATGACTGGCCTACTGCAGGGATGGCTGGAGGACGCCTGTCAGAGGGTTTCCTCGACTGCTGCAACAGCAGTGTTGTAAGTCTTATCCCGACTAGGTTTTGATATAGTTAAGCAGCCTTGAATGACCCTGGTGATACTGCAGCTGAGAGCTTGCCATAGTGCAGTAGTGCCTTGGGATAGGGTGAGCCTTTCTCAAAGACACTGAGTGCTGGATCTAGATCCCGTTGCGGTGCTCGAGGGACTGAGGCCAGCTCTGCAGAGAGTAAGCTGCCAGCTTGCCCCAGCAGAGCTTTCCACAGCGGGTGGGGCTGTCTGAGCATGCATTGTCTCATCCCGATAAGATCAGGCCGGTCCGCTGAGGATGATGTTATGAGTGCTTGTCGCGTCCTGGGGCGCGTTGTTTAGGGGCTGGGGAGGCTCCCCAGGGGCATCCGTCGCAGCCGAGGCAGCCGTGGGGGCCCCCTTCTTCGCGGAGTGAAGGGAGGACGAGGTGATCGCGATGTGTCTGTTGGGGTTGCTCATCGCAGCGTTGACACAAGTTGTATCGTCTGGCTGGTCTCCAAAGCTCCGGTTTTTGGCTGAGTCAGACGCCGCATGAGGTTGCACGTGACTCGCCCGACATCGGCGCCGGGCTGCCAGGCGGTGAGCCCGTTGCAGCAGCCAGACATCCCCCGGCAGAATCCTCCGCGGATGACAAATTCCCCGATGCGGAAGTTTTTAACTTCGGCAGCCTCGAGACAAAAGAAGAAACCTTCCGACGCCTGCACATCATCTTCAATCTTCAATCCTACCTCTCTCTGCCTCTCTCTGCCTCTCTCTAATCCCCAGTTTAATTGATCCTGTCTGTCCTCGCAATGTCTGCTAGACCTGTCGCCAGCGCCCTGCGAGGCTCGCTGGCCAAATCCCTGTCTTCCGCTTCGAGTGCGTCCCGCCGCTCGTTCGTCTCTGCTGCCGTCTCCGCCGCTGCCCGCCCGGCTGCTACGGCGGCCGCCAGAGCTGCCTTCGCT